CCCCGGCCGGCACCGATCCCCCCGCCAGCGGCAGCAGCAGCGCCACAATATCGCATTCGGTCCTCCAGCCCGAGTCCATGAACAGCCTCGGCGTCGTCATCGTCCTCTGGACCATCCGCCTCTACTTCTGCGTCGTCATGCTCTCCTATGCCCGCATGGTCCTGAGACGCCATGTCGCGCTCTCCTCCGTCAAGAACAACAGCTACACCGCCGCGTCGAAGGATGCCGCGATGGCGGAGAACCCGTTCAGGGAGTCCGGCGGGTGGCAGGGGAGGCTTGGGAGGGTCATGGTTGCGTTTCCGAGGGCGTATTGGCTCGGTGGAGATGGTGGGGTGGGGGATGAGGAGGGTGTGATAGGGGCAGGAGATGTTCGTTGGATGGAGGGCATGGGGGGCAAGTTCAGGAAAGGAGGAAATGGAGCCGGGACCAGCAACGGGAACGGGAACGGGGCGGCTGGGACGGAGGGAAGCAGTGCGGTGGAGTCGAGTGGGCCTTTGGAACGCGAGAGGAGGAGACGCAGCGGCACGGGCCCGCCGCCAGGTTACGAGTCCTGGTGCGCATGGCCAGAAGGGGCTGAGCGTGCCGTTACAGGATCTGTCGTAGCGTGTCTACGATGGCCGTCAAGCGTGACAAACGGTTGGGGAGCAAGGGACCGCGATTGTATCTTGGGTTTGCGGCACTGGTACGCTATTCGGATCAACTGGACGGGCAGGAGTTTCGATGTTCTCAGCAGACATGACATTGGATGGAATGCCAAAGACGGATTGGCGCCGCTGTACATCTTCGGCTGTCGAGGAAGGGGACGAGGATGCGTGTACAGGCAGCTCGACAGCAGTTATCACATATTAATTCACCCTTCGTTGACTGGCTGGCCTCTTTCTTGGTCGATCACACTGCAATTTGCATGCCTGCACCGTCACACAAAAGAGTAAAAGTAAGAAGCGGACCAGTACTACTTAGGGTGTCTCTGCATTGCCTCGCAATACAACTCGTGTGTTTAGCTTCAGCCTTCCTCACCACCACATCGTACTCCTCCCGCCTCTCCTCGACTTCAACATCGCTCCTTGGGTATATTTACCAATTTACATGAGAGCGCCGTCCAGAATTCAGCTGTTTGCAGCTAGTCAATCACATCCGCATGCTCTCAGCTGTATGCCAATATATAAATCCTCCCCCATTTTCTCCGTTCATAGCGCCATACAGAAAATCAGCGGTATAAACACACGGCAAACACCTCGCCGCGTGAAGACAGATGCCACGCTATGCCAAGAGCACATGACAAAAAGCAAGGGAGTACAACGAAAAAGGATGCTTTGATACATGGAAGTATTGAAAAAGACACGAGCACTGGTCATGAAAAGAAGTACTGACTGTCCCGAAGGCGCGTGACGTCGAATTCGCCCTATCGCAAATGATTAGCACAATTTTTTTTCATTTTATGGGAATGCTACAAGCACATACCTTTTGTGGAACAGCCTTGAAGGTCAGGGGCAGCCAGAGCCAGGTGACATCCGACGCCCGACTTTGAGACTTCTTAGTCTTCTTGCCAGGCACCTCTTCATCCTTGGAGGCAATCTCTCCTTCACCATCTTCAGTCTCAGCTTCGGCAATATGGATGATACCGTCAGCACCGACTTTGCCTTCCACGAGGGGCTCAAGAGCGTGCTCCATGTCTACATCACCAGCCACATCTTCCGAGTGCAAGGCTTTCTCCAGGATTTTCTGGTCCGTCTCCTGTGGTATTGCTCCTATAGCGGTTTCGCCGAGGGAGTGTCTGGTCTTCAGGTACTTATGACCGTCTAACGTCTCGAACAGGGAGCATGGAGTCACCAATTTCTTGCCCTCTGCTTTCTTGGCTGGATCATCACTTTTGAGGAGGTTTTGACGCCGGGCTTCTAGGACCAATTCTGCATATTGCCGTGCACGAACCTGAGTGGCGGGGCGCTGGCCGCGATGGAATTTGGTTCGAAAAGCCTTGATATTTTTCCCGAGCACGCTATCTGCGGAAATGGAGGCCAGGTAGATATGACCCTTGTATCTTGTTTTGAATTCGGCAGCTAAACGACCAATGATGTCCTCTGAATGCATGCGGATGAAAGCGTCGCGGAGTAAACGGTTTAGCGTGTTGATGTCAGCTGCATGCGTCCAGAACGAGTCATGCACTGCAGAGAACGTCAGGCCAACCTCGTGGCATTTCAACGCTGATAGTAGCATATGCGTAGCATCCAGCGAGTGTATGAAGTTAGGTGGGAATGCCTGGAGCTGTTTGCGTTTGTTCACTGCATCGGCAATTGTTGGCTCGGTAAGTGTAATATCTTGCAAGTTTGTCTTGACCCGTCGCCCATTGCTAATGCGATATGGTTGAACAACGGGTAGTCTCAAGGGAGTAGTCCAGATGACACTGGAACGGAACGAAGCAATTTCTGCCATGGTCTCTGATTGCTTCGCTTTCTTGTGGTGGCTAGTCCGAAGTCCGGCTCCAGAATGATCGGTATTGCCGTGGTCCTCAGCCTCGATGACTTTCTGTAGCTGCGCAGGTGAAAGTGAGGTCGCAATCTTCGTTGCACAATCGCCAAGCCAATATTGAATGTCATGAGCACCAGAGAACATTGCGCCCAAAGCTTTGAAAATCTTGCGTGCAACATAAGCAGCAGCTTGACCTGATATAGGACCAGCACCATTCCTTAGCTCAGGCACGAGATCGTCAAGCTGCCGTCGAACCTGACGTATTGCCCCGAGGAAGGTGACACCATACACATTTGTCATGACTGTTTGCTTGACAATTTTCCGAGTGATACTTCCATCGAGTAACTTGGCAATCTCATCTCCCTGAGCTGCCTCTTGTTTGACCTCTGCCTTGACTAGTTCTGCTACACCAGTGTAGACGTCTGACGGCTTGTCTCCGGGCTCGAGATTGACCTGTTTGGCGCCAGCAATGTCACCACCAAGGGCGGCATAGTGCTGAAGACCATTGCAAGAGCCATCTTGATGCACTGGCAGGTGGGAAATATATTTGGTTGGATCCGGAAGATCGAGTGCTTGCTTGAGCTCGAAGCAGGCAGCCAAACATTGCCAGGGGTCTTCAGCGCTCAGCCACCATCTTCTGCCATCCAAAGGATGATTGACCGAATCAACAACGTCGGATATATGCTCCATCGGGAAGTTTTCCCGATCCTTCAAACTTGCTTTGTCGTACCCGAAGACGTTTGAGAGATGGATCTTGATCCATTTGAGACCATGTTCACCAACTTCCCTCCCGTTCGCAAACAATAGAAGACCTCTGCAATTGTCAGCTCCCATCTGATTAAGGTAAGGCGGTATTGGATAGGCTCGTCCGCGGAAATCGATGTTGTGCGGCAGGTAAAAGGTCTCGTTAGAGTAAGCTTTGGCTATCTCCATCTGAAAGTTCTGAAAGCAGCGGTTCGAATGTAGGCCACTTTTTTCGTTCTCGATCTTCCTCATCGCCCTGTACCATTTAGAACGGGCCTCCTTGTCATTGGTGTCAGCAGGCTTCTCTGGCATGTCAAAGACCTTGTTGAGGGGAGGAAGGTTTGCGACTGCTTCACCAGAATTCCACGCTTTCAGCATCACAGTGAAAACATCGCGGTTGATCTTCCAGCCGGTCTTTCCGAGAACATCGATGCCAGCAAATACTTGATCAAGATCTCCTCTTTCAGCGGCAGCTTCAGCGTAGTCTCGTTGCGTCATTTCACCTCCTTTCACCCGCAAGAAAGTGGTCAATGTCTCTAAAAAGCCACCACTCTGGAAGCCAGTCCAGGGTTTAGGCTCACACACCATGGGAAGATGCTTGGCAATCAAATCGCCAGCAGGCTCTCTCATCAGCTTTTCGACAAGGCTAGCATGCATGATGACAACACCGACTTTCCTGCCATGCTCGTAAAGGACGTTACGCGAGAACACTGGTTGCGAAACGTAAAGCATCTTCTTGGTAATCGGATCCTCCTTTTCTACCGTCATCTTGGCCGTATCGAAAAGCATTTCACATAAGACCGCACCAACGCGTGCATGAATAGCTGCACTCCACTGATAGTGGCCCCGATAGGAACGGGCGCTGGCCCGAGACTGCTTCGAAGAGGGCTTCAACAGGCGAGCTGACCTCGCTATGGTGGATGCGGAACTGCTCTCTTGTTGAGTATGTTTCCAGAAACCCCTTCTATCAAGTGCGGAAACCCGAGCTTGCTCGGCCCCCGCGCCAACCTTAGCGGAGCCTGCATGCCATTCTTGTCCATAGCGCTGATGGTGGTGATGGTGACTAGAGCTGCTAGATGATCAGGTTCGAGAAGTCGTAGGAATGGTCCGTACTCGCAGCGAAGCTTTTCACGATCATTCTTTCGGTTCTTTACTTCTGCTGCTTCAACCAGCTTCAGTTCTTCCACGAGCTTTTTGGACACGTTTTGATGCCACTGCCATAACAATGCTCCCAGCTTACCACCCTGCAGGTTCCCATTGATCCCCATCTTTACCATTTTCTCGTGCTCAACGCGCCATCGCTCAACCGCGGCTTTCACAGCGTCCGTTTCCAAGCGGGATTGTCGTGCATGAGCATAACTCCTTCCAACTTTCTCAACTTGATTCTCGAAATGCGAGTTGTCTGAAAATAGAGACAAGGACTTCCGTAAAGATGTCAGTCCCAACCCCTTTTGACTAGTTTCCCGAATCTCCTCCACAGGCCGCTGTGCAAGAGCTGGCTGATCAACGATCTCCAGATGATCGTCGGTAATACCGTATTCTTCAAAATTGTCCGGAAAATCGTAACCAATCTGTGTTTGCGGGACAATCTCGGATAGCTTTCCTAAATCTTGTTCCGATAGAATGTCTCGTAGAGAAGCAACTTCGTTCACCGTCTCAGCCTGCCTTGCAAGCTCCCAATACCTCCTCACAGTCCGATCTCTTTTCGAGCCGGTCATCGTAGCCAACGCCACTTTAACTTTCAGAGCATATGTCCTTGCGTCAGGCTCAACACCAGCATTATGCATGTCAACCTCAAGCCATTGGTTGATCAATTCCACGTTCTTCTTGTTTTTGTTGACGATCATGTCCATGACCATCGCATGCAAGCAATCATTGAAAGCTTCCTGAAGATATGCTGACTTCGGATTGACAACGATCTGCAACTGCCGCAGCAGAGCAATAGCACGGTCGAAACGGTGGACTTGTAAGCACGCTTCCATGGTTGTCTTCACCTCCTGCGCATTGCCCCGTATCTGGATCTCCTTGAACTTGTTACTAGACAGCCTTTCCGGAGGTTCTGCAATAGTATCGTCCAACTTCAGGAACCCATCGGGCTCATGCAATGGGATATCAGAGAGGAGGCGCCTGTAGGGAACACGAGAGGATGTAGGTTGCGAATCTCTTCTGGGATCGTACTCAAGGTAGCTGTCAGTTTGCAGGAGGTCGGGCGATGCGGCTGCAGATGCCAACCGTCGGGGGGACTGTGACCGCAAGAGGCTGGCTGATGGTGAAGGTGGTGATGGACGATGGGTCATCGGGCGGGATTGGACATGAATCTGTGGTGATCTGTACAGAGCAGGGCAGAGCCATGGTAGCTGTATCTGCTCCGAAGCTTGCTGCAGGTATAGCAAGGCATATCTTCGACGGGCTGCTTTTGAAAGCATATCCCAGCCAGCGTGTCAGAGATATAGCCGCTGGATCGAGCTCGCATGCAGGGTGTCGGTGGCAGAGGGAGCTGTGTAGTGGTGGTGTGAATAGTAAGGCAGACGTCGACCTCACTGGGTACCGAATCCCAGCGAATGCGTCCTGATGTTCTCGATTGTGAATAGATAGGAGGCGAGTTCAAAATTTTATGCATCCAAGATCCAAGCTCCAGGGCTTCTACGCTATGCCACTTTGGGAGCTTACAGAACCAATCGGACTCGATATCTGGCAGAATTTCGCATTGTATCGTGACTTCTGCCTTCCAAGAACAATGTATGCTACGACTGTGGAGAGTCGTGCTTTCCTGCGGAGGACGGCGACCTGTCTCCTGCCACTATGTATGCATCTTGGGTCTCCTCTGGCGCGCAGTCCACAGAGACCGGACTGCATTGTCAGTACATGTTAGCATCCCAGTTATCCCAATTATCCCAACTATCCCAGTATCTTGACAGAAGCAACTCTTATCCTTCGGAACGATGCCCAACCTGGACGAGGACCCAGAACCGAAACTCAGCAGGCGGTGCTGGGGCTGGCCGTTATGGCTATCGGAAAGAAATGTGACAATCGTCCTTTACAACGTTCCAATCTTTTTCGTCGGCATCTGGCTCTGGTCGTTTCCCACCGACATAAGATGCTCCCATTTGCGATTGCAGGTCTTGGTCAACTCCATCATCACCGTAACCCTGTGCGTCTGGTGGCCGGCCGGCATTGATGTCTACTACGGCATCCCACGACCAGAACCCACCACGTATGAAAGGCGTCGGGATTTCGCCGTTTTCCTCTTTGCCTTGGTGGTGGCAGCTGGCATGGGCTGGGGCATGCAGCCAAAGTGTGGCTATGAGGTATAATACAGTCTCATCACGAGATCCGATATTGCTAACATGGGTCTCACGCAGCTCTGACAGCAACATGCTGAGCTTGGTAATGGCATTTTTCTGATGTAAAGCCCGTCTGGTTTTCCTCGTGCGCCTTACAAGTACTCGTCCTCCGCATGCTGAGTCCTTGGTTGCATTTGGTGCGTACAAGATATGTTAGCATCATGGGTTACCTTCCCAGCTAACACGAATCAGGTGGCACCACCAAGCCGACAGTTCACAGGTCCTCGATACTCTGTCTGACAAGAGAACGGATATTGGGCCACAGAAGACTAGCGAGCACCTTGTGAAATCGATGTGGATACAAGAACTTTGCCTATCATGCACAGGATGCATCAACTTAAATTAATGGACCGGTCTCGAATCAAGAACTTAAGCAGTCTGCCTCCCGATAATGCCTGAGCAGCATGTTTATCCTGCCGAGCGGTGGAGTGCTTTGCACCAAAATTATGTTGGCCGTCTTCCATACACAACAATACTGAAGACTATTAGCCTATTCAAAAAGCGCGCTCTGGTGGTAGAACTCACTATTGGCAGTATTGATGATATGCTCGATTCCTCACATCTCTCTTCATGTCCATCAAGACCACTTCAATCTGTTCCTTTGACCACCCAAACACTTGGTGAAACACTCTCGATCCGAAGGCCTCTGCACCTTCCAATATATTCGTCATCTCCAACGCACCAATCTGCTTCAACCGTTTATCTTTTGGCCATGGGGAAGCAGGAACTTTGAATATGTTTTCCGAGATGTCGACGAAGCCAGCCTCGCGCATATAGGTCGCAAAGTGAAGTGGGACATCGAGTGGGGCCCCAAAGATTCTCCCTGCCTCCATGAACTTCATACATACGGACTTGAACCCAGAAGTCTCAGGCACAGAACCGTCATCGCACATGGGTACTGGATATATGCAGGCAAACTCGCACCATCCACCTGGCTTGAGATGGCTGAGGCACTGACTCATCAACTTTGGCCAGTCACGGATGCAGTACAAAGGGTCTCGGAAATGGATGAAATCAAAGCTGTCCTCCTTATACATCCAGTCCGCTTCCACATCATCAATCTCGAACTGACAGTTCGATGCCACCCATTTAGGCTGGATGGGAGCAATATCCACTCCTATCACTTCCGCTGATGGAAACATGTCCGCCACGTCCAAAGCCCATATTCCAGTCCCCGTGCCCAGATCCAGTATTTTCTGTGGGGTAGGACCGACAGGAGCCAGGAAGTGCCTGTCACCTATTACTAGCTCGTACTTACGATGCTGCAGGTCCAACCGATCCATCTCATGCTCATCCACTGGCAAGCCATAACTATGTTTGCCATAATTAGGGTAGATTCTGTCATTCTCTAGGACACCCTTAGAAATCTCTGATGCGATAGAGGTTACATAGGATGTTGTTATACTCTCCGCGTACGCCTCATCGCTCTCTTCTGAGTCAGGTTGGATGGTAGGAGCAATCTGTGTCGCAATATTGGGGTGTGATGATCCCACGGAATGCAGGGACAGAGGGGAGCTATGAAGAGGTCGTGCGGACTGTGGTTGCGCTTCCTCCCCAAGATGGTCGTCAGCCATGGAGAAATGGTAAGGGCTACAGAACCCCTTGAATCGAAGCAAGTAGAGAAACAAAAGTTTTCATTACGAATGAGAGTAAAAAGGAATCAGCACTTTCTTGTTTAAGCGAGCAAAGGTACAAGGAGGCATCAGCTTAGCAGCTGCCAAACCCATGAACTTGAGATAAGAAGAAAAAGTAAATGTCTCTGTTTTCTTCACCATTATTTGCAGAGCTGTGGTACAGAGCCGATAGAGAGCGATGAAACCACAGTGGCTAGGCCAACGATTCTGCACTTGGGTGTAACCAGACCGAACTGATGATGAATATCCTCCAAAGACGCACGCCAACAAGGAGTAGGAGGAAGGGCGAATCCCGTGAACCACACGCGGAAGAAAGCGTCCTTCGGACGGCTGCAAAAGCGCGATGACGAATCGAGCATCAACGAAGTCCGGAAACAGCGAGCTACAGCCACCAAAACCACCAAAATGACCGGAACTGACATGCCACCACATTACAAACTCGGATAGAACAGAATAGCCCTGCAGGATGAAGCAGGGTTGTAGCCGGCCGTCTCGTGAATGATCCTTCCTGCACATCCGGTCGTCCCGCGGTACCATCAACAGCACGCCGCATGCCGTTAGCGAGTATCAAGGACAAAAGTCCTAGCACATGCAGGATCGTAGGTTGTCTTAGGTTTGGGGGCCTGCCTGCGGTTTCCAAAGATGCTTCAATTGAGAGATTTTTATCACTTTTTGGACTGACAAATGATCGCCTAATGGATGCGAGAGCTGCGACCGCATTGAGGTCATTTTGGGTCTCCTTGACCTTCGAGAGATCAAAAGAGGAAGATGCATGTCGTCAACGCCATGTGATATAAGGTCAACCGTTGCAGCTCCTTACGTAGTAAGTCACTGTGGCACATTCTTAGCGGCAAGATGATGTGCAGTAGTTAGACGTAGTGGCTCAAAAATAGCCCTGGTGCGGGGGTAAATCTCTCTTTAGGCTTCGGAATGATGGCGGCAGTCCCCGGGCCGAGCGGCAATCCGCCTAACTAGAGGGGCACAAAACTTACTTGCAACAAAAAGAAACAATTCTCACGAGCTTAGAAGAGAGGAATCCTCCCCTTAGCAGTGACTGGAATAGTTCAGTCATGCCTCGTAAGCTTGCTCTCTCACTGCAGGATGTACAATGATTCTGACATGTACCCTCAGACCAAACTGCACCCGAAGACGATGATCCCGTCATTGCTTCTTACCCAGTCTATCTCACTTCCCCCCATTATGCCTCTCCTCCCAATGCATCGGCAGAAATCCTTCCAGACACCGCTCAAAAGCTGGTCCTCCTGCAGTATCCTGCTTACCGTCCCTCCGATACGCCATATAATGCTCGCAACCTTCAGAAACCAACCTCACTACGCATCAAACCAAATACAGGCCTCCTCGAACTCGACATCCCAATCGACACCAAGCTCAATTACAACCCAGACAAGGGCTCAAAATATGCAACATCACTGAAACGTAGTCGCATAATTCAAGAGGGTGGCACCCATGGGCTGTCGGGTGGCTTCAACACGGGTCCGGCGGGAAGGAACATTCGCGAAGAAGAAGACATTGACATGAAGACCATCCCTGCCCACTCCGGCCTCTCCGACGACCCAACACTCAATGTCCAAACACTAGGCGGCAAGATCGTCAAACCCTCCACAGGCGACCCCATCTATCTCCTGGGCAGCTTCAAGGGCAACTCCATGCATCTCCCCCGCCTCGATGCCCTTGTCCAAGTCCGACCCCAGCTGCCCCACCTCGACGCGCTCGACGAGCTCGAGCGAAATCGAGGCCTCACAGCCCTCGCCCGAGCCAAAGGCAAAGACGGAGCAGCAATAATCAATGGAGACGTCTCCGCCGCACTACCGCCGCCTACCGGCCCGTCCACTCGCCCAGAGAGCAAAGCAATAGACATCAAGCTCAAACCGAGCGGTCCTGCATCTCAAAGCAACGATCTCACCACCAACACAAACGCCAAGCTCCTCCGCGCTATACAACAGGAATCCTGGCAGATATATGATTGGATCGATGAGGACGAGACAGAATCCCACGACCACGCAGAAAAGGCGCTTCACCTTTCCATGCCTCCAGGCGATGACCTTACCCCCGAGCCGCCGAATCTCGAAAGCGCAATCAACAATTCTGAATGGCTGGACCTGATGAGCGCGCCGCGGATCGAGCATGGGAAAAAGGCAGGTGACAAGGGGCTAATGGGGAAGGTCAGAGGAAGAGAACGTGAAAGGCAGAGGAGAAAAAGGAATGAGGCGGCGCGGAGGGAGAAGGCTACTACCACTACTTCCGTTCACAACCAGGCTAGTGCGGAAGCAAATTCTGCTCCCGGTCCTTCTGGTCAAGAGCGAGAAGACGTCAGGGAGGATGGCGATGCCACGGCGGGCGAAGATACGGCTGATGATGCTCAAATCGGGCCGAGTGATGAGGAGAGCTCAGAAGACGAGCAAGGAGACCGTCAAGCAGGAGATCGAGATGGTGGTGTTGGTGATGACGAGGGTGAAGGGGAAGGGGAAGGGGATATAGAGATGCTGGATCCGCCCAACCTGCCAACCGCAAGCCAGGTCGACGGCGCTGATACCGCCGACGACGATGCTCAGGAGGTGCAGCCACCGACCACTGCCGCGGATCAACCTACGCCTACACCTAGAAGGAGAGGAAGACCGCGAAAGTCGCAGGTGGTGCAAGATCCAATCGTGGTGGATGACTAGAACGTGAGCTCGGACCCTACCAGAGCCTCGAAAAAAAAGGAGAAAGGGGAAAGTAGAGTACAAATAGAAGCAGTACCGGTATATATTGCTACCAGTAGCTAGGTGGAAACCCAGTACTCGCCTATAGAACTTTTCAAAACTTTTCTCCTATAAATTACGATGCGATACAATGCGTTAACGTACCCAACTGTCATACATATCACTACACCCCCCTAAATATACATGATTTTGGGGGCCGATACTGTATCTCCGTTCCTACCAAATCTGCGAACCACCAATTTCAGCTCGCCGCCCTTTAGCGAATATCCCATCCGGGGCGGTGATCTTTTGATGCATTGTTTTTAGAACAATTTTTCTTTCAATTTCTATCTTGATAATATGACCAACAATATTCGAATAATAGATATATATGCTCTTGAGATCCAAAACGCCAAGTAATTGTGGAGCATTTGAGGGTGGAGTGCACATGAACAGTTGGGTACGTTATGCAGAAAGCCTGCCGCCCGATTCCAGAGACAGACTCGAGGACGAAAACGTCACACCGTCCAGTAAGTAATACGCCGCTATGCCTTGAGTTCGGGCCCGGCCCCCGAGAAAAACGCCAACCTCGATGCAGAGGACGCAGAGGTAAGAAGAGATGGATGGGAAAAGCAAGCAGACAAGCAGGTCCTCAAGCTGACATCCAGACAGACGTGCCGCATGGCATTTAAGAAGGAAACAAACGGAAAAGGATGCTTTTATCGCGAACGGGTGCCGGTCTGGCTCACTCGGCATCCGATTCGTCTTCAGCGACCTGTGGCATTCACACATTAGCAACCGGAGATCCCCCGCAGATTTCGAATCAGGGCTCACTTACATCATCATGAAACTCGCTCCCAACCCTCGTCTCCTTAATGATGCCAGCTCTGATGGTCCAGTCCCCAAAATGCTCGCCGGCCTGCCTCTCCCGCGACCACCTCCCCAACAAGGCCCTCATGATCTCCAGAATCTCATCCTCCTTTATCGAACTACGGTACAGCTTATTCAGCCTCTGACCATGATACCCACCACCCAGATACATATTGTAAGCTCCATACGCTTTCCCCACAAACGCCGCCTCCGCGAGCCAGGGCCGCGCACACCCGTTCGGACAGCCCGTCATGCGCATGACGATGCTGTCCTGGGAGAGGCCGTTCTCCTCGAGACAGCCTTCGAGCTTGGTGATGAGCTCGGGGAGGTAGCGCTCTGATTCGGCCATGGCGAGGCCGCAGGTGGGGAAGGCGACGCAGGCGGAGGAGGAGAGACGCATACCGCTGAATTGCGTGTTGTCGAGTTTGTACTTCATCATGAGGTCTACGATCTGGGGTTTCGCTTCGTCCGAGACGTTGGAGAGGATGAGATGTTGGTTGCCTGTCAGCCGGAACTCGCCGGTGTGGACCTTGGCGATTTCTTTGAGTCCGGTACGCATGGGGAAGTCGGCGGTGTCTTCGACTCGCCCATTCTCGATGAAGAAAGTGAAGTGATTCATGCCCTTCTCGTCTTTCTGCCAACCGAAGGCGTCGATGTTGGACTCAAAGCGAAAGGGCCTTGGCTCTTCAAAATCGATTTCATGGGGACGTAAAAGCTCCTGCACCTTGGACTTGAAGACCTCGTTGCCCATATCGTCCATTGTGTATTTGAGACGAGCATGCTTTCGGTTCTTTCGATCGCCATGATCACGCTGCACAAGCATGATCTTCTCACACACGATATGTATCTGCTCCACAGGTATATAACCCATCATCCAACCAGTCCTTGGATAAGTCTTTTTGTTGTTATGCGTCACACCCATCCCGCCACCAGCAAGAACATTGAAGCCAACGAGACGACCTGTCTCGGCGGACTTGATGGCGATTAAGCCAATATCATGTGCATATACGTCTGTGTCGTTGTGAGGAGGTACGGCGATGGTGATCTTGAACTTTCTGGGGAGATACGTTGGTCCATAGAGCGGCTCATGATCCACCACGGCCGGTCCAGCTACCTGAGTCTTTTCACCAGTTTTGTCATCCTTCAGCCAGATTTCGTGATAGGCAGTTGTGGATGGAAGGAGATGGTCGGAGATTTTTTGGGAGACCTTGTGCACGTCTGAATGATAGGCTGACTTTTCGGGTAGAGAAGAGCACATAACGTTACGATTGACGTCGCCACACGCGGCAATGGTAGTCATGAGCGCTTTGTTTATAGACTGCATTGCCGGCCGAAGCTTAGTCTTGACAACTCCATGGAATTGGAATGTCTGTCGAGTTGTAAGTTTCATGGTCTCATTTCCATGGTCGGACGAGATTGCATCCATCTGCAACCACTGTGAAGACGTGGCAACACCACCTGGTAGTCTGCAGCGTATCATGAATGAGTACGCCGGCTCTAGCCCTTGGGCTTTCCGCTCATCGCGCAGATCACGATCGTCTTGCATATAAGTACCGTGAAACTTAGTCAGTTGCTGGTCCGCGGCAGAGATTGCGCCTGTGGAAGTGTCCTGAAGACCTTGCGCAATTGTTCCGCGTAAATAGTTTGATTCGATCTTGATATCTTCATTCGTGACTGGAGGTGGCTCTTCCGGCAGGCCTGCGACATCGGCCACGCTGAGAGCTTGCCACAACCCAGCCTCCCAGTCTGCATAGCCAGTCTGATAGCCATCTGGATCTTGGTCATCACCCAATCCTATCGGTCTTAGCGGCTTTGCGCCAAGCAAGGATAATCTGGCATCGAGATCTTTCCCGGGCTTGTTGTAATAAATCTTGTCTTCCTTTCGAGGCCAGTAATGACTGTCGCCAAGGGCGAAGACGGAGTAGTGGATCGCGGATAAGTCTAAGTCCCCAGCGTTCCTGACATTATCCCAGAAAGCTCTCCCATTTTGCGGGAACTCCCCTTGACCTGCAGTGCTCGTAATGAATACAACGTTCTCCTCGGTGCCAAGGTCTTCAAGAGGATAATCGTCCATTGCCATGACCATTGTCTTCAGGCCCCGGGCTCTGCCACGACTGGCCAGTCTTTTAGACAGGCTTTCGGCATTCCCATTGTCAGACGCAAAGAGGATGGTCAACGGAGCTCCATAAAGGCCTTCTAACAACTGCTCGTAGGCATCTTTGGCCTTTCGCTTCTGTAACTTCCGAACTTCGGAGCCGTACGATTCGGACAAGTTGGCTGAGAAATTGGGAAAGCGGTTCATAAGCTGGGTCAATTGATTATCTCGGCGGAGAAAATCTTCGAGTTCTTGCTTGATGTGCTCGGAATCAAGGTGAAAAGTGGGCTCGCCCTTCACTTCATTTGACGGATTCCATCGGTATAACGGCCAATATCCAAGGTCAACGGCCTTCTTCGTTTCTTGCAAGACAGTCAAAGCCGAGTCGTCTTCTTTATGATATGGCAGATATGCCACCACGACCGATGGGCCTTCAAACTGGTCAGCTTCAACCATTGCCTGCAAAACCTGGGTGTAAGAGCTGTAAACAGCCACCGAAGCAACGTAAGTGTTGCCAAAGTTCATTGCATAGAGGCCGATATCTTTCTTTCTCCGGTCGGCATCAGCAGCGGCACGCTCGCTGTATGGCTGCGAATCGATTATGAGCATGTTGATATTAGCTCCAGACGCAATCACATGGTGAACACCAGAGTTGCCAAGGTCATAAGCCCATGCGTCTGAGCCAATGAGCCATTGGGACTCTTTGAAAAAGAGGTTTTTCATAGAGAGCAGATGCGATGCAGGGCGGGATCCGTCATTCGATAACCGTGAAATCACTTCGGGTGCGAGGTTGTTGGCTTTCTGAGCATCATCCGCGTGGAGAGCCCACTTGGAGAGCCACTGCCTGGGCGGTTCTGTGATGAACTCCTGACTTCTTGCGGCTTCTTGTGCTTCCAGGACGAACCGTTTGCGATGCTCTATTCTAGCAAGCAAAGAGCCAAATCCATATTCCGGACTTGCCGCAATGGTTGGTGAGATGCCAGCATTGTTAAGCCCAAGCTGATTGGCGATGTGCAGACGCTGCCCAAATAATTGATTCAAAATCTTGAAATATGCTGCCTCTACTTGTGGCTGTTGCACCTCCACAACTGGTAAGGGCTGATCAGGTCCTGCCTCGTTGCCGACGCATAAACCTTGGATCGGTGCGGCAGCAGTGAGATTCTGGAATATGCCGCGTAATGCTTGTGTGGCGGTGGCTGGCTCAATATATCCTAGCCTATAACCGACCAGAGTAATCGAACTCTTGCCACCCGCAGTGGGATTCAGACTAGAGAGAATATCGAGAAATGTCGGACCCCATTTGGTGGTCTTCCTCCTGACCTGTTCCAGAACGGCCAAATGTTTGATCGATTTGGGTATCGAATCGACAAAAGTACTTCCTAACCATGGCCTGTAGAGACGAGCTGTGATGAGACCGACTCGAGACAGGTCTTCGGGAATCTTGTCATCATCTAGTACATCCACGAACACCCCAGTGGAGCCGAAAATAAACAGAGCTGAATCGGCGTCCTGAGGTCCAGTGTATTCAATTGGAGAGTACGACCTTCCGACAATTTGTTTCATTCGAGCCCAAGTATCTGTGACAATTTGGTAGATATCAGAGCTTGTAACCGGTCGTGTAGCGGGTGGATCAACAGTCGTTGCGGCTGAAGATGCCGGGCCACTGCTTGTGCTGCTCTCCCTTCTTGACGATCCAACCGAAGAAGTCTCCGAGCTCGAGGACGGGCCAATGTCCTTTCTCATGGGTGACTGCGACTGCGCCTTCGGCTTAACTGATATTGACCCACTGCTGCTTTGAATGCCTTCCTGCTCTGGGATGGTTGCGATTCGGCCGTCGTCCGCATACAGAGCGAAGTGATCGCCGCTCTGTGCGTCGAACGGCTGCATAGCGTCTATCATGAGCAGCTTATCGATGAGCTGCTTCTTCTCCAGAGCAATGGGACCATTGGTAGCCGAATTGCTAGGATCGAAGTAGTGGATGACACCCTTGCCACTTCGAATCGCCAGAGCATGTGCAGTCAGAGCTATATCCTGAGCCTCCTGCAGGGTTTCTGAATGTAGGAAAGAGAATCCGCATTGTCGAATGGAACTAATTTCCGAGAAATCCGGGTATGGCGTTTGCTGTACTGATACATGGAGAACGATTGGATATTCTGCAAGTTTGTAGAGATGAGGTATTGAAGTCAGGAGAATGGAGGAAGATGCTGTAACCGACACCAGTCTACCAGAGCGAAGTGGCGCGTACGCTGACAACAACGGATCTGCATTGGTGCGAGAGGTCTGTATCTCTGGAATGCTTCTTGAGACATGGTTTTTGGCTCTGTTCGAGGCGAATTGATGGAGATGTTGTGAGAAGTCTGAGTCTTTGGCCAGCGATGATTGAACTGAGATGACAACATCGCTGGAAAGATATGCTATTCTTGCCACTGTTTTCACAAGTGTTAGGATAGTTGAGGGACATGTGGGGGGCTTGCTTACCGGCCTCGGCGGGGCTGGATACCATTGACATCTTGACGGAACGAAAGGAAGAAGACTGGGGGTGTGTCACGATCAATGTGTGAACAATGCAGAAGTAGAGTATGGAAAATTTGGGTTACCTCTACTTAGTGACCTAGAAGGGCATCCAAAATCCTTCTGGTCATCAACAACATTGCCCAGCAGTAACACTTTTCGCATCCTACCGGCAGAGCGTTGATTGGTTCCTCTCCCAATCACGACATTGAAAAGTTTTAGCCGCGGCTCTTGAAGCTTGGCCTTCAGGGACTGCTCTCCAGCTCGAAATTTTACATTCCTAAAATGGTCATTTCTTGATGGGACAGAGAGGACCCCATCTTGAATACTGTGCGCGTACTCGAAACAATCAATGATTATGACGATACGCTTCATCAGCCATTGAATACAGGCAAAGTTAAACCCCGATATCTGTATGGCCCGTGGAAACATCTGCTTTTTGACTCAAAAGTATTTGTGCAAGACAGCCAACCGACAGACGAGAATCATGTTGCTAGGTTGTCATCATTTGAAATGTACTACCAGTGCTAGTATCATCTGATCGCCCTGTCTGGTTGAGGGTGTGACTTCTGGGGCTCCAACGTACTTCTTTCTAATGTGCTCCTTTCTAGTTAGTATGCGCCGGCACAGCATGAAACACTCACCAATGCCAACCGCCCACTTGAACATATTCGGACCATACTGGATGCCTCTGTCTACTTGCGGAGAGCACCGTTGAAGTACTAGTAGTCTTATGTTGTAATGGACAGCACTCCTACGCTGGACCTATGTAGGCATGGCCCGATCGAGTCTTTGGGGAATCCTCGGTATGTAAGGAATTGGAGAATGGTCTCTCGGAGCAATGAATAACCTCAGCATGAATAACACGATTTCATTTGTATGATGGTCTTGACAGGGTATAACTGAAGCTGTTATGCTACATAAATACTAGTAGTAGGTGAAGTTGATCGCCAACAATGCTTGGGCCCGTGACTTGTAGACAGCTTATGTATGTTGCATGTCGTTGGTAGGGTTCATCAGAGCAGTAACTGTCCTTCATCGAGGTTGGCAAGTCTGGTACCAGTAAGGCTGACGTCCGGCCTCCACTGGGGACAAGAAAGGACTCGAGAATGGTTCATTGAGACGGATAAGTCTTGGCGGACGATGAATCACTGCAGTGGCAGTTGAGGGATGAGCAATAAAAATCAACGAACAACACTTTAGATACCCATCGCTGTTTTGAGCGTGCAATGACGCAAGTCAATATGAAATTAACTGGAAGCCAACATGGCCAGAACAGTCAGTCTCGTCTCGTCTCGCTCGCCCTGGGTATTGCTTCGGCTGATGATTACTGGAGGAGCAAGTCTCCTGATGTACCGTGTCTAGCGACAAATTTCCCGAGATGGTGAACACTTTATTTTACCACCCCTTTATGCCGACTGGCCGTGTCCGTCATCCGTGTCAAACTCTTTTCCATCTTGAAAACATCTTACCCACAACAATAGGGATCTCCATCACAACTATAATTATGGAGGCAGCACAAAGAACAGGTCGGTTTCTTGAGCTGCAGGAGCAGCAGCAACTTCTGTTTCTCTCAAGCTCTTTCTCTGGGTTTGCATGGGCCGCATGTCCAAGATCTGAGAAGATCATGCATGGATTTATAATCATAGAGCTAGATTGTCCCGACACTATGGCAGACAGACGACTCTTTGGAGGGCGTTTTCGGATATATATATGCTCCCATCTCCTAGCTGCTCATAGGTATTCATAGCTATTTCCTTGTTCTGCTCCTTGCTTCTGCTTTAAATTGCACTTTATCGCCTTCATCTCCTTGGCCTCCAACAGCCAAAATGTCCCTTCCAACAACAACTGCACAATGGACCATCGAGGAGGGTCAGAACGGGTTCGACAGTCTCAAGTTCGACGAGTCTGCCGAAATCCCCGAGCTTGGCGACCACGATTGCCTCGTCAAGATTGATGCCGTCTCCCTCAATTATCGTGATCTAGCCATCCCCCATGTAAGAGACTCTCACCACCAAGAAACCCTTCAATCTCCGTGAGCTGCCCTCAAACCCCTCTCCTTACGCATACAGGGCAAATACCCCTTCCCAATCGCCCTCCCCGTCGTTCCCTGCTCCGATGCGTCCGGCAAAATCCTCGCCACCGGGCGTCGCGTCAACCGCTTCAAGAAGGGCGACGAAGTCACCACGCTCTTCAACCAAGGCCACATCGCCGGCCCGCTCACCCCAAGAGCTGTTGGCACCGGCCTCGGCGGCGCCCTCCCCGGCACCCTCCGCAAATACGGCGTCTTCGAAGAGGACGGCCTGGTGGCTAAGCCTCAAACCCTCTCCGCCGAGGAAGCAAGCACCCTGTCCTGCGCCGCCGTCACCGCCTGGAACGCCCTGTATGGTCTCCAAAGCAAAGCCCTCAAGCCGGGCGATGTCGTGCTGACCCAAGGCACCGGCGGCGTCAGCCTGTTCGCCGTCCAATTCGCTGCTGCCGCCGGTGCAACCGTCATCGCGACGACGAGCTCGGAGGAAAAGGCCAAGAAACTCAAGGATCTCGGTGCCCATCACGTCATCAACTATAAATCCAACCCGAACTGGGGAGAAGAGGCCAAGAAACTCACCGGCGAGGAACAAGGCGTGGATCACATCCTCGAGGTCGGGGGTCCCACGACCATGGCGCAGAGCCTCAATGCCATCAAAATCGACGGCGTGATCTCCATCATCGGGTTCTTGGGTGGCGTGCCAAGGGACCAGCCCAGCTTCCTGGACTGCTTGAACCATATCTGCATCGTGCGCGGGATCCTGGTGGGCTCGAGAATGCAGTTTGAGAAGATGAATCGCGCCATCGACGCGAAGAAGATCAAGCCGGTGGTAGACTTGAGGATCTTTCAGTTCGACGAGGCCAAGGACGCTTACCAGTACATGTGGGATCAGAAGCATTTCGGAAAAGTGGTCATCAGGGTGGATTGAGGACGTGGTGAATGAGATAAAAACGCACCGGATGCATGTAACAACCAGTAAGAGATTGACGTTGTGTGATATATGGTGGTGGGTTGAGCAAAAATAAAGCAGTGACAATCGTCTCGCGGCCGGGTGGAAAAAGCATAAGCTCGACTTCTGCTTCGGAATATCACAAAATTGAAGGATATTGTTCTCTACTCCATACCACCCAGGCCATAAGTAATAACCAGTAAATAGTTACGAAGCAAAGGAATCCCAGTCGTTCCTAGCATCCCACACTGTAACACCGTGCAATCGAATGGATTTTCGGCCGTCGATGCTGCTGACCTAGCTGGCCTAGCCATCCTCTATCCGGAGTACAGAAGGAGCATATCAGTACCCATGTCGTGGATTCCCAGCCGAGACGGAGGTGCTCTTGATCCCACCCCGCTCTCGGGAGAAAGGGGCAAGACATCCGAAAGAAGGTCAAGATCAGGTAGTTGTATAGAGTGGGGTTGACGATGGGGACCGTAACGGTAGCAGCCGTATACCAGATCCATGGGAACGGATCTATTTGTAAGAACTTGAAAAGCGACCGAGACAGCCAGACAGAGACAGAGAGAAAGAGAGAAAGGGGCTGAAAACGAAACGGAGAGTTTGGGTAAAGAAGCCGGCTGGGTACAGATATCGTCAGAAGAAGTACAACAGCATAGCGATAAATAGCAGCGCAGGAGGTACCATTGCAGGAAAAGGTCAAATCCAGCATCCTTGTATTGGTCTGCAGAAGAAAACCAGTTAGCCCTTTGAAAGGGAACAAGTGAAGACGGCCAGGGAAAGGACTCCATGCTCCATTCTTATTATTAGGTACGTAATTGCAAAGAGGCTGTAAAAGCTACATGTGGGACACTGGTGCCGACCTCGAAGGGAAACTCAATTATTCGCCAAACCCAGACCCGATTCTAACCATGCATATGAACGTCCACAGCACCACTCTTGTGCCACGTGGCGAGTAGGACACCACAATTGCTGCAGTGGTGCTGCACGTCCTTGAGGGAGTTCATCAAGTATGGAATGAAGCAGAGGCAGAGGGTGAAGCAAAAGGTGATTCCGGCCCAGATGCTAGAAGGGAGAGAGAGAGATGTTAGCAGTGCTATTCTTGGAGGCCCGTCGATGAGAAGGAAGGATTTCGTTGACTTACTGGGTGGTATTTCCAGCTTGATAGCTAACTCTGGTCATTCCTCTTTTCCCGCAGCTAGGGCAATCCACTGGGGCAGGGCCCATACCCAGATTCGGAATCGCTGTCGCGGTCTTGAACTGGCTGCCGTCATTCTTGTTTTGAGCCATGCCGCCACCACCCATCTGCTGACCCTGGCCCGGGGGAGAAGTGGGTCCGCCCTGATATTGCTGCGGCGGGGGTTGTCCGTACATCTGCTGTTGTTGGTGCATTTGATGCTGGTTTGGATCATGCTGCATCATGCCAGGCTGTTGTTGGTAGTTCATGCCGTTCGCTTGTTGCTGGTACATCATCGGCTGTTGTTGTCCTTGGTGGGCTAGGGGAGGAGTTTGCATTGGTGATGGTGATGAGCCGTTTGGATGCATGTCGCTCATCATCATTGGTTGACCTGGCATACTCTGACTGAAGATACCATCAGTTTTCGAATGCGGTATAGTGCCTAAGAAGGGGGGATCTGCTGTAGACTCGGGAATTGCCAAAGGGTCGATACGTACTATTGTGGTGCTGGCGACATTGGGGTCGTGGTTGGTTGGGCTTCAAGTTCGACAAATCTATCAGCGAAGTCTTTGGTGGAGAGCGGCTCACACTGCCGGAAGGCTGGGAGACTTACCATAGCCCTTGTTTTCCTGATTGTAAGCCATGGAAAGACGTGGTGTAGAGACCAAGGCGTAGATTAGTTAAAAATGGCTTGGGAAAAGATAACGTTCAGAAAGACAGAGATCTGGAAGCGTGATTACTGTGACGAATGCACGCTCAAGTAAGTAGAGAGTGGATGGGGCTATTTCGTTTCGTCAAGAAGGGCATGGGGAAATAACAGAGCCTCCCCTCCCTCTCCTGGTAGCATGATCTGGTCCATGGCTTGTTCAGATCGCGTAGTAGCAAGCGAGTGATGGCCAGCCCAGAACGCCATTGCAAACTTTGAGGAGCAGACGGGACACGAGATTAACTATTGATAACCAGTTGGGGCTGAAATAGGCAATAAGCTGGAACGCTGGCGGCTAATCTTGCGTGGGTGGAGACTTGGCTCCAATTTCGAACACAGTGCCCATGGAAGTACTCCGTAGAAATGCAGCTTGCCCCTTTCTTTATGCACGTGCCTTTAACCCCTCCGGCCCTTCACGCTCTCCGCATCGGCGGATCTGCCTCTACCAGCATGATTGGATCTCCGTGTTCAGTAGCTTGGCATCGGAAGTCGGTCAGCCACGACAGTGTGCTTTTCTTGCCGTGGCAAAGTAACAACAGTGGAGTAAGTGTCTTAGGCTGACTCGGAGAGAAGAGCAGCAAACTTGAAGTCGCGGCCACGGTGGTGGCTGTGCGCCCTGCCAAGAAAGAGCCTGCATGCCAAATTGAGCTGCATAACGTGAAGCGGGCTACAGGTCTGTCAATCAGTCAATCAGTCAATCAGTCACCCAGTCACCCAGTCACCAGTCAGTTTGTCCATTCCATCCACTCAGCTGCAGAAAGGTGACCACTAATCAAGGCACACATCCTTGTTAGTTACCCTGCAGCTGCCAGCTTCGATGAATGATTGAATAGACAGTGTTGAATGGCAAGTGTATGGGTTATGATTGTGTGGTGAGTAGTAGATAAAGAAGCTAAGTTCTACGTACAGGGTGGCATGAGATAAATAGCAAGTAGTGCCAAGCCAGCGCCAGCCAAGTGCTCCTGCTATGCCCCCTCCTATGCTCCTGCAACAGAAAGACTCAAATATCGGAACGTGGATTATGAAGACACAGCCGCAGGTACTTAAGGACCGAGGAAGCCAGACAAAGTGCAATTCTCCACACGTCTTCTATTTCGAGTGCTAATTACTAAGTATATGATCCCATCTGTCCTCCGTATAGGTTCCGTCATTCAGTCATGATATACCACTAGTAGGAAGTACCTCCATCCCACAACATGTACACTCAACACCATCCCCACCACGGATGATCCTACAGCGAATATATATGTTCAATTCGCTTGCCTGCACTTTTGACGCTGACCCCACAGTCAACCCCTGATGCAGGAGGGTAAACCCCACGCCAACTGGTGGGAGGACCGAGACCGGTAATCCATCAAATAATCTCAGAGCTGGTGCTGGGATACTTGGCTGCTGGTTTTGATGGAACTGGGCGGAGAATGTCGCTCCTCCGCCAAGACCTGCTGCTCTTGGCCGCCGGGATGACGAACGACCTCGTGCAGCCTATCTCATCATAGGATAGTTCCTTTTCAGAATAGCATTGGGTGGCAATGCTGAATAACGGCAGCCTCAGCGTCGAGATCTGGGGCTTAGATACGATATCAACTGTGGCGGAGAAGATATCAACCGTAGCAGGGTGATCGGGAAAACAGGCGCCATTCGGTCATTTTGCCCTCCCAAGCGCGGCATCTCGCTCTGTGTGAGAAGGCTCGCTCTGGCTGGATCGCGTGACATCTCGGACAGCTTGTGCGTAGTCACCCTCACCCGAGTCGCGAAGCCAACTAGATTGAGGCCGTAGTATAGGCGACCCACTATCATTTCTGGCGACCCCGGTGCCGCTGGAGCTCTCCCTAATCGGCGAAATTTCCCGGTTTTCTCGACTCTGCCGGTTTGAACCCTCGGGATGGTTAGGATCTTGCTTTCCGGCTGGCCATGTTCTTTGCTGGGACAACTCGTCACCATCAGGGGATGATGGTACAGACGTCTCCGGCTTGCTGCGTGCGTGCGATCCAGGCCAGCCGTTGGCAGGATCAGTTGGCAGGACTCGACCGTTCTCTGCGTTGTCGAGGGCGAAGGAGCCAAGACGAGAGATTTTGAACGCGCGAAGTCGGTCCAAAGCTGTCTTGAAGTCGTCAAGAACAACGGAATCGGTAAGACACTTGAATACAAATGAAAGCTTCCAGAACGGGTTGATTCCCACTGGGAGACTGGAAGCCAACCTGCCTGTAACAGAACTAGATGCTGTTAGCTTGTACCAGGAGTTACCAACCTAGGTGGCTTACCAAATATCAACAACGAGAAAACAAATCGATAGGACCATGGCTCCCAACATGACAGCGAACCGCGGTGAAAGGCGTACAATCTGTGGTATCGATAGATCGTATCGAGTTTTGATATTGTAGAATAGTGAAATGGTGGTAAAAATCCACCATGGATCACTCGGAAAATCAGCAAGAGCGCCCAGGGGTTCGGAATTCTTCCACTCACCGAAACAAAGCTTCCACTGGTCGCGTCTTGAGAAATATAGTATTGATGTTGTGAAAGTAGGTGAAGTTCGCATAGATCTCCAAGACCCAGTACGGCTGTACAAGAATTACGGTTCCAATGTAGATCAGCGACACGCGGCGGGAGAGGAAGGGTTTGTTCTTGAGCCATGCGATGACATTATGCAGGGACCACGAAGCGTTGAGAAAGATGGCGCTGACGGATAGCCACCAGTTGTAGATAGGACTATCAAAGAATATGAAGAAGCCGTGCCACACGCCGAATATGAGCTGCATGTACGTTCAGCAATCAACGAGCATCCAAGGTGCACAGATAGCGCCCACCTCGATCAGAATGAGCTTGTGTAGCAGAACACCTCTTCGCATGTTTGCAAGCGTGATACAGCTCATGATAATCAGAGCTCCGACCATGAAACCTTGAGCCCATGCTTCGAGGACGAGACCGTCGGGATCTGTCGGTTTGCCATTCTGCTGCCCATTTTGTCGTTTGGCGAGAGCCACTAGATCCTCCACCACATATACTAACGAACTCATCTGGATAATCAATAGCAAGAGGGTCGGAACTTGCTGTAGCGCCGCTCGGTCGCAGTCTGTAGTGGCGTCAGCAGCATCGAGCGCTCGTCGTTTTCTCGGCTTCTCAACAGCATGAAGAGTAGAAGTGCGGAGAGTGGGACCAGAGAACCGGCACAGCGGACGAGGCTGCGCAACTGGGTAGAAGACGAGTCTGGCACCGCGGGACGTTATCCTCAACTGGAGCTGGGCCGAACCGGGGTTACCAGCCAAAGTCCAAGGCCAGCTCGCCAATTAGGCGAATCAGGTGGGTGATGACATTTAATCCCCGGGCACCACCAATGTTCCCCCGAGTATTGGTCCCGGGCGTGTTTACTTGGCACCCAGGAGAGCGGTGTGTGCCGTCTCCGGCCAGCCACCTCACCACTGTGATGTGGCATCAGACGCCGAGATGGCGTTTACGACCTTGGGGTACTAACTAGTAGTGATATTGCGGAGACAACTGCTGCAGCAAAATACTTTACATGAGCTAGGTGCATCAGACACTAACTAGGGTCGTGATTGGTGTGGTTGAAGAGTAATTTGATCAAAGCGCATGAGCCCGAGGTCGAGGTCGAGAACGGCACACGGTAAATGTGATAATTAGTTCCCAGGGTCTGCTCTCGATATGCTCCCGTGCGTCCTTAGGTTGAAGATGGCCCGTTGTGAATCACCCCGTACCCCTGCCGACAGACGTGTGCCTGAAAGCCTAGCTCTTCTAAATTTGCAACGTGTCAGGATGCTCGTGCTGCAGTGAAACAGCTGATCTGAGATTTTGTCCTTCCTACAGCGGTAAGGTCTTGGGCACCTCTCAATGGCCCCAACTTCAACTTGAAGTTGAATGCCCCCAATGCCAAGCAGACGCAAGTTCCTAATCCGACCATGGGCTTATGCAAGCTATCAGGAAGATACTTGTATTACTCCGCGTACTCGTATCGCAAAAGCAATACTCACGGACGCTCTTCCGCTCCTTAACCTCTCACCGGTGCGTCTTACCATCGACAGCCTTGCATCCTTGCATCCGAGATATTTCGTCTAAAACGTGGACATTTTGAAGCAAACTCGGGCCAGCCCAGCGGCTTGCGCCAATGCATGGGCTGCTCCTTCGATTTCGCCATGATCTTGACCTACCTTTGAACAGTGCCTCATACCGTTGTAAAAGTCCAGATGCCATTCAACCATGCACACGAGTAACCCGCGCTGTTTCCATCCCAGCCAAAACTCCAGCGCCGATAATGCCCCCGTCCCGCGCTTCCCTCAAAAATACACTCTTTCCGCCGTCTTGCGGGCCGGCTCGCATCACCAGACGATCAATAAATCGCTGACATTGTTCCTTAAAGTTAGGGTAGTGCTGAATGATGCCACCCGTGTATGCAATTACCAGTTCCTCAGGGCCGGATTGCCATGCGGTCACACCAGGGGCAGGTGACAAGCCGTTCCGGGATCGACGGCGTGGAAGCTTGGAAGGCATGGCCTCGGCCTTTGCAGATCTGGTTTCGCTGTTGTTTTCGACCCTTTCCTTGTCCTCCGGTGCAATAGAGGATGGAGCTGAGGGGTCGGAAAGGGCAATCTCGCCAACTGTTGCAAGAAGACCAATGGTTGCAGCTGCAATGAGCCCAGCTGATCGTACCTGCACTAGGTTTGCGATTTTGCGGAGCGCACCAGCACTGTGTGGGGACCATGCCCAGTTTGAGCTTTCCGGGGGTGGTATCCTTCTCTTGAGTTCTGCTGCTAGCTCACCATCTGACCTAGCTCTTGCAACGACAGCGCTGACAAACGTGGTGGAGAAGCTGTAGCTGTGGACAATAGTTGCTGGTAATGATGACGCAGGAATTGGCGGACTGTGGGTCGTGGTCATGTAGTCGAAGAAGACCGTTCTGATCAACTCGCCGATATATCTGCCTCCAGTCATGTACTCAAGCGGTTGGAAGCCTGGTCTTGCGCAGGCAGCATCTAATTGACGGTCCCATTTGGTTGAGTCAGGCTCGAGTGGGCCGCATGCACCAGAAATGGTGATCTCAGTGTTGACCACCGTCTCGGTTGCTTTTGGATCATGGGCGATAATACCTTTGGCCTTGCTCTCGGCTAGATCGCTCAGCTTCATTGGAATGGTGGCATTACAGCCCGTTCCAACGATTATACCAGCAGCGACACGAGAGTTTGGGAGTGATTTCACGCTATAGGCCAACGACGCTAGTGTAGCTACCGTGTCATTGGTGATTGCTGCGATTTTCAGCCGCGGTAGGGGCCCGAGTCGTCTACGCTTCGAGCGTGGGGAGGTCTCGGAGAGTGATTGGCGTCGAGTGTGCCGAGCGTAGCCAGCGAGAAGAAGTGGTGCAAGATTCAGATCCGATGTAATGGCAAAGCCTTTGCCCATCGGCATAAGTGTGGCAGCAGAGAGGGTGTCTTGCCTGGAGGCAGGTCAGCTTGTTCCAAGTAAGGATGACAAGAGCCCAAATTGGCCAGAACAATGTCGTGCTGCCAGTTTTCAAGCAAGCGGCTTTCAACACTCACATCATTGGGAAGCTGAACGTAATACCCATGACCAACTCCTCAGGAGCCCTCAGCTTATAGTTATCAGAGCTCAAGCGGTCCGAGACAACCTCTGCAATACAATCACCAATCCATGAAAATAGATCCTCAGCCTTGTCCATCTTCAGATGCTCCCCAATAGGCCATGCTTTCTCTAGGATTCTCCTCACCCTTGGTATTTGGGCCTTTTTGATCGTTTCGCGAGGTTTCTCTGTTGCATTGGGTGACTGATCATTGTCATCTGCAGCCTCGCCCAACAATTCGATAAACGCTACCCGCAAATTGGTTCCTCCCACGTCAATGGCTAGAAATTGCCCGGTTTCCCGCCCAGATGGAAGACTGGTGACTGGTGTAGGCAGAAATTGCTGATCAGATCGTTGTGCTAGGTCCTTGTAGACGGTGGAGAATTGATAAGCCAGAGTATGAAGCTTTGATTCACCGATGACGAGGGGACTAATAAATGCTTCCAGCTCCTGATCATTCTCATCTGGCGGAGCTGAACCGGTGCTCATAGACTCTATTGAGGCCAGCTCCGACATTCTGCTTTCGCGCGTCGCCAACCTGTGAAGCCGACTCTAGTTTTCTGGATAGGTCATAATATAGGATCGTAATGCCGCCTCCTATGGGGAAGGTAGCGATGGCACTAGGCGGTCCAGAGGTGTAGGCAGACTACCAAAGTGACAGGCATGTTTCTGCAGACTATTGGATGGTGCAAGACTGCTCATGAGGCACAAGATTTGAAGACAAAGTGGAATGAATGCTACCTCAGCACAGGTCAAGGCCGGTCCGATGTTACCCTGTGGAGGTGCAACAGGGTCTCCTCAGCCTCAAATTGAGGCGTTAACCTACCGATAATAAATCCCAAAGGAGCTTAGGTGAAGGGTTTGTATTCCCTACATTGTTCTTGCATGCTCTCATCGTAAACTTTTGGTGCTTCCAAAGCACGTTGCACAACTCCACCGTTTCAAGAGGAAAGAAATGCAAGCATGGACGAAAATTTCCAGGGAAGTCCTGAAACAGTTCGCCCTCCCTCGTGGTCCACACTGGCGAAACACAGAGAGTAGTGATCTCGGAATAATAGGTCAGACTGTGGCACTTGGTCCAATCTTCTGCGGGCGGGCGACATCGGTCTAGGGCTCCCTTGGGCTGGGCTCAAGCCATTTCTGCACTGTGCCCCCCCCGTCCCACACATAGTTCAGTGCACGGTTGATCTCTTCACGAGTCCAGGTCGTGGGTCACTGGTAGAACTTGTGAAGGGATTCAGTGAGCTGTACGTGATGAGTTAGCGAGTTTTATAATGCTTGGGCAGTGCACCAGGAACGGTAAGTGTGAGCTTGTGCTCGCAGCTTTTGTAAATGCTCATGATCAGCAACTATTTATGGAGCAATCGGATCGCATTAATCCTATCGAGTCCCAAAAAAAGACAGCTTGGCCGATCAACTGGATCGATACTGGTAGTACTAGTTATTTGAAGCGATCTACTTACCCACCGCAGCGCTCTAGAACGCGAGGAAGACAATGAGTGCGATGGCATCCGGGTAGAATACAGGCGGCTCATTCCCGTAACTAGAAGATGCTGATACTCGTACCTAACTAAACGTTTCTTTGTGACAATTCAACTGCCCCCTCCAGGGTAGCTGGCAAGATTCACGGTTAGATGACGGAGCCCGCAGTCTCGGCGGATTCACATTTCTCGACCACCCAACAGTTTCCAGCAATGTATTGACTTGTCGGCATCTACATTCAGTGTCAGCACCCGCAATGGACAAGAACCCTCAAACGTCCCACGACGACGAATCCATCCAGCCAAAATGGCATCCTTCTTATCGAGATCGCACCCTTCGCCGCCTCTGCGTTGCTGTCTGCCTCCTACTCGCTATCTGGACGTTCGCACGCTCGCTTCTTCCCTATCTGTCTGCTTGTCACCATTCCGATCGGCAAAGAGTAGCTGGGGATGAGTTTCCCCAGATCAGTATTCGGAACAATACACGCAGGGTCTCGTTCGAGGCGCACATCATGTCCAAATGTCCCGATGCAAAGGCCTGTCTACAGGAGCTAGTTGTGCCGGCCATGGAAAAGGTTAGCGATAAGGTCGACTTCGAGCTGAGATATATTGGAAGGTGAGTGTCATAAGCACATCCCTTGCTTTCCTTCACCCAGCACAGGACACCCAAGCTCACAACCCTCAGCGTCGACCCCAACTCCGATGCCATATCCTGCATGCACGGGCCCCCCGAATGCCTAGGCAACATGATCCTTCTCTGCGCCGCCCAGCTCTATCCCGACCCCAAGCTCTCTCTCGGCTTCGCGAACTGTATGATCAACGACTACCACGACATTCCTTCACGCGATCTGGTCGAGTCGTGTGCCATGGAGCATGGGATCGATTTCAAGAAGATCAATGGCTGCATTAGCGAAGAAGGAAAGGCGCAAGGTTTATTGAAGGACAGCGTGGAGAGATCGGCTGAGGCGAATGTAAGCACAAGCTGTACGATAAGATTGGAGGGGAAGACGTGGTGTGTGACGGATACGAAGAAGGATTGTAATGATGGTGGTAACTTGGATGGGCTGATTAAAGATGTTGAAAGTGCTTATGAGGACCTTAACTCGTAAACCTTTACTGACCAACATCACAATGATGATGGTCCTTGTAGCTTTGGACCTAGCTAACTCTTACGAAGGTTCTACCATTCTCCCTTAAGTTGTGCTACCTAATTTGGCTGCTCCGAGCCCTCTGTGTTTCATGTAGGCATGCTACATAGTACATGTCCAACGAGCCTGACGACTTCTTGATGACAGGGTACACATACACATTAGGTTGTATGCAATCATTGCTGTGTTCATTGCTTACCTATTTTGGCTGAATCTGAGTAGATAGTTCCATTGTAATTTTCTCTACTGGCCACACATCCTTTGACGATGCGCCATCCTTCATCTATACCTACTCGCCCTTGCCAAAAGCCTTGTCGTAGTTGGTCAATGTATACCGATATCTGACGGCGTTATCATGCACGCCCTGTACCACCTTCTTGCACCCATCCTCGGAAATCTCCACCGTTTCAATCATCGGCTTCAAATTCTTGTCGGCAGCCAGCTTCAGCATAGCCAACGCCTCGGTCCTGCACCCAATATGTGACGTTCCCATTTTGCTGCCGTTCGAGGCGAAATCCTGCGCCATCAATTCAGGGAACGGTCCATCCGGCAGCCCAACGTGGTGAAGCTCAGCACCAACATTCAGAATGCTGATATAGTCTTTCATGTTCATCTTGTGTCCCATGTCTGCCGAATTCAGTACGTAGTCGAACTCGAAGGCCAAGGGTTGTGCCCAATCCTTGTCTCGTGAGCAAACGAAGTGCTTAGCGCCGAGCTTCAGGGCGTCTTCCTTCTTATTGGGCGAGTGCGAGATGGCCGTGACTTCGGCACCAAGTGCGTTTGCAAACATGATTGCGAAGTGACCGAGTCCACCAATGCCAACAATTGCAACCTTCTTGCCTGGCCCGACTCCGGCGCGGACGAGGGGTGAGTAGACCGTCAGACCTGCGCACATCATTGGAGCGGCCTCGATGCTTGGTATGGAGTCTGGGATTGGGAAGGTGAAGTATTCATGTGCTCGGATGTGGCTGGCATATCCACCTTGCGCGATAGTGCCGTCGGGGTATGGCGCACCATAGGTGTCGACCTGCTTGGGGCAGTAATTCTCGTTATCACTTTTGCATTGCTTGCACTCCATACAGGACTGGATCTGCGCTCCGACACCGACGCGGTCGCCAACCTTGACTGTGCTGACTTTGGAACCGACCTTGACGGCCTTTCCAATGACTTCATGACCGACGCAGAGGGGCAGCGGCACCTCCCCCCAGCCGCCATTGATACTGTGGACGTCTGAGCCGCAGACACCACAGCACTCAATCTTGATGTCGATGTCATTGTCTTCGAAAGGCTTCGGTTTGAACTGATCAGCGTCAGTGTCTCCTAACACCAATTGACACGCGGAACCATCTTACATCTTGCTTCTTGAAATTGGTCCAGTCTTTCTGCGACTCAACCATGAAACCCTCAAAAGAATCTGGATAGCCCATTGTGAAAGACCGTGTTGGATCTCTAATCTTCGCCAAAAGTACACAGGTCGAAATGTCTTACATGCGGATAATGATAATGGCAAAGGACGCTCAAAGAAAGATGAGGAGAGTTCCGTATGTGACTTACCGGCTGCCTGCAGAAGATGACATGTTCATGATGTTCATATTTCGCTTGGTGGGACTCTTGACACAGTCCTCCCTCGGTCCAATTGAATGTAATGTGGGTAAATAGAGAGATGACGTCTCATTCTCATGCGGTCATTGCACAACTGCCACCACCACCACCACCACCACTGGCAGGCTGAAGCAAATCTTCGGTCTCGGTCCGGCAATTTTTAGCCGAAGTGTCGCCGAGGATTCTTGAGCCGTTTCCCTCCCTCTCCCGGATGGGTTGCAATATGAATGCGAATGCTACCAACATCGGTTCACTGTACCGATCCTGATATTGGATTGTAGCCGTACTCCTGTTACTGCCGGAGGTGATGAGGAGTCACCCTAGGTCAAGTAGAGATCTGATTTGTTTGTGTGGAAAAATAAGCCTAGTTGAGTTTCAGTGGTGCTTCAGGAGCGAGCTGCACAGTTTACAGACTTTCTATGTGACGGCACTCAATCTAGATCCAACCTCTGGGAGACATCGACTGTGTGCTCAATCGCGGTTTCTCTTTCGGGCGCTAAGGGCTTGGTGCACTCTCCCGGACGAGATGCTCAAGGGTGGGGACAGCGATCGACTCTGGGTTATCGTAGTCAGGCTCCCATCTGAAACCAGCGATCCTTCTTCGGTGACGGTCGTACGTGAGCGCTCAGAGTCATTGGAAGACGGAGCCTCATCTGAGATCTGTGGTCTCCGTATATTAACATCGTCAGGGTTTGCTGTGGGCTGTTGCGATCCACTCCCTGGCTGCTGACGCTGTGGTCTCGCCTGTCTCATGCTAATGGTGGAGGATTGCGAACCAACGGGTGGCGGGCTTTCATACGGAGCCTGTGGTCGCTGCTGAAGGACGATTCGAACGGAGGGGCTGGAGCCTGGCCCGTGTGGTCTCGTTTGCATCGTGGTACTCGGTCGGGGTATGATACCCGTGGGACCTGGAAGCGAACGTTGTGATCTCCCTTGGACGAGGGGATTGATCAAAGCAGAGTGAAAGTCTTTGGCAGACAAGCCTGAGTATGGGACCTGCAGCCTTTGCTGAGCGGCGGCGCTAAGCGAGACGAGTGGAGAGATGCTGAGAGACGATGTAGAAACTTGCTCCTGCGATCTTATATAAGTCGGGAAATGGAGGCTGCAATTCCTTGCACTTACACTCTGTGCTCTTCCCTGGGTACAACATTTGCAGCATCCGTGACCGCAATTATCGCACTCATCTCGCATCTGGTAGTCCAGCTCACACCTGCAGCACTTCCAATCACGATCAACGAACCGCAGTCGCTGGTGGTGTGGCTTGTCACAGTATGTGTCCCTATGATACCTGGTGACTGTCTCCTGAACCCCGGAACAAAACCTGTGATAACCACCTTGAGTCTTGGTTTTACCACACATTTTGCTGGCTTTTGATGGATCACTGTGGCTGCAACCACAGCAAAACATGATCCTGTATTTTCTACACTCGCAGGCATGCTGTGACTTGGCTGACATCTATGCTTGCGTGATGGCAGCATCTAGGGGGTTAGCAGTATCAAGTGGCCGAGATACGGCACGACATGTTGTATCTGTCTTATACGAAATTTAACAAGAGCGTTATCTCAACCATAGCAGAGTGGGACATAGATTGTCACAGAATTGGAAGCATGTCCCTGCGATGTATCTCACGCGTAGGGGGTACACATGGACTCTTAGCGAAACAATTCCGGAACTGATCATGGACTACAAGATCAGCAGCTGAGAATGCTGGGTGACAATAAAACATCCCAAGGAGAGTCTAAGGCAGGGCAGCTTATCGTGGAGTCAGTCACAGAAGCATGTTTTGGCATGGAAGAAGAGACTTGGCTGGTTTCATGCTAAAAAGTCGGGTTGATGACGGTGGAAGCAATAATCATGACAGGGTAATTGAGGTTGTCGTGAGTTTCGATTCTGCGAGTGGAAAAGCACAGGGCACATTTGCCTATGTAGCAGGCTCCGCGATTTGATCCCGTTCTGCTTTCTGACCCTCCGCAACAACCCAGAGCAACAACTCAGAAGCGATGTACTGTATAATTGCCAAGGCTTGACATGGGTGGTGAGGACCTTCGGACCCGGATTGCCAGTATTTGGCACAGGCCGGAAGGCCTATCTTGAACGGCGTCTGCTTGAGCTCATAGTCACTGCCTATACTTCACCTAGATCAGCCGAACACCTAAAAAGGAGCTACCTGTCCAGATGGTGCAGAAATATTTCTCACAGAAACAAGGTTCCATGCGGCTGAGCGTCGGTCTCTGATTCCTGCACCTCAATATGGATTGGCAATACAGCCATTACCGTCGTATGTATGCTCCGTCGGTACCGGTCTCGCAATTCTAACAATGCGCCTTTCTAGAAAGGGATCAAAGCATACAAATTGAGGATGACAATTCAAATCCCGATTGTGGAGTGGTCCCTGACGTTGCTTTGGAACGCCTTTCATCTGGTCAGTCATTTCGACGGATCATCTCCCTATCATACGAGAATAGACTTCGATGCAAATGGCACGTTCCACTTCGAGCCAACGATGATGCACACGTCGATAGTGCGTTCCTTTGTTCCGATAAGGTTCTAGATGGGAACCTGCAGTGCACTGGGGATAGCGAAGCCAAGCTTCTTGGTACGGATCTGGGCAGATCCGGGCGTTGAGCGCGAAGATCGTTTCCTTTCTTCCACACCACATGTCACCAACAGCAGAAGTCATCCCTTTTAAGCCTTCGGTGGGCCCGCTTTCTTACCTCTTACGGGTGTCGTACATCTGCATATGGCTCTTCTATGCCCCTTGGCATTGCCCTACCAAGCTCTGCCTTGCCCCTAGCAGCTACCTTGCTGCCTGTTTCGGTCTGCTTTCGTCTAACGTGCTCGAGTAGTAGGCTTTTGTGTCTCAGAAGAGAACTTCTCATTTCTTTTAGAGTGAGTCTGGTTTTCCATGACAGCGCTAAAAAGGGATCTTACCCGCTAGAGGTCTGAACGTGGTGATTGCTAAAATGCAATCAAGCAGTCAAGGCCGACCGGAGGACGCGCTGCGCCCCCTTCCACGCCTAAAGCAGCAACGTTTACTCGGATTTGACCTTAACAGATTTCAAATCTAGTATTCGGACCATACAACAACTCGGCACCTTGTGGAATTGATGTCCACGATTACGTCGGCCGAGGGCCGCGAACATGTACGCCGCATCCTATCCAGATATATTAATATGGATGATCATATCCTCCAAGCTCTCTTCTCTACATCTTCCCTCCAAGGCCTTCACCTGCTTTTAAATTGATCTTACTATCCAACGTGGACTTTCACTTCCTTTAACATGAAGACTACCGGAATCCTTTCAGGTGTCTTTGCCCTCCTGGTAGCATCCGCCGTTGCTGTACCCACTGATTACTACCCTCCCAGCGGCAATGGAAACAACAACGGCAGGGGACATGGAAAGGGCGGGAACGATAGGGATTGCCAGAATGGACCATTTAAGTTCACCTCGACCTACAATGTCGTCGCCACACCAGACCAGGTTGTTAACGGCACAACACCCACAGGTGGTCTCCCCGGCTGCACAGGGTTCTTTGACTATGGCATAAATTCCGATTTAAATCTGATTTGCTGGAATATCAAGCTTGTCGATTTCCGAGGCGAATATCAATCACCCGCCCGAACTGCGACTCACATCCACCAAGGAGCAAGGGGTGCAAGTGGTCCGCCAAGAATTGTTTTCCCCAACCCAGTTGGCAATGGCACCGAGAGATACTCGTACGGATGCCAGATGGGCAAGTAACCCCTATTTAGCGATGCCGATCTGGTAATAACACATGGATCTAGGGCCTTTCACCACCGGCATCCTTGCAAATGGTACTGATACTGGCACTGGGTTCACGGTTAAGCAGATTGAAGATAACCCGTCTGGCTTCTTCACCGACGTGCACTCCAGCCTTGCGCCACCAGGGGCTGTTCGTGGACAGTTAGCATAGGAGATGTAAACAAATATTGCAAAACAGTCCCCAAAAGACTGGGTGTTGAGGAAATGGTGTTTGTGGCTTGAGGGTTGTGGGGCAAGATCAAAATGGACAGGGTGTATGGTTGTACGTAATAACTACCTAATTCTTCCTAATAAGTCGGCATGGTAATATTACTGGGTACAATCTTTTGACACCAGGTAATGCGACCCAGTGGCTAAATGGAGATAATGATTTAATGTAGGATAGTATGAGAAGGTACTGATACTTATTATGGTACATTTCTTTGATGTAGGTCTCTTGGCACATTTCCGCTCAAGACCGCCTTGGCGGACTCCGTTCCAGCATCCACTGAGCCACAGTGAACTTACCTGGCCGAAAATGACGCCTTATTGGTCCTAAGCAGATTAACCAATGGTTTGTGGTTATAAAAGACTAAGGACGTCCATGGATCATAATCCACTCGTCATATGACCATAATTCCGGGAAAGGACGTCTTGGTTGTATATCTCTACACAAACTAGATCATACTATGGTTAGGCTTAAACTAAGCACATATTGATGGTAATTTAGACATAGCTCTCAGAGGTGTTCTTCCTGGTAAGAAGCTTATCCGTGGCGTTTTCTTAGTGTCCCGGAAATTGCTCACTATTCCAAGCCTTGTTTGAAGCTTGCCCGTCAGGCTCCTCTACAGCAGACATTGGGATGGATGAGCACTGGCAGCCCGCGAACTAGTATTAGTAGCAATGGAAATTGGCAGGCATACGCAACCTGAAGAAACTGCCGAGCGAGCACGCAATATGTCAACCATGGTCTCAGAAAGGGGCTTTGAAGCATGACTCTGCATGACATCGTCCTTTCGTACCACAGGATTACTGGTCCTTTAACTTCGAACTTGGACTCCAGCTCGATGAAGGATACTCATGAAATAGTACGTACCCATGACAGATACTCATGCAAAGACAACAAACGAGCATGGGTCCGTAACTATCAAAACACAGTTCACGTACACAGCAATCAGCTTCAAAGCTGTACAGGCACTGACACCGGAGATATACCCGCCCGTAGGAAGAAGTGCTCGACCTAGCACTCCTCCCAAGGACACGGGTTCCACACCTCCGCCAGAGTAGACGAGTTCCGGGACCTTACTAGTACTAATTATAGAGATAGTCCCCTGTCCTTTTCCTCAGATCGCCCCTGGAGCTAGACCTTCTCATGAACGGACAAGCCGCAGGCATCAACGTCCTCACACCCTAGGACCTAATACTGGCATCTCTGCTAATGAACCATGTGAGATAGTAGTTGATTGCATCAAGCCCGTGTAGTTAAGGTCATTTCCGCTCTTCTGCAAGAGCGCCTTTGGTGATCGGGCCACATCTCTCTCGGAAGGTAACTTGGCCTCTTCTACGCTTTGATAGAACGTCCTTGTTGCGGATCTACAAAATGATACTAGCATATCCGATGAGTAGGATGAATGGTTCAACACGGTTGGATGCTGCATGGATCCTCCTCGGTGATGGCGAGTGCCACCGCAGCCCCATTTCGTAAGGAGACACATTCAAGTGTTCGAGGTACGGAGTACTAGTGTCGACAATTGAAAGTGAAAGTGGCTTGGCGGACTTGCCAAGCATTACTTTGAAGGAGAATGCTCCCTGAAACCATCGATGTGTGCTTGCTATTGACCCGCCAATAGGTGGGTTCTAGAGTTGATGATTTCAACCGAGTTTGGTACTCCGTAATTACTGCAGCGATCTTGATGAGAGATGAGATTCAGTTTAAAGGATTACAGATCATTTAGGTGAACTACAGCAAAGTTAACGTCATGATATGACCATTATCATGGTACAAACGAATGCCTAAATTCTTTTGCAGAGGTCTTCATAGATCTTTCACCAACTTATTGTGACTTCAAAATACAAAAACCAAGACTCTAACCCCAGGTAGGAAGGAACGCACTTTTCGGCGGCTCGAGGAGGATGTACCTTGTATAAAAGTACTAGTATACGGCCAAGACATTTTCAATCCGATTGAGTTTTGTCATTTCAGACCCCTTTACCATAAATTCATTCGATGGACCAATACAGCGTTATTCTCAAAACCCTTCTTCAGGTAAGTATCACATACAGCGTTAAAGCCTAGTTAGTTCTAATATCACAACTCATGCAATCCAAAGCAGCACAGCGCGACACGGAGAATCCATCATAAATTTACCTAGGCGATAAGTACATCCTGCCAACCCACTTAGAAGTTCGTTACATGAACTGCTTATGCAGCATCGCATCCGAAGGTATAGTTATGGATAATTCTTATTGCACTGAAAGGGGGGGGGGTCTCAGCCAACGGCAGCTAAGCAGATACATGTGCTGTGCCTCAAAGAAGCATCTGGTTTCAGGAAACGCCGGCCAGATTGGCCTTAAAGCACACTTTCTGACCCAGCACACTGCACCCTTTCCATTTTCCTAATTTTTGCTCTGATCCATCGCATCATACCGACCCCATGGCGTTGTCCGCAGTCATTTCAGTGTTGTTCTTGTCGTCACTGGCTTTCCGTGCTCGCTCAGAATGCACATCTCCCATCCCGATTTCTTTACCTATCAAAAATGTCACGTTGGCAAACGGCATCAAGAGGCGTGGATTCACATTGAACGTTGGAACTCCGGCACAATCAATGGCCCTGGCCGTGAACGCGTGAGCTACAACTGCTCTTGTTAGCCTCCAGTTGCTGAAGAGAACCACAGAGACTGGAACAACACGATCATATATGGCACAGACGGACGCTGTAATGGCCTTGAAGCTGCTCAGTGTAGCTTCAGTCGAGGCGGCCTGTTCAACGATACCCTTTCCACCACCTGGGAAAATCCTCCCACACCCTCTGCTGCCGAGTTTCGTCCAGCAGATGGAGGCACGTTGAGCGCGGCAGCTTTCGGCGCCGACACGATCATCCTCAGCAACACAGCAGGCGAGTTGACGGACTTCACATTCTTCACCCCACGCTCTGGTGACCTTCCGCAGTCAGGTCTCGGTTTAGGACGCAACAGCACTTTCTTGGATAGTCTATTCAGTGCTGGCAAGATAGCGTCCCGCACATGGTCACTCTTCTGGGGCTTGGAAGGCGGCGACCATGCCGATACCGCGGATGGGTCTTTGACGCTTGGCGGCTACAACATGGCTAAAACCACTGAACCCAATATCACCCAGCCATTCAGTTCACTTGCGGATATGACTCAATGTCCAAGCAGCATGATAGTCTTCGTCACAGATATCCAGGTCAAGCACTCCAACGGGACATCCATCTCGCTCTTCGGGGATGGAAAAGGCAATGCTTTGCGAACTTGCATCAAGCCAGATATACCACTTATCACATTCCCCAGCGACATCTGGAACGCCTTCAAAGCAGCCATCGGTGGTACCTATATCGGGCCGAGCAACAGCTACAAACTGTGGGGGATGAGATATGCAACCCAAGACATCTTCGACGGCGACCTTCAGTTTGTCCTCAGCTCCGGACTTGAGCTGACAGTGCCAAACAGCCAATTCGTGGTGCCAGACGTACAGGTTGATAAGGCGGGACAAATGCAGATTCCCAACGACACCATCAAAGAAATCCTTGTCTACAACCTGGAGGATAGCAATGTGAATGACATGCCACTACTCGGCCAGGTCTTTCTGACCTCAGTATACATGCATGTTGACAACGAGCGGGAGCAGTTTACCCTGTGGCAGGCCAACCCGACGGCCGACGAAGATCTCGTCGCTGTTCAAAGCACAAGCGTGAGTGTCTGCAACTCTACCACGCCAAATTTAGTGGGGAATGGAACACCCTCTGCGTTGCCCAAAAAGCCCCCTTCGACAGGTGCGATCGCAGGCGCAGTCCTGGGGCCTGTCTTCGTCATTGCTCTAGGACTCCTCGTTTGGTATTTCGTCGCACGCCGGAAGAAGGGTCAGTTGCCCAGTACCGCACACCGGCAATCTCTGCTGCACGATACCCACAAAGAGATGGTATCCGCCGGCTATGGTCCTAGACTTGCGTACGAGAATGCCTGGCAGTCTCATCAGCTTCATGGAACATCCAAGCCGTTAGAGCCGCATGAAGTCGGAGGGGCTCAAATCCACGAGATGCATCCAGATTATGTGTCGCCTCGGTATGAACTCTATGGTAGTGCCAGCAGCATATGATGGAAATAGCTGTGGACGTTGAGAATGCACACAAGTCTTGGAGGGTCCGCGCAAACGCCCAAGGGGAGTGATGGCTGGTCCGCCAAGAGCTTATGGACAAGCCTCGCCACACAGCTGGACCTTGGTGCAGAGAATACCGGAGCCGAACGAGTAAAACTGGAACGCTTCAGGTCATACCAGCAATGGGTTGGCTAACCCTGAATTTACTGACGCTGAGATCCTTTTCACATCAATCACAATCAACACTCCACCACACACCCCTTAGATAGACATTTTTCGAGAACCTACCAAATTACCTGGCCTTGCCGTATCTGGCCCAGGCAGCGGTTGTAATGACCACAGGAATTAACACTGCTGCGGATGGTACTCGGTATTTCCTCCTTTTGTCCCCGACCACGAAGGAGGATTGCAACGGTTCAGAGAATCCTGCTCAGCTCATGTGCGCCTTTCTCCACCATCATCGATGCTCCAGCCAGGCCATACATTAGGTACTATGGCATTGAGAAGTACTAGAAGTAGAACCCAGTTGGCAGTGCAAAGTGAAGGTTCTGTCTTTTCCTTAAGGGGTAGCAGGCGGTGGGAAAGCCCGCAGTTAGTAGGGCGGAGCAGCATTCTCCTGCAAGGAGAGAGATGTTTGTCGAGAATGAGGGAACTCGGTGCATCCTGCGGGTGAGAGGATGGGAACTGTGGTTGACTAGATCATACGGAGCGACGAAGCGGAGTTGTGTCACTGCGAGGAAGATATCCATTCTGGGTTGTCGGGTTGGGTTATAAAACATGTAGGTCGATGTTCCTGATATAGTAAATTACAAAGCCCGTGCAACGAATCGCAAAGCGATCAGCACTTTACCGTTACACCACGTGTCTTCACTCAACGAAATTCCCTCACGTTCACCCCGACCGCCTTATCGTCCTCGAACATGAGGGCCTGGCTTTCAGGCAAGTGTGCCACGCTCGGAAATCTCTCTCCAGCCGCGGTGACGGGAATAGGACCGCGGGTATTGAGCCAGCTCACCCCTCTTCCTTCGAAAACCATCCGCTGCAGCTGCAGCTTGTCATCCAGAATCCAGTTCTGGTAGCTCTCTAGTCCGATGAAGCTTGCTGCGGTCTCCAAGATGCAACTGAGCACAAGCACGATTGCACCAACAACAAGGATGATCGCTAGGCCCAGCACGGAGAAAGAGATGGTGCCATATGTTGCTTGAGTCTTTTGGATGGAGCACATTGCAACTTCTGCTGGAGTCTCAGGTGCGCGAACATAGCTTCCGGGCCCCAGATTCGTGGGGCTGGCATAGTCTCGCAAAACGTTCTGCAAAATCACAAGACCAGTGTTGAACCAGGACGAGAGTTCGACCTGCCACTGATTTGCAGGCAATGAGACTTGATGGATCGCCTGAGCAGTTTCCAAGGCCCTGAGAGCTGTACCCGAGCGACCGTTGATCACTTGAGCCACGCCCGTGAAGATAGCTGCGAATGCTAGTCGTTGAGATATGGCTTCTTGAAGCTCGGTTAGGCCTTGGGACTGGGAGAATACTACACCGTAAGCAGAAAGCGGTGTGCAGGCATCACCGTGGCAGATTTGATGTTGCTCGGTACAGGCAATAGGACTGAGGTATGAATCGGCTTCATAGTAGACAAGTTCCTGACCATCATTACCGGTGAGGGAGATATTGCTGACCAAGTGAGCAGAGAAGACAGGGTCATCAACAGGTACTGAGTACAGCATTGAGTTTGCTGAGATGAACACCATTTGAACATCAGCATCCGTCCGATTGAGAGGTGCAGCAGGTGTCCAGGAGGAGTGACCGCCGGCGTTCGCGTAGTTCGTACTATCTCAATGTTAGAACGTGCTAGATTACTTCGGCCGGGCCGACTTACTTGACTATGTAGCCAATATTCGAGCGTACCGCATATTTGCTATAAGAGATTGTGTAATTCCGGTCACCGGAAGGTCCATAATTCCATGTGACCAACGCCGAGTCGTTATTTTGCTCTATATAGCCTTCCTCGACAAGCACCGCACACGTAGTCACTCTCCTATACTTTAACCGCTCTTCCACTGGGGTGTTTATACCCAGATCATCATGGGAGTCGAGCAATCCAGTATCCATTTGGTAGGTGTTATTTCGCCAGCATATATTGTCTCTGAATGGGCAATCGGTCGCCTTGCCTTCCCACCGGATGACAGGGGTGGCGTACATGTCGCAGCCGAGGGCATCCGCTGACCCATCGTAACACCTGCGAGCGTATGCCGATGCGTCCTGACTGTCTTTTAGAACTTTAGCTGCGAATGCCCCTTGTCCAGGTTGGTAATGTCCCTCCGCATTCGTACTGCGATTTGTGCCCCAGTACCCGCACTGGGAGCTCTGTATCAGTCGATCCTGCCCTGCGGCCTTCGTGACTTCGGAAGAAGCGAAAATGGACAAGACAGCGAAAACAACGATATATGAGATCGAGAACAGAGCCCAGGGTAGCGAGCGTAGCATGACGTGGCGTGCTCGGCCGGACCAATGCCAACTCTGAAGTATGAATGACCATGCGGCTCCCCCGGGTGTACTTGAATTGCGAAACACATTTTGATGCTGATGGTAGAGCCCGTCCTTGGGCTTCTGCGACGCCCGGCTCTGATGGAAGATAAAGCACAAGATCTTCCACAGCTGAGCTCCGACAATTGTAACAAATGTAGCAATGAAAGAGGTCAGAATTGCGCTGTTACGCGCAGAGAGTGTAATTGTAGATCCGAGGACGCGGCCGTGAGACCAATTGACCCAGAAACCGGTGTAGATTGAAGTGCTGTCAGCCGACATGATTCTGTAGCATGCCTTTTTGCGGTATTGCTATGTATAGGCGATGGATTGAAAGCCTTTTTGTACGATGGTTATCCTTTTGTAGGAGACGGACAACCATTGTGTACATAAACAAGGCGCTTGCCGGACATTTCCAACCTTACTTTGGGGATCAAAATAGAATGCATGCTGCTGGATCGGTTGTAGGAGCAGATCATTGGCTGATGTGGAGGTCTGGATTGGCTTGTCGAAAAGGGCGCTTGCAGAAGAGGAACTTTATGCAGCCAAGATATGAAGTTGGGAGGGGCAAGGCTGACAGCTCCCTAGGCAAGTAGCCTGCTCAGTACCAGGCACATTCAAACGCCCAACCTGAATAGGAGATCATATAGCATGTGGCTGATGTGGTGGCAGCACGTGGGTCTCGAAGTCTGCCTATTGTTATTGGGAGGACTTGGAGGTTGAGAACAAGCGAGGCGGTTCCAAGAGGGCGTCCTTCGTGTGATGGCTGTGAATTATGCCCCATCGTCAAAAGGCTGCATTGTGGCCTCGGGAGATTCATATGAGCACATCCCACAATAATACGGCTTGCGGTTGAAAGGGCGGCCTCGTTCCCAAGGAACGGCACGAGGCGTCCCAGGACGATCTGATCAGTCGTCTCCTTCAATATCTGGCTGCTAAGGTTCCATGCCAATCGCTCTCGTGTGATGGTTATCCAGCTATCAAATATACAAGACTTGAACTGAGTCGTTGCTCCTTGTGCACCACTGGCTTTGAAATTGGAGACTGGTATATCTGAGTTGGAGATTGATACATCTGAAATACGGAGGGGCCCATTGATGCCGCTGTTCGAGAGTGAGCCTTGAGAGAGCATACAGCTCATCAGACCTGCATTATCACAAGGAAGGAAGACTACACCAGCATGTAGGCCAAAGACCGCACTGGTCAATGCTAGACCATTCGCTCGGCTTGGTCTTCTGACGTACACACGTCCACGCCCCATACTTTGCTCTTCGTGTTGTTAACTGCGTGACAACTGTGCTTGTGTACGCATCAAATCGACTGCTGGGGCAAGCAAGCGGCTCTTGTCCTCGGTCTGCCTTGGTGTGTCAATGCCATGGCCATCTTTAAGAATGCTTTTAAATATGGTTTCATTTGCCTCGAAGCATCGTAGGGAATCGAGAGATATAGCAGGTTTGCTGGTCTCTGGTGTTGTTCTCGTTGTTCACTCCTCTATACGATTCCACTTCAATATCATGCTTACCTTTCCACCTAGACAAGTTTGAGCGCCACCTTGAAAGTATTTACCCTTGGTGAGACAAGAGTTATTGAGGTAAAGATGGCTTTCGTTGAATGCTATGAGCGTGCATCTTTTTCACTCCTTAGGTTGGATCATACTGCTCTGGCTCGGCTCCAAATATGTCCTTTGAGAGCATCGAGCATTGCCGGAGTAGAGGCATCCTGGCACACATGGAGAGGTGGAGGCAGTTTGGGCGCATATCTGTCGCTCATATTCATAAATGCACCCCCTCTTCTGCGTCGTCATCCTCTTCTGCCATCCTCGCTTCCATCTCCCTTCGTAGCTCTTCATCGGTCAGGGTACCACCAGCTGCGGCTTCGCCATCCACTTCTCCATTCATTTCTGCTTCGTGCCATTTCTGACCTCTCCGCTCAACCTCGTTCTTGATTAGCTCGATCCTGCCATTCATCCTGCCAATCACTTCCTCATTCTCCCGCACAGCAGCCACGCAGTCAGCATCCCCTCCGGCACTATTCGAGTAGTCTTCGAGCTCTTTGTTCGATCTTTCCAGGTGAGCAATAGAATTTCGAATCTCCGAGACTTTAGCATAGAGGTTCTCCACTGGCAGGTCCTCAAGCGCAGCCGCAAATTGCGCGGGTGGAATTGGCCTTGCTTCTGAGGACATTGGTGTGGAAAATATTGAAGATGCACTAGCAGATCTAGTACATACAGTACTCTGTACTAGTTATATGTATGTAAATTTGGTTGTGGGGAGTTGTAGGGAAGGGCCAGAGGACCTCCGGACCGGAGCGACCGAAGGGACCCCTTCAAAATTATTTGAACCCCCTCATACCCCCAGTATACTTGTAGATTCGCCCTCTTTCCAACACCACAAAACAATGGCGACGCCTGACGCATGGGATGATAATTGGGAGACCGCTGCAGACGTAAGCTGTCAAATACAATCTCCCCAGAACACCGTGTCTAACCATGGCAGATACCGTCCGAACCGGCCAAGAAACCCTCCTCCAAAATCACCAAAGCCCAACGCCGCGCACAGCAAGCTGAATTCAACCGTCAACTCTGGGAAGAGGCCGAAGGCCCCCGAGAACCAAACTACTTCCTCGAAACCCGAGGCGTCGTCCCCAAGGCCGACTTCAAGCCACCCCCGAAACTGCTCTCACGAAAGCCTCCTACTCCTGCATCCGGCGAAGCCAACGGGGACGTGTCCTCGGACGAAGCGGACGGGGAGAAGAAAAAACCTACGATCGAAGAGCAGAGGGCTCTCGCGGCCAAGGAGCGAGAAGAGAAGCAGCGCAAGTACGAGGAGAGACGATTAGAGCTATTCGGGTCTACCACGGCTACGACGACCAAAGCAGCAGGATCTGGTACCTCTTCACCGGGAGAGACGCCGCCGGGCTCACGGTCCTCGACGCCGAATCGTGCTCGTGGGAGAGGAGGGAGGAAGAACGAATCATCGTCACGGCCATTGTCTTCGGCGTCAACTCTGTCGCTGAAACCAAGCAGTTTGGCGCCTTCGACGGGCGGGAAGAAAGAACTGTTCGATCCATCTTACAATCCGAGACCGGATTCAATGTCCAAGAGATCCGAGTCACGCGAGAAGGTGATTGAGCCGATCAGATCGCCACGAGGTCCTGACGGTAGTGGGCGAGGTGGCTTTGGATTTGCCCCAAGGGGTGGTAGGGATGGTTCGCGAGCAGGCTTGGATACCCGAAGCAAGATCGATGCTGACACTCGACCGAGTCTTGACCCCAGGTCTACAGGCGATTTGAGTATGAATTAAGAGAGAGTCAGGGCTCAACGGAGATGGATAAACCTCCCTACAAATAACCGAGGAGAACGCCTTCTTTCCAGTGGCATGCCTAACATGGCGATGCAAGAGCAGAACCTCTCCCTTGCACAATCAGATGGTGCATGTCCACTCTGGAACGTCATTGCAACAACTTTCCACGGGAGTTTCGACAGCAGGACTCCACTCCGGAGAGCATTAATGCAGTACGGTTTTGTCTCAGAGGTCATCGAGAGTAATAAACCCACCCCGATGGCCCTTTTGAAACGGAAAATACATAAAGCGCGAGTTACGTCGCCCATTCAGCTGGCTGCTAACATTTATCCCCGAACCGCAAAACCATACGATGTTGTTCAAAAGCATGCCACCCTGGCGCATATTCAGAGCACACACAAGGGCTTAGTCAGACGAAGCCATCTCATCGGAAGAGCCATGGGGTTCAATCAATCAGTGACAGGAGAAAGAAACCCTGAAGACGTTTCAGCATCACTGCGACCGTACATGACCTGCGTTCATCTATCGAGGATTTCAGATTCTACAACCACCCTGCAGCGTATTCACATCTACTTCACCTGTCGCCAGCACCCAGAATTACAGAGACAAGCGATCAACATGCACATGCTGTCTGCTTTGGAAAGAATAACCTCTGCGACATCATCCGGGTGTGGAGAACGCCTGAGCATCTATCCCACGCACTTCCTGTGATCGTCCAAGACGCCAAACCCACCCATCGCGCCATATTCCACTCATCAGGTACCCATCACACCGTCAACATCCGCACCGCTATCAGGCACCATCCCATCTGCAAGCGCCCACCCTACTCCACCCGGCATCGTCATCACTCCCTGGCTCGCCCTCCTTTTATAAACCCTCTGATACTCTCCCTCCTCACTCACAGTCCTGCGTACCCTGTCATCGCCCTCCACAGCCTGCACCCACGTCTCCCACCTGGTCCCGACCTCCGGATCCGGCCACCGCCGATAATACTTCAGCACCCTCGAGAGGCGGACAATCCAGGGTGCGAACATAACATCGATGAAGGAGATGGTGGCGCCGAGGAAGAAGGGGCCTGTGACGTGGGAGGCGTTGACGAGGTCGGTGATGGCGGACTGGAGGGTGGATGTTAGAGAGGATTGCTTGCTGGGGTCGGTGGATGGCGTGATGAGGAGGAGGTCGAAGGGTGGGATGATTTTGCGGTTGATCTAGAAAGCCAAAAATTTAGCAGAATACTTGCAGGGAGAGGATCGCTGGGGAAGGATCTTACATGGTCAGCCCACATCCGACAATGAGCCCTCAACTGCGGATCGCCAAGCGGAAGGAGGGAATGACCCATACTGAGGTCCTCGCACTGCGCATCCGCCGACTCATTAGCACCATTTTCACAAACAATACCCTTAACCCAGACCAAATGATTCACATACATATTCCATCATAATCCCACTGTCCCACACCCCCCAATTCCCATGCCTGATACACGGCAGCCTCTTCTGAGGATTCACCTCCACTGCCTCCGGTGGCAACGATAGCTTGTTCTCGACCTCAACGTATTGGTACGGGATCTCCTTGACCTCGAGCGCGATCCAGATGCGTTGGGCGAAAGGACAGAAGAGGTTGCCGTAGAAGATCAGGTCAGCGGGTTGCGAGTGGCGCTGGGCGGTTTGGGCGGCGAGGCTGGAGGGTAAGGACTGCGGGTTTGTGGTTGCTGCTGTGGCGGCGGCGGTGGTGGTGTCGGTCTTGGTGTTGGTGGTTGTGAGTTTGGTGGATGTGGAGGAGGAGGTAGTGGTGGTTTTGTTGGCTGCCTGGTGGATTTTGTTAGCAACATTTTAGACAACGTTCTCATATTTGATGGCATGGCATGGCGGTGGAGAAGGAGGCTGAGATGGAGGGATTGATGGTGTATTTGGGGTGTTAGTCATGGCAGTCTCAGGGATGGAGGATGCAGAGAGATTGCTGTGATGATGAGTTGAGGTGGAGAGAGACTGATATGCTGTATATGACCATGGCTTTCTCTGCTTGCAGCTGATGGACAGACAGAGGAACACTCTGGTCGCACTGAAGAGATGGTCCATGAAAAGAGGAATTCTTACATCTATCCTCTTCCTCTCCGTTTCCTCTTTAAGCATCTTCCTCCTCACACTGTTCCGTTTGATAGCATCACTTTCCTCTATTGTGTGCTTATGCTCTCCAGCTTCGTTTTCCTTCCCATTCGCACCACCACCGCTCACTCGCTGGATGGTGTAATATCTGGCCCCCCCTGCTCCAGGATGTCCAGCAGGCAGAGTCTGACTCGGTGCCAACACTCCAAAAGGCTGAGGCGGCTCACGGCCATCTCCCATGAGATCCACAGCAGCGTCAACTCCGGCACCAAAGTCGGGTTGTGCCATCATGGCTGCCGCACCAGGAAAGTATTCGGTGATTTTGATCTTGACATCGCACAGATCTCGCTGTCTTGCCGTTCTTCTGCGCTTCTTCTTGCCTGGATCGTCTGTCTTGGGTGTGCCCGGTGGTCTGCCCTTCAGTCGACAGTCCCAGTAATGGGACACGAAGGGTTTGCGTTTATATCGTTGCGTGGATCGATGCGAATAGATGTTGTCTACGTGCGGAAAATAGGTTTGAAATCTGCCTGATCAGTAGAGCGCCGGCTAAGGTTAGGATGCAACTCACTCATCCTCAGTCAGTGTGATCATTTCTTTGATATTGAAAAGCTTATGTCGCCATTCTTGTAGGTCAGGTGGATTTGGAATTGCTTTCATCCCACTGAAGTGACCTCCAATCTCTTTTGCTGGCGAGACATCTTGATTGACAGGAAATGAAACAGCTGGCTGCTGCGGCTGATCTGGAGTGATGACACTGAATGATCCATTCGGATATCTGGTGGGTGTCTGGAAGCTCTGTCTTGGTTGCGGAAATGCTTGGACTTGGCCGTTAGCACCATCATTTATTCCATATGGTTGGAAAGCTGTGGGGTCGTAATCCGGACCGAGTTGTGGAGTAAGTGGATGAGGATGTGGAAAAGCGGCGGACTGAAGGTTGCGTAGAGAGACGGGGATGGCTTGTAAAGATGGATTTGTTATGTTATCCATCAAGCCGTGCCTAATGACGGGATCGCCCCAGCAGGGACCGTCTGGCTGCTTTTGCGACGTCTGGTGCCCAAGGGGCGCTTGCGATATAGTTGGCGGTGTTTGAAAAAGCAGCAACGCAGCGATGCGGGGGTTGAATAATTGGTCACTAACTAGTCAGTTAGGCTGCTAGTACAGTATTTCAGCCCTATAGAAATTGGTGTGCACAAACAGGCCCCTACTAAATCTAGCCCTGGGTAGATTATGTGCATGTCCTTCACCAAGAGTCACAATGTGCAGCACTGCATTCTGCCTCGTTCAGCACAGTTGAGTCTGTGCGCTGAGTAAGTAACGGCCCGAGTATTCGTTCTGCCTGACCCAAGTGGCTGCCAAATCCACTCCTCATTTCACTATTGCTACGCTATACTCCCTGCCTTCATATCCTCTTCTTATCGACCTTCGGGTTGTACGCCTTCTTATTCGTGAACGGAAACCCACTCATCCTCTTATCTGCTCCTGTCCTCTTGCTGATGTGTCCCCTGCTCGTCGCAAACATCACACACCACAATCCCATTATAGCTAGAGCACCATATCCCACCAGTCCCAGCATGAAGCCGCTCTGGCCTAACGAGACATAGGAGGTGTAGCAGTAGATGGCAGCCAGGGAATGGAAGATCATGGTGGTACGAAGAACTGGCACGGCATAAGGGGCTTTAGGATCTGACTCCTCTGTCGAGACGGGCTCGCTGACCATCGAGGTTAGTGGTATTGATCCTGTGAGGAGCATCATGATCACAGCGATGAGCACCAAAGATAGGCCGAGAAAGCGACCGAAGTAGACCTCGAGGTCTGGGAAGTTAGCATTAGGATCTGTGAGCAGGGACGCCTCATGACCCTACCTGTCCCATAGTGGCCTTCAGCTCCAAGTATTGTTGTAATGACCTTTGGGGCAAGAAGCAATGGCACTGCTTGCAGACACAGCCAGCCTGCAGAACCGTACGTATAGGTGTAGAATACCTGAATTTGTCAGCTACCAGTATTCCGAGACCAGGCAGCAAGAAACTACATGCGTCCATTATTACTATCTTCTCTAGCAGGCGTAGATGTATGGGTTACGCTTTGACTAAGCGTGCGGAGATGATGTGGTAGTAGTGGGGTGCAAGGAAGAAAACAGATTGAAAATGTCAACAGGCTGACATCATACCAGGGAAGACTATGACAGAAGTCGACTACGCCTGCATTGAGGTGGAGGCTCTTTGGGAATGAAAGAATCTCTCTTTTCTAATGTTGCTTTATTCTCATTTGAGGGTGTGATTGAATGTCATCTGCGACTATTCTTTCTCTTCTGTCTGATATCGTAGCATCTCCACGTCTGTGGCTGGGAGCTCACTGACAACAATTGTGGTGACTGTCTTGAGCAATTCTAAAGACAGTTCTGTCTATTCCTCGTGATCATGCCGCATCTGTTTAGGCTCGACGCCATCAAAGCTCATCCTGTCCTTCAATTCGTAGCACACATTGACAAACGCCATAAGCCATCCGTTCCGACCACTCGATGCACTGGAACCACGAGATTGACTGCCCCAACCCATAACATGTACACATTCTTCACGAATTCTGGAAAGCATTGAAGGCTTTGTAGGTGTAGCCGATAAAGGGCAGGCTCATCTCCGCATCCTGGTCGCTCGGGACTGCTCTCGCTTGCCGTTGATGAGCAGCAGTAGTGTCTTCCTGCGGAATCTCGTCGATCGGGAAATAGCTAACATCTGTGTTTGACGAAAGCTTGGGCTCGAAAGGAGCTCGAATACGACGAAGCTGGTCCCAGATGACACCCTTGAAGAATGGATGCTTTTTGATCTCGGAGGCACCATCATGTGCACCGCCTTCTTTACCAAGCCGGTCGTTGGCATCGCAAAGAAAACTACAAGGTCAGCTTCATCTAAGAAGAGGGCATGCAGCATACCTTCTGATCATATGTTCTGCCTCACGACCAAGCACCAACTCATCCGGAAAGTACAGTGACTCGCGCCAGTTGACAATCTTGCGGTATGTATCATGTGTGTCTTCCGCACAAAAGGGAGGCCATCCAACAAGGCATTCGAACATGATGGCTCCAACAGACCACCAGTCACAGAGATAGGTGTAACCTTGGTTCAAGAAGATCTCAGGTGCGATATAATCCGGAGTTCCCACGGTTGAATAAGCCATATGTCGTCTAGACTTACGCCACGTATTAACAAGTCCACGATTACTGACGGTAAGATTGATCTGCTCGTTCAAGGCAACAGAGTTCCGATTCCCAGATCTGTCGCTCTGTGTTGACTTCAGCAGTGCTTGGTAATAGGAATTCTCATGCTGCTTTCGTCCACCAGTCGACAGACCAAAATCTGTCAACTTGATATGACCTCCACGATCTAGAAGGATATTGTCCGGTTTGATGTCACTGCAAACATTAGCCACATCCTTTGAGCATGCGACCGCCTTACCGGTGAAGGAACCCCAGTCGATGTACTGCTTCGATTGCCATCACAATCTCAGCCATGTAGAAACGGGTAATGTCCTCGGAGAAGATCTCATACTTGATCAACATTGTCATCAGATCCCCTCCAGGCAAGAACTCCATCAGCATGTACAGGTAAGCATTGTCTTGGAAGGAGGCGTGCAGCTTGACGAGCCAGGGGTTGTCTTTTGAATCTGCCAGGATGTCTCTCTCCGCACGTACGTGAGCCAACTGGTCCTTTTTGAACATCTCTGTCTTGATCAGTGATTTCAGGGCGTAGATCTTTCCATCAGTCTTTCTCTGGACCAGTTTGACCTCACCAAAAGCTCCTTTCCCAATGACCTTTAAGGTTGTGAAGTTCTTGGGCGACTCCTTTGTCCGAATGAAGCGCAGAAATCGTGCCTCTTTCTGTGCCAATTCGTTGACTTTTTGCTGCTTCACCAAATCCTTGACTTCGGGATCGTTTAGTATCTCGTCAAGCTCCTTGGCGCGAGAATTTCGGTCCCTAGCTCTTTCGATGTTTTCTTGGAAGAAGCTATTGACGAGTTGTTTGGCAGCAGTACCTCGCTTCAAGACGTTGTCAGAATATTTGTTGGGGTTGGGTTTCTCCTCATCATCAGGTTTCGGACTGCGATTTGGCATTGCTGGTGGAAGATGATTGGCGTATTGACCTCGCGTATCACCAGCAGTTCTTGGACGAGCATTTCCAGGTGAAGGAGTCCTGCTGAAACCACCGCGAGCAGAACCCAGGTCCTGGTTTGAGAATTGCTGAATCATGCCATTTGTTGCATCATTGTACTGTCTATTCCCTGGATACGCTGGCTGGGGTGACTGAAGGTGATTGTTTTGATACTGGTATTGCTGGCTCTGGAATTGATTCTGCTGCTGGGGAGGGTAAGGAGAGTTCACGAAATACCCACCACCCTGTTGGTTTGCTTGATATTGTCCACCAAGATAGTCTTGCTGTTGCTGGTTTTGGTAGATCGGCTGCGGAAAGGTGGAAGGAGTGGTAGGGTAGACTCGATTGTTGGAGGTTTCATAATTCTGCTGATTCTCAAACGGGAAGTTCAGTCGCAAGCGGTTGTTGTCTGGCTCCATCTTGCGTGATCAGGTACGCAGCCGAGGGTGGTGAAGACAGAAGATGTAGAGTAGAAGTGCGGTACCGGCTTTGCGAGATCGGCTGCGGGACTGGCCTTCACACAACTGCGCACGTCCGGTCTAGAAGCCTGCACAATCACGCTGGCTTCAGAGATTTGGTACTGAAAGCCGCCTGATTGGGCAGGCACCACAAAAGGTCGTTGAAGAAGCGGGATGAGTCTCTTTACGGGGTTAACGAACTAAAGTTAGAAGGGGCGGATGAAATTCTGAGACTGTAGAGGTAAGGGGAACGAGAGCCTAAAGGATTCAGGGCAATTTATCTTGGTAACACGTGAGAAGGAAGTTGGCGGCGGTGACTGCATTACAGAGATAGCGGAGCTGAAGGTGAAATATTTTGAAAGAGTGAAAGGGAGTGAGTGAAGTGTTGTGGACTCTTGCTGGCAAACACCTGGATGAAATCGATAAAGTACACCAAACTTTATCTAATCCTTGGTCCGGAAGTCCTTTCCTATGGAGTGCCAAGCGCCGGTTAGAACTGGCAAATGGACTGTCAGCCTGTCATTTCTGCTAGGGTGTTGGCTCTGGCTATGTATGGTTAATCCACTGCAGTGTCCTGAAGCCTAGAATGTAAGCCTAGAATGCAAGCCCAGTCAAGCTGCCACCAAGGTAGTTTGCACCCCTAACCGTCCCCCTGGGATCCTAGTTATGCACAGATTACAACACCCAGTCGTTACCATCGTCTCGGTGACCTCTCGGGGAGTGCCAACAGGGTAGGCATATGTCTTACGATGCAGGTCGTCACCCGAATGCAGGCAGAGTCTGTCGTGGCTGATCCAATACAGAAGAAGGGTTCAACGTTTCTGGATCCCCTATTAGCCTCAGTTCCCTATTAGGGACACAACCCGCTGTGAGACCCTCGACCGCTAGTTAAGACCCTTGAGCTGCCTGCACGCAGGAAAGCTTCGTCTCCGAAAATTAAGCTTCTCTACTTATAGCTCAGAAGTCTCATTTTGCTTGAAGCTAGAAGCACAAGTATGTGCTGACGATGCGGCATCGTGTCTCTGATGATTGAAGCAGAGAATATTGTATCGTGTTGTTGTGAAGAACGTACTCGATAAGCAACCGCCACGATGTCAACGCCTGCCTCTCCTGGGAATGGAGTGCCTGAAGCACCGCAATATCAGCCTCCTAAAGCTCCTCCAAAGCAGAATCCTGCTTTTCGAATGCTGGGAATGCCCAACTTCCGCTTCAAGCTCCCCTCCCGAAATTGGCTGATATTTCTGTCTGTCACTGGTTCCTTCGCGGCAGCCATCACCTATGATCGCCGGCAAAAAAAGGCGGCTCAAAAGAAATGGTGCGACCTCGTCTCGCACATCGCCCAGCATCCTCTACCAGTAAATCAGATGCCACGGAAGTTGACAATATTCCTCTCAGCCCCGCCAGGAGACGGTATAAGGCCCTCGAGGGAGTATTTTAAGGAATATATCAAGCCGGTATTGGTGGCTGCGGCGATGGATTACGATGTCATTGAGGGAAGGAAAGAGGGTGATGTACGGTACGGTACTGCCGAGCAGATCCGGAGGCTGAGAAGGAAGAAGGGAGAGCAGACGGAGAATTCAGACCAAAGAGAGATAGATCCGGAACAGCTTGTTGAGAACATAAGAGAACAGCTCAAGATCCGTCCAGAACCAGTGATCCGGGGAGACCTTATAATTGGCAGGCACACATGGAAGGAATACCTTCGCGGCTTACACGAAGGCTGGCTTGGACCGCTTGATGAGCCGCAAAGTCGCAGAGAACCTACCCTTCCGTCTGATGATGCGTCACATTCTACGAGTACAGACCTTCCACCCAATGATGCATCGACATCAACTAACACAGATACTCCTTCGGAAAGTCTGGCAGAAAGCAAGATACCACCACCAAAAGAAGCAGAGACGAGACCTCCCTCGCCTCCATACGCCTACATTTCGACCTCCGCCTACAACACTTCCCCTGCATCTCCCAATCTACCTATCCACCTCGAGCCATCAGCACCAATCCCACATCGCCACATCCTCGGCTTTTTCAACACCCCCATCAGAATCTACCGTTTCCTCACCCAACGCCACCTCGCAGACTCCGTAGGCCGCGACACCGCCGCCCTTGTCCTTGGTCTCCACAGACCCTACCGCCAGGATTCTAGCTTCGCAAGCTCAAGCACTGGAGAGATAGACGCCTCACCCGTCACCACTTCCCCTCCAGAAAAGGATGGTACAACCAGCCCAGCAGCGACAGTGCAGACAGCTCAAACCTGGGAACAGCAATCTCTCCTCCAAGAAGAAGAGGCGGATTGGCACAAATCGGCCAAAAAGCCACGGAAGGACGATCTGGAACGTGTGTGGCTGGATGACGTGGTCATGGACCCGAGAATTGGCGAGCGGATGCGCAGGTTCGAACTCCCGCCGGAGGAGGAGGAGCGGGCGAAAAGGATTGGGCAGGGAAGTGAGCGATCGAGGGCGGCGGAGGTGATGGATCTGAGGAGCGAGCCTGTCATCACGGATGAGTCGCAGGCAAGCTCAGGGAAGACATGGTGGGCTTTTTGGGAGAAGGGAAAGGGCTGAAGTGGAAGATATGCAATCTTTCACCGAACACGCGCAGTGGCGGTCCAGCGAGAGATTTGGATGATGTCAAGTGATGTGGTAACACTGTGATCTGTATATACCCACCAACCCTCGGATCGAAACAATCTTCTCACAAACACTGACCTATTAACTTTGTATACCGGTACAACTTCATCACATACACCTACCGTCTCCCAGAAACTATGACCTGACAACCCTGTGCCCAGCCTGAAACTATCCATTCGAGCCTGCATACATACACCAAGAAGAGGCCCTCTCACTCCTCCATGCATGTACATGGAACAGACCAGGCCAAATCACACAGCCACCACGCCCTTCAACCTCTCCAAAGCCATGCTCCCAATCGCATCCTCCATCACCGAAACAGCAGGTCGCGGCCTCACCTTCAGCACAACATCGCCAACACTCTCAGGAATCCAATCGCCAATCCTCCTCGTCGAGTCTGGAATCTCTTCCACTTGCTCACCAGCATCTTGAACGATTTCGAAGGTGAACTCTAGCGGTTTGAGGTTCCATTCCCGACCGATCTTGCGCAACAACAGGGATTTTACGCGGTAGACGTCGAGGGTGCGGGGGAGGGTGAGGGTTACCGATTCTGGGGTGGGAGAGTGCGGGATGGTGTCAGTGGTGGTTGGGGGTTCGTTTTTAGAAGGGGTTTGAAGCCGGAAGGTGAGGGTGACGAGTTGTGCGCCGAGGGTGTTGGGTGGGTACTTTGGTGGTCTGTAGCTTGCTGCGCTGACAGCATCTGCAGGGACAGTATCTTTAGGTGAATGAGCGCTCTGAGCAGCAATCGACCTTCCAACGATATGTACCCGGTCGTATTTGTCGCATAATTCGATGTATCTGGCCCAGTCTTGCAGAGATCTTCTGAAGTCATTGTTAGTCGTGGATTGCGTATTTTGAAGAGCTTTCTGGATTTCTTTTTCTGCCACACTGAGGTAGTACAGCTCCCCGTCCATTCTGTCTTTTTCAGTGATGGAGGTATAGTTTAACATTGTAAGGGTTGGGAGACGGGCGACAGTGATTAGGAATGCGGCATCTTCGATTCCATGGGTGGTTCTGGACGTCAGATTTGAGAAGAAGGGATTGTCTGATACTTGGAGGGATGTCAGGTTTGGGAAGAGTTCAGGTAAAGACGAGACGACTCTGGAGTCAGTGATGGCGTTGTGAGAGAGGTTGAGAGTGGTGATTGACGGATAGAGAGGTGTTGGCTGATCTGTAGTTGAGGTAGAGGAGTTGAATGTTGAGATCTTATTGTGCTGTAGCGATAGTGTGGTTAGAGTGGGGAACAGTGGGATTAGAGAGATGCAGAGCGGCACAAGGGATGTGAAAGTGTTCATGTCCATGACTAGGGTTTTAACGGTCGTGAGTACGATGGAAACTGACGGCGGTGTAGGCGCAAAGAAGGTGGACAGGTTGTTTCCAGCAACGGACAACGATTTGAGGGATGGAAACAGTAGGTCTATTGACCCGTCCTTATTCCGCCTGGTAAGCATACGCAGTATCTGCGCTGACGGTCAATGTGGAGCATCATGAGCCGAAGAGCTGGCTACCCACCTGTTCTGGGCTCAGCAGGCTGTCATCCAGATGAAGTTCTTCCACTTTGGGGAAAGCAGATGAACCATCCAAGTCGAAATCCAGAAGTCGTAGTCCACTTGAACCCGCGAGGGTCAGTTATCGACTCCCAACGAATGTGATCCTACTTGACATCAACATACCTGATCTTAAGAACTCGCAGCTCTTTCAGAGGGGCGCAAATCTCAGCTACATCTTTGTAACGCTCAAAAAGGTTGCGACTCAGATCCAGCTCGGTAATATTGGGACAGATGCTGGTAATCTCCTCTTGAGCTCGTTCGACATCTGCTCCGAGACCAACTCCACGTACTCGTAGGCCATCCAGAATAACAATTTTGAGATGGTGAAGAAGTGCTTGTTGCTGTCGGATACGCTCAAAGCCAACCTCTTCCACTACCTTACCTGAGATCTCAATTGACCCGTTGGCGCCCACTGGCGCATAGTCAAGATCATCTTCAGCATACTTGTACCTCAGCGCTTGTAGGAAGCTTCTTGGCTCATCGGGCACTCGCGTGGCTCGAGTGAAGGATGCACAGTTGGGAGAAGAAGATAGTGTGTGGAAGAGGCGAGTTCCTTTGTACAGACCGTCATGCTTGCCTCGCTCTGGGTCATCCCATTCAACTCCCAGCCAGTCTCCCTTCTGATCAGGCAGAGGGCCAGCGTATCTTATTGTGCATAGGGCATTGCTGAAAGACAGCCTCTCGCCCGGATGACGTGAACTCATCTTCCTCAAAACTTCATGTACGTAACATGTTTCAGCGAATGATGGGGGATTGTCTAAAGAGCGGATATGCCGTGCTCTGTATAGCGACCTCCCGTAGCATTGCAGCGATCAATTTTCGAAGGGGATGTTCAATAGGCTGACTATTGATCAGACGTAAAGAACCTGGTCCCCAGAGCTGTATAGTCTGAGGTCTTCGCGAGAGAGACGAGGTAGAGCATTGGTCATCTGGGAGGCAGAGAAGATTACCCCAAACGGTAATTTAATTGCCCAGAGAAAATGTTGGCCGCCAATTGGTGGAAGCTTTCCACCATCTGAACTTCAAAGCTTCAAGAATCTGTCGTCGACATCCATGGACCACCAGCACAATCATATCTGCTCCCCTGGATAGAAACTCTGCAAAGCCAGCTGCTCCGTCACTTCCATCACAGCAGCAGTCATGAGTAGATAGACTTGAGCGCTACGGCTTTCTCCTCCGCAGCTTGAAGCATTACCCATACCGCAAACCACCATGCTTCAACCACGAATATCCCTCCGCCAGCTACGGCCAACCTGTTCCAGACTCACGTCTCCCCTTCTTTCTCGTCACCATGCCACCATCGTCGAGACACCCTCCGCCAATCCCCCGGATGCCCCAGTCAACATCTACAGCCTAAACGTCGCACCCCCACCTATGCGCGACGCCTCCATGACCGGCCAGTCCGCCCTCCGTCGCTATAGGCCTCGAACGCCCGGAATCCGCCATCTCGTCCGCCCAGTCAACGACCACCTCCACAAAGGCCGACCAATCTTCAAACTCACCTTCCCCAAAAAAGGCCAATCCCGCGGCGGCCGCAACTTCACAGGGCACGTCACCGTTCGCCATCGCGGTGGAGGCCACAAGCGGCGAATCCGGATCGTGGATTTTGACCGCTTCAAGGGCGGTCAGCACTATGTAGAGAGGATCGAGCATGACCCGGGGAGGAGCGCACATATTGCGCTGGTGAGGGATAAGGAGGCTGGGACGAAGAGCTACATAATCGCGGCGGAAGGGCTACGTGCTGGAGATACGGTGCAGAGTTACCGCTCGGGAATACCGAAGGAGTTGATGGACAGTATGGGCGGGTCAATTGACCACGGTATTCTCGCTTCGAAGACTGCATGGAGGGGGAATTGTTTACCTTTGGGAATGATCCCTGTAGGGACTCCAATCTTCAATATCTCGCTTGCGAAGCAGGGAAGGGGAATGTACTGTCGGAGCGCCGGGACACATGGGCTCATAATAGGAAAGGGCGAGGATGCAGTGCAAAAAGAGCTGATCAAGAAGATGGAGGCGAAGAGAGCACGCGACAAGGCCAAAGCACAGCAAAAGGCGGAGCAAGAGGAAGCCGAGAAACTCGCTGCCAAAGGAGCCAAGGTGGCAGCAGCAAAAGAAGCAGCCGAAAAGGGCACGGCCGAAGACGCAGAGAAAGCAGAAGAGGAAGTACAAGAGAAATTCGAGAACAAAGCGGCAGCGGACGCTGATCTCCAAACCAAAGCCCAAGACAAAACCCAAGGCCTGGAAGAAGTCGACGACGGCGCACTCACCCTCAGCGATGAAGATATCCGCAAGCTCGAAAAAGCAGCCCAATATGTGACCGTCCGGCTCTCCAGCGGCGAGGTCAGATTGATCGACAAAGAAGCCGCTGCCACAATCGGAGTCGCCAGCAACGGTAACCACCAGTACCGACAGCTGGGCAAAGCGGGAAGGAGTCGATGGCTGGGCATCCGACCCACCGTGCGAGGGTTGGCGATGAACGCGAATGAGCATCCGCATGGTGGTGGAAGGGGCAAGGGGAAGGGAAACAGGGACCCTGTCAGTCCTTGGGGTAAACCGGTATGTCTTTGCTATCTTCTATCCCTTGTGCGACTAGAGGTGTGGAGTTCGCTAACCCGTGCTGTGATAAATGACAGGCCAAATCTGGATACAAGACTAGAGATAAGCATAAGTTGGATAAACTGATTGTGCAGCAACGACCGAGGAACCATGGGAAGAGGAGAAGAGGCTACAGTTAGAGTATGGTAGATCTACGTCCATGTATCAGTATGAGGGATCACAATCTTGATGGACGGCCCTGTGCCTTCGTTGGCGACGGCTGGTCGCATAGACTCGTTGTGAATAGCAGATCAATGCTCCTCAGGATAGAGGCGCTCCCTAGTATTCCCAACGCCCTACCAAGCCAGTCTCGAATCTTGCGCCCTCGGGATGGCTTCTGAAGTATTTAGGCGCTCTAGAACCCCATAGTAGTACGTAGTACACTTTCTGTGATTCTCTCAACCATGCTAGCTGAAAAAGGCTAGTCGAGCCAGTAATAAAAGAACAAATTAATCAAAATTACACAGCACAATTTTAATGGTCAGTCCTACCCCATTGGATGGCACAGCCTAGCCAACGAGCACAGAGTACAATGGTAAGCGTGGTTGCAGTGAAGGCGCTAGGTGATTCAGGACCATGAGAACAGAGAATGCTCATATCGTGGATTGGTAGCTAAGCTGAGATCTTGTCCATGGGGCTACTGTCACGCCCTACCTGTATATTGGAGCATAACGCCGCTCCGATTACGCTTTGCATGAGGCTGGGTGAAGAGCAACCCAGTCCTGCACGTTCTAGCCTGACTAGTCTTCTTCGCCTTTGTTCTTCTTGCTCTTCTTTGACGACGGAGCAGCACCTTCCTTCTTCTGGTGTACCACCAGTCGAGTCCATGATTCTTCCTTGTCCCATTCGAAACCAGCGAGGACTGGATTTTCTAACTCGTCATCGGCCTGCATTCGGTCAGAGATATTCTTTGCAGGGAGGCTACACTGCTATCATGGTCCAGCTTTGCCTGCGATTACTCACCTTCTTCTTGAATTGTTTGTGGATTGCGTCCAGAGCATCTTTGATGGTGACCCCTTTCAGATTTCGTGCGCTTACTTCCAGTCCGAGAGGGAAATGAAGGTCGATCTTCTTTACAGGCGGCGTGGTCAACATCTTCTTGAGCACATCCTTGTCGTCAATGGTTGATGGCGAGGTGTTGAGTTTCCTGCAATGCTGCGTCAGCTTCATGGGTCAAGGCAGTGTTGAAGCGAGGTAGAGAATGATCCTGGAAATGGCGATCGCAGATCATGTGGAAAGGAGAAACATTGAAGGAAAGATAAGACTACAACAGGTCGTGCTCTGAGTGGTGCCATACCAGTTGAGTTTTTGTGTCTCCTTCGCTATTTGCAACTCGATTCCATCCCTTTCTGCGTGACGGTCAGCTCCATTCGGACAATCACACCATCACATCTTGGGAAGCAGTCGCAGCATGAGTTAAGACTAGAGTCGGTTGATGCTTAGGGTGACTGTCAGCGTACCTAGATCATTGACATTCATCACTCCAGGCGCGCTCGAGCTTGTCCTCTTCTTTGCAGGTACAGTTTTCTCGTCTTTGGGTGGTGACGAAATACCGCTGACGGCGGAATCAACCTTTGAGAGATCTTGTGCGTCGGCAGCCATTGTGATGATGGGTGAGAAGGAAGTGAGCTGAGGTTATCACCCAAAAATGGTATGTCCTTCAGATGGGTCAGTATTGTGGTAGAGTGCGGTAGCTCGAGGTCCAGTATGGGAGATGGAGGGTTGACCTATGTTGTTCGAAGAATATATGGCGTGCTTGTGTAATGGTGACTTTGGGGTGAGTCAGTCAACATCCGATGATGATTATGCTGTTGGGCGAATACATCAGGGGCGGCTGACGAGGCGGGGTATCTGGTCACGAGCTCTCCTTATTTGGCATAGCCAATATCACACTGCCAAGGCTGATATATACCCCGGACCCCGCAAAAAGGAAATCCGGGGTACTTAGTAGTACTACTAGTAAGCCAACCAAGATATGACATTTTCATACTGTGACCATCTAGTCATCCTCTATCCGCTTCGGTGCCCTATGAATGCCCTGAAATATTTTTGGGCTGATATGGCTCTTCAAGGTACTTCATCTCTTCATCGGTCAACGCCTTGCCCCTTATCTCCAATGCTTCATCAATCCTCTCGATTTTGCTGAACCCAATGATGGGGTTATTGCCCTTCTGAATAGACCACGCCATTGCAACATGGCTCATCTTCCATGCTTTCTTATTGGCCAATTCTTCGACGCGTTGAATGATAGTTTTGTCAGTTTCAGTGAGCTCATCCTGCTGATCCTGCGACCTTGTAGTTGTGCCAGATTCAGAGAGCGGACGTGCAAGGAAGCCTCGGTAAAGTGGCGCCCATGGAATCAGGCCCACGCCAGTCTCAAGGCAGTATTTGTTCATCTCGCGTTCTTCTTCTCGGTATAGAAGGCTGTGGTGGTTTTGCATAGAGATGAATTTGGTCCATCCGTTCCTTTCGGCCACAGCTTGCATCATGACAAATTGATAAGCCCACATACTGCTAGCCCCAAGGTACCGTACCTTTCCCATCTTCACTAGGTCGTGGAGCGCTTCCATGGTCTCCTCGATGGGTGTATTCCTATCGAAGCGGTGAATCTGGAGCAAATCTATATACTCTGTCTCCAGACGTGCAAGAGAGGCATTGACAGCATTAAAGATGGCGGCCCGTGATAGCCCTGCCAATAAGTCAGCGTGTCTTTGTGGGCCATTGGTCAGATTGACCTACCAGCTTGGTTAACATAATCCTTGCTCTTTTCAATCGCATCTGGGTACTTGATGGAGAGCACGCTCGGTTCCTCACCGACGGTTCCCCGACATTTGCTCAAGATGACCACCTTCTGTCTTGAAATGCTATATTTTTTAATGGCTTTGGCGATCAATCGCTCTGAGGCGCCGTTGGAATAGATATTGGCAGTGTCCCAGGTATTCAGCCCTCGGTCGTATGCGGCTTTCAGTAGAGGAAGTGCTTGATCCTCGTCGATCACCCAATCCAGCCACTGGCTGTCACCAATACTCATCGCACCCAAGATGGGTACTGATACCCGTAGACCACTTTTTCCTAGCCGTTTGTACTCGGCCTTGCTGTTGGCTACGCTTTCTGCGAGGCCTTTCGGAAGCTCTGGTGCTGTCGAACTCATTTTTGCGACGGCAATGCTCTGCTGTTTTGTGTCGATACAATGAGATTTGGGGTTATAACGATTGGGAGAAGGGAAAAGAGAAAAGGTGCTCAGAAAAATCATGCTAGCCTAGTAGTAGCTAGGGGGATTTTCGAATTGGAGAAGCAATACTCCGTGTTCGTCACACCAACGTACGTGGTAAAGCAACGGCGCTATTGGAAATAGGGCCGAGCTAGCCAAGTACAACTATTGGTTGGAGTCATCATTGCAAAGAAGCACGAGAGCTCACTGTTATCCACAGGCCGATTAAGCTGTCTTTCTGCTGGGACAGGAGTCCAGGCTTAGTATGCTGTATTTTGGAGGCTACGCCTTGGTCTTCTAGCGGGGAATAACCGTCGAGTCGGACCCCAGGTTTGACGCATCGTTCGTAGGCATTTCCGTGGTTCTATAGTATCGACATGGCTGATGCAGCAATTTCCTTACGTGGCCCTCCTGAGAGAGTGAGGTCTCTAGCTGTTAAGCTTTCTCTCGAAGTTTGGCCAACGCAGCTGCGATGCCTTCGCTCATGGTTTCTCCGGCCCTGCTGGAATCCTTGCGTACCATACCATGCGGAGCGACAGGTTCATCTTCTGCCGCAGCGATCATCGCAGCTTCCTCATCAGAACTGATTTCTGCATGTGCAACTTCTTCAATCCGTCGCCGTTTCGAAGTAGGCTCAGGTGTAGTATCTTTTCTCGACATACCCAGTCCTGATGCCTCTCGACTTGGAATCATGCTGATAGGTATTGGTGTCTGCCGATTCGAGGCTCTGCTGTCCTCCCCTTCATCAATCATTCCCATCGAGCTTTCATTCCTCTGCAGTGTAGCACCGGTTCTTGCAGCATTTCGAACTCGAAAGTTCTCTCTTACAGCGCTACACCAATCCTTCACCTTCTTCTCTCCCCATCCTGGTATCAGCGCTAGTTCCTCTGGCGGAGCATTAATCGCGGCTCTCAGGGTACCGTAATTTGAGATCAGGCTCGCAGCGTCTGTCTTGTTGATGCTCCTAGGTGTGGTAACGAACTCGGTCAGGCTTTCTCGATAGCTCTCAGCTTGGTGGGCGCGGATTGATGCGGGTGATGCATGTTCATATGACTTGAAGAGCTCCAGGTATCTCCCAGCTTCCTGCGCCGACCAACATAATATCAAGGTTAGGTTATTGATCATGGACGTCTTGGACAGTTCTCTCAACGCTTCTTCATGATTCGTAATATCCACCATTGTCAACAATATCCGCAGATTGTACATTTTGCCGAGAGCACGAATGCGACTATAGATATATTCCGGATGAAGTCTATGGTACTTGAGCGAGAGGAAGAGCGCACAGGTAGTAGTGCCGAGTATGTAGTCCGCTGGTGTGTCGGAGTATTCCCATGGCAGCGAGCGAATATAATTCAAGATGGGATTTCCCTTCTGACGTGTAGATACAAGAACGGCAGATGGACCCTGTCGGGAGGCAAGTGCCTGTGGTTTTGGCTGGACAACTTTCGGTGGGCCACTGCTGTTGGATGGTCCAGACGACTTTGGCGCAGAGGAAGACCTTTTAGCGGCAGCAAGAGCAGCGTCAAAGTCTGCATCATCACCAAAGTCGTCGTCCATGACTTCCCTGGGACTTTTAACAAATTAAAATGGGAGACGCAAAGGCGGTCTATAGCATGCCAAGATTTTGCGGGGAGTGCTCCTGGGGTTTGTCCAGAAACTATATTGACTTAGTCAATCCTCTCGAGACGCTCCCGGGTGATAGATCCCAAAGACGATGTCGGATGCTTTTAAACGGAGGCGGTCTTCGGCAGATGAAGACTCCGAGGGGACGGAGGATGCAGAGAGAGAAGCAAAAAAGGCCAAAACGACTCAATCAGATGATACTCCTCCAAAAGATCAACGCAGAACTCTTTTTGTTCGGTCTCTACCTGCCTCTGTCACCACCGAAAGATTGACTGAGTTTTTTTCTCAATCTCACCCTCTCAAACATGCTACGGTGGTCCTTGATCCTCACACAAGAACCTCGAAAGGCTATGGATTCGTCACTTTCGCAGACCCTGAGGATGCTCAGGCAGCGACAGCAGAGCTCAATAATGCAGTCCTCGACGGTCGAAAAATCAAGGTTGAGATAGCAGAGCCACGACATCGGGACATTGCAGAGGATGGCGGAAGAAGCAAGCCCTCGAGCAAGACTGCAGATTTGAAGGCAGAACGAGAGAAGAAACGGGCTGAATTCGCACCTCCAAAATTGATTGTGCGAAATCTGCCATGGAGCATTAAGGATTCAGAGGACTTGGCGGCTCTCTTCAGAAGCTACGGCAAGGTCAAACATGCTGATGTGCCTAAACGGAGTGCTAAAGTCCAAGCGGGGTTTGGTTTTGTAGTGCTACGAGGCAGGAAGAATGCGGAGAAGGCTATGGCAGAAGTCAACGGAAAAATAGTAGATGGAAGACCGCTGGCAGTTGACTGGGCTGTTGACAAACAAACATGGGAGAAGTTGCAAACTGAGGAACAGCATGGAGGTGGAGAAGGACCAGAGCTATCACACGGCGATACTAATGGCGATGATACAGAGAACAACGCCTCTAGCAAGACTAACGATTCTGAGACAAAGCCGGGAGGAGCTGGCTCCGAAGACGAGCCCACAAGCGAAGACAAAATGAGTGGTGCTGGCGGGGCTGACCTTGAAGACGAAGAATCAAGAGACGATGATTCAGAGGACGAAGAAGCTGATGAAGCACCTTCCACCACTGTTTTCATTCGAAATCTGCCCTTCACTTCGACAGACGCAATGCTTCGTGCCCATTTCTCTCAATTTGGCGCCGTCCGCTACGCACGAGTGGTATTTGACCACGAGACAGAGCGCTCCAAAGGTACAGGGTTTGTGTGCTTCTTCAACGAAGAAGACGCCAGATCCTGTGTCAAGGGTGCCCCCAAGCCTGCAGCCTCTCCGCCCGCAACCGCTGATAAGAAGCGGAAAGGTGAAGCACTCACTCATTCGCTTCTACAAAACGAGGCAACAGACCTCACTGGTCGCTACACAATCGAAGGCCGTGTCCTACAAGTCTCGAAAGCGCTGAGCAAATCCGATGCAACACGGCGCGAGGCCGATGGGTCATCGAAGCGAGAACTGCGAGACCGGGATAAACGACGTTTGTACTTGTTGTCTGAAGGCACTATCCCGAAAGGTTCAAAGTTATTCGAAAAGCTCGGCCCAACAGAGATCAATATTCGAGAAGCAAGCACGAAGCAGCGGCAAAAGCTGATGAGGAGCAATCCGAGCCTGCATATGAGTTTGACAAGGTTAAGCGTTCGCAACATTCCACGAAAAATTACTAGCAGAGACCTGAAGGCTTTGGCTCGGGAAGCAGTAGTTGGTTTTGCAACTGATGTCAAGAACGGTCATCGCCAGCCACTTTCGAGGGAGGAGCTCAAGCGAGCTGCGGATAGCATGAAGGAGGCCGATAGATTGAGGAAGAAGCAAGGGAAGGGAATCGTGAAGCAGGCCAAGATTGTGTACGAAGGTAAAGAGGGGATGAAGGTAGATGAAAAGAGTGGTGCTGGAAGAAGCAGAGGTTATGGCTTCATTGAGTATGTGTCTCATCGAGCAGCGTTGATGGGCCTGAGGTGGCTGAATGGCCATGCTGTGAAAGCTGGTGATGCGGAGAGGAGCAAAAGGCTTATAGTGGAGTTCGCAATCGAAAATGCGCAAGTGGTGTCGAGGAGGACCGATAGGGAAGCGAGGATGAGGGTTGACGGCCCGAAGAGGAGAATTGCAAAGGCTCAACCTGCGAAGTCACAGGACAAGATAACAGGAAAGAAGAGGAAACGGGAAGATACTCCGGAGAAGTCGAAAAGGCCGAAACAGGAGACACGAAAGTCACCTATCACTACAGAGGAAAAGAACAGCATCGCAAGAAGGAACCGCATCATAGCGAAGAAGCGCCACATGCGCAAGTCTCGGAAAGCATGATAAAGTTCAATTAATAAATCCAAATCGAGTATCTTTCCTCATTCTGCTCAAGGTGATCCTTCGAATTCATGCTCACCCTCGTGGTATGTTTTCATTATTTGTTTGTAGCTCCCTGTACCTTGCCCACGATGTTATACCGCTTGCTGAAAAAGGTAAACCATTCGCCCAGCACGGTCTGATACTTGTCATCCAGATCGTTCCATTCCGGGACACAGTCCTCCGGCTTGAGTGATGACGTTGCGAGGGCTCGAGACGGGTCTTTGCCTGCGAAGACTGTTGAGAGAGGATCATCAGCTCCGGTCTTCTGAAGCCCGGCGTTGTCCCAGTCGATATTGTGTACTGACTGTGATATTGTCCCTTTGGTCCATAAGCATCGTTGCCTGATACGTCGAAGACGGTGCCTTTGATGGCCACCAGCGTTGGCTTCGAGGGGTCTGATCCTGTAGAAAAGTTGAGCACTGGGAGTCTGTGTTCGTTCGCGTACGGTCGAAACACACCATCACATTTCGATAGCTCCTCATATGTTATTGGGTCGTCTTTGGGAGGGTCTAGGTTGACGGGCGTTTTGGGTGCGAAGTTCTTGGGCTCTTCGACGTGACCTTTGTCAGACATCTTGAATGAATATTAAAATGGAAAATGGTGTTAAGCAATGTGCTGAGACGTCAATCAGATGGCAGTCGGAGGTAAGGAGTCGGAGTTGGTGAGATATTAGTTCTTGGTTGTAATCATCAGTGTTACGGCTACATGCCATCGCAGTAGAGGGGTTTACTACGTAGAGAGTGGTGGGGCATTTCAGGGAGCTGTCCAGGGTCTAGACAAAGTCTCGGCATCGAATGGTAAAAATGTGGCCCCTATTTGGTGAATATCGCCGTTAAAAAGTCTTTGCTGGCATTATCTTAAGGTCTTCAGGCCGCATACAACATACCAGCGTCCAGGGGCTCTTAGAGCATGCCCTGCATTAGAAAGATCGCAAAGATGTCTCCCAAGGCCAGCCGCTCAAAAGGATAATATGCAGAAGAAATTATCTGGGAAGCTCCTTGACCTTATCAGTCTTGACAATGGGCTTTCGAAGTTCTGCTCTACTGCAGACATATCTTCAACCAGACCTTCGTCCCGTCGACGTTGATGTTTAAGGAAGCCACCAAGCCTACACGTTGCTATCTTCTTGTTTGGCATACGTCACAGATAGGTCCATCGGAATTGTGTCAAAGACCTTCCTGAATGTCCAATTGGCCAGGAGGCCAGTCACATTGCTGTGGCGCGCCCGCACTTCCTTCGTTCCCTTTCTTCTCATTTCTGCTGAACGTCTCTTGTGGTGCCCTCCGAGACTTGCTTAGGACCATGTTCTGAGGATTCTGCTCCATCAGGCAAAGCGAAATCGCAAGGCTGAGCAGCAAGAAGCTCGCCCGGGCTTAGTCGTTGTATGTATTGGCAATCTAAGGCCGAACTCCTGTACGTGTAAGTCCCCATTTGTTGGAAGCTGGGTACAGGGTTTTCAACGTACACTGACCTTGTCTTGTCTTTTCTCCTCGAACATCATCCTAATGCACAATACGTTACATACCATGCAGGTACGTCCCGGACTCGAAGGGACGAGCAAGGACAAGCTGGAGGCCGCTATGCAAACCATGTTCCTCAAGGTTGGATGTTGTTGAGAAATGGCCACTGTCGGGGCTAATATGTGGCGTCTCGCGACCTTCTTCCTCTGTAACATATTCCGTCGCTACTGGTCCATCTCATTATATTCTTCATAGTGCCACTTTGGGTGGATGTCTGTGTAAATAATGAGATTGGCCAGCCGGCCATATCATTGGCGAAGAACAACGTCATGTCCGCAATGCTGACTCCGGTATAGAACCGGGGGTGGTCCACAAAAGCGTTGCAGCACAAATTGCGGACCCTTGATGCGTTGAAGGGGCCGAAGCAACTGGCGAAAGGGCGTGGAAACCATCTTGTGCTCTTCGTTGCTAGCCTGGTCAACCCAAATAGGACATCTCCGCAAAGCTCCCAGAACTGCTGTTCACAAGCATGGGATTTCTCACTTTTGTGTCGAAGCGGAGATTTTGTCGATCTAAAGAAGGTGTACCACTGCTTAAGACTTCGACTAGCTCTTTCAATCTACAGGTTTACTGGGGATGTTGCAATATCACAAGTAAACATGCACGTATAGCTCCTCAATATAAACTTTGATAACTACGAGTTATCCACAACTCAGGAACTAAAAGGACAGACCCTGTCAAACCTTTATAGATACCCATTTGAATCCATCATTCCCAGCCGGAAACATCGTTTATTTCCCCGCGACGCAAATTCCAGAACAATCCGCACCACCATTCTTTGGATCACAGTCTGTTATGACCGCCAAGCATGGTGCACGTTATGAGGGCCACGAGGACTCTGGTGGATCCTGCATCATTCCCTTGTCCAGCAGCTTCCTTGTTTGGCAGCTGTCAAGAAGGTTCTACGTTCTTCTATGCGCACAAAGGCCTCTCAGTATTTAGATCTCTCTTCTCCCTAGATAGATTCTAGTTCCCTGCGCTTAATAAGTCATTCCATTGACACCCTGCTGTTCTATTGCCCTTGCACTCCCCTGGGATCCTAACACAGTCATCATTTGCATTATCCATGCAGACCTGGCCCTTAGGGCACGGGATCCCTGCAAAACCTCCTCATGTCTTCGGTGAGTTGAGGTCGATGCAAATACCAATGCAATTTACGCCGCCGTATCTAGGGTCGCACGAGCTAACCGAACAGAAGAAATTCGAGGTTAGTTGTTTCTCTTTCGAAAAGGGGAAAAGCAGGTACATGAAAATGTGTCTCGAGGGTTTTGATGTGTCTCTCTGACTCCCCCCGACTGTAAAATACGCGTTGATCAACCTCTACAATGAAATGGTACGTACTCTCCGGGATCATCCACACAAACTTTCCCCTGGGGACAATCCAGGCCCTCAATCCCACCACAGCTGGGGCCTTTTAGACGAACGCAGATGCCAGGGCAGTCAACGGCGGGGTCGCAGTTTGGCTTTGAAGGGTCGCCGATGCAGGTCTGGGAAGGAGGGCAAGGGGGGAGACCCCGACTACCGCAGATTTGGGGGGTGGAGCAGGGCTGACCGAGGGATGAGGTGGTCAGCTTGGGCGTTGGAAAGTGGGCAACGGTTGAATGTGGGAGAGGGGAGATGCTGACTGACCACTAGGACTGGCTCTGGGCCACCACATCTTAAGAAGCATGAGATGGCTGCATTATTTTGGCATTGGCATATCTGAAATGGAGGGATTTTGGTGTCAGCATTGGCAAATCCGTTGAACCGCTGTGGTGGGAGCGTGTTCGGGGAGAGGTTTGTGGGCAAAAGGAGAAAAGCGAGATGCTTCTTACCTGTTCCGCTGTGCCTCCACACTTGACAAGAGGGCACTCGCATAGCGCGGCAGCGACAGATGATAAGAAGGGGAGGAAGCCTACGAGGAAATAGACAGACTTCATTGAGAGGAACTGCTGAAAAGAAAGGGTTGGGGTATCTAATGGTGGGTATGTTCGATTGATTGACGTTTAAAGGAGACTGAGTAGGGGAAAAGCCTCCGGAGCACTGGGTCCCTTTTGGACTATGAGTCGGCATGAACACATTTCGTATGATTCTCGTTCGGGCCATTGCACTCGTATCCAACATAGCTTACTCCTAGATGCGGTATTGGTTGAACAGGCTAGATGCCGAGTTGTCGGCACGCGATTTACAGAAAGGGCTGAAGTAGCCTGTATCACGGATTGGTCCTTCTTCTTAAGCGATCAAATGATCTTCTGTTCAGATCAAGCTAGTTTGACAGTCCTCTGAGGGCCGTGGTGGTTTGGGACCAACACCTTCGTACTATTTGAACCTAAATTATACTTTGCGAGTGTGCGGAGTACTAAGTAGTTTGTATGACCAAACAATTCTGTTCGGTTTCTGGGGACAAGTTTAGTGGAGCTTGGCTGCATAATGGTAGTTGTGGGCATCCAATATAGAAGCGAAAGCTAGCTTTATTTAGAAACGTTCTGTCCCTTGCTGGAAATTCACGCGAGAAGGAGCTTTCCGCTTAAGTGTGACTTTTGCCTGATTGGCGGTGTGAATATATTAGTCGAACTGCCTGTGAGGCTGTATAAGGTACAGTAGAATTTGCTCCGAAATTGCGCTAAATGGAGACAGACCAATCAACCGCAGGTGAATAGCAGGGATTAAAGCGAAGATTAAGGGCCTTTTCCAGCTTGACAAGATATGTACAAGAATCACAGGAGGAAAGGCTTTCTGCTTGCCTTGTGGTTTCTTATTGACAATGTATTGAGGAAGCTTGCTGAGATTTCACTGGAGGAAAGCACAAAGTGCTTATATTGGGCTTAGCCCAATCAAGAATTCCGCCTTGTACCTGACCAAACCACGATGTTCATGCCAGCCTACTTGACTCCACTGTCCTGGGCAACCCTGTCAGTCCAAGCGTAGGGGGCCTCACGACTGTTCCAAGCAATCTGATGATCGCTCACAGCTCCCAGCAGCTGTCCAGTGCCTCTTTTTTTGGGAAAGAAGAATGAAGAGCAATACAACAAATGTCCGCAGAAAACCATACTTCTCTGCTGATGAGCTCCAGCAGCTCAACCGAGGTTGGGTTTACGTCAACAGAAAGCCCTTCAGCCAACCCAAGTAACCCATCTACCAATTAACTTAAGGTAGAAAAATCAACTACGTAGTAGAAATTCATAGAGGAAAAGGTGGATTCAACAAGTAAGGATTCACGTAACATACCCGCACCTATCCATCAGCATCCTCTATTCCATTCAGATGCACATCTCAATAGAGTCAGAGCCCAATACGACAGGAAGGCTTACCAAGTAATGAAAAGGGGCATAGTCTTGGCTGAAAGAAAGGAGTTGTAACTTTCCGTATCAAGACAACATTTCTTCCATCAGGTAGTATTTGTGAGCTTTCCTGCTTTGACCAATTTAATTATAACGCCACATGGCAAGATTCTGTCTCAGCGTGCAAAGGGAAAATTACTACAGTCCTGCCTACTTTATCTGCTGTGAAAACACAACCTTTCTATCCGCTTTGACAGCGCTTTGCTGTACCCATGATTGCCTCTCGGTTGCCTGGTTCTGGTTCTGCAGGTCATGGTTGGCGGATGGTGATCAGACCACTGGCACTGTAAGTGAGTAGTACATGTTGGGCTTGGCGGACGTGGACCAGCGGCTTACGGTGCAGTGTGGGAACTGAATCTTTACGGAGTGCTATACTCCCTCTGCATTTGCCTGCCACCTTTGAATGAGGTTCGTTGACAGAATCAATGCTTCAATGTTAAGCTCAACACCTAGGCAGTGACATCTTTGCTTCCATCGACACACAGCTCAGAGAAGGAAAGTTTAACACAGTAAGGCGACTTGCACCTAGTCTCTTCATCCTAGTTTAAAAGACCAGCTCTTCTTCTCACCTTGGTTTGGCTTCCCTTGCTGCCCAGTCTCCTTGACCAAGCCTCAGCTGAGCCTTTCCATCCCTCTGCCTTATAGTCCATGCTCTCCCCTGGCCAACTCTGCTGCATGCTTTCTCTTGTCCGTGGCTCGCCTCTTCTTTTCTGCAACCATGTGTGCTTTTTTTGCTTCTCGCTCTGCCTTAGCAGCTACTTGCTTTTCCTGCTCTGCGGTTCGCAATTTCTGTGTTGCTACGCAGTCTTCATGCTGTGTTCGAGCCAACGTTGCTAGTGCATCCCTCTCGGCCGCTATTGCTAGTCTAGCCCCTTCTGCAGCTTTCTTTACTTTTTCTCCTGCCCGTTTTTGCTTCCTGTTTTGCTTCTCTCATCCTACCAGCAGCAGGAGCAGCAGCAGCAGCAGCATGAAGTTACAAGAGAATCCCTAGGGTAGATACATTACCGAGCATGCAAGATCATCGAAGCTCTTTGCAAGCTCTCGTGCTTCGAAGTTGAAACAAGATTGAGTACTTTCACACTTCCTAGCTGGATACCAAACGAGATCTGCCTGTGGGGTGCTACGCAGTTGATGAAAGGAGAGAAGATGCTCTTGGACTATCGAGATTAGGGGCCCGGAATCTGGGCGAACAATATTGCACCAGGGAATGCTTCCGATGTTGTCAGGAGCATGACCAGTTGCCGACCCTCGGGTACCACAAGTGATACATCGCCTTGGAGTTTCTCTGTGTGGTCCACAGGCGTCGTTTGCTTCATCCTCTTCATGTATCCAATGTATGTCTGCTCCAATCTTTTGGCATAGGGGAAAGACAACCTCCGGCGGAAGTACCCAAGTCTCTGTTTGACTGAGAAGCACTCATGTATGTCCCTGTTCTGACATCGAGTGATGTTGTCGCTCTGCAATCTAGAGTTTTTGCGATGCCATGTGATAGCTGCAATCATGCCTCGCATTTGCAAAAGGTCACGGTGAATGATCACCGCCAGGTCGAAATGAAAGCATTCTCAGACTTAGAGCTACAAGAGCTCGAGACTGGAAAGGAGTTCATCGCGATAAGGAGACCCTCCCCCAGGACGCCGTAGCGGCGCAGATTTTGCCCAGTAGAGCTACAGCTCTTGCCCAAAGCCTTCGATCCCCTTTTGGAAAAGACGACAGAGCTGTGCATAAATGGCACCAAATGCCTTGTTCCTACTGGACATGAAAAGGCCGGAACAAAAAGGTTGAAAAGTATGCTACCCCGTAATCATCGTCTTGAGGTGAAAGCACGGTACAAAACGAAGGAAAGAGATTGAGCAAACGTTGTCACAGGAAGATTCCTCATGGAAAGGTGGCTGTGTCAACATATGGTCGCCAGCATCACAAAGTGCTTTCTCGAGCCGCTCGCAGACCGTGATAAAAAGGTCTCAACCTTTGAGTGTCTTAGTTGTCAGCAGTGCACAAAGATTGAGACGAGAAACCTACCGGGTTCCACTCTGGAAATTCCGCGGCACCTGCGCTCTAAATTCCACCACTAATATAGTACAATCACAGAGCGTCGAGCGGCGGGCGAGGCCTAGTTATCCACAGCTAAAAGAATCCCTCCTATCAGCTCTGAGTCCTTGCAAACGGGCTCACGCTAATGATTTTTTAGCCAAGATCATTTCTCATTGAGGATTGTTGGGGCTTTTCCAAGAGAAGGGTGATCCGTTTAGCGAGGTTGTCATAAGCGATTCCTCTGTTGTATTGGTCCTTGAGTCTTCTGAAAGAGATCAAGCCTGTATATGCTGCCTGTTCTGCTCGATAATAATGCTTCCCTTGCGTATCAATTTGTTGTTCGTCTTTTGCACTATCAGCGTTGCCCGTGAGATCACTTTTCCACCCGTGGCAGCAATCCCATCCAATGGTCAATCAATCCTTTCCACTGCCGATGATCTACTGGTCGAAGCGCTCAAATTTTCTGGCTTGAGCACGTTCGCCAATGTCCCATTCGTCCACTGTCTCTCGAAAGACCAAGATGTTGAGAAGTACGATATTGCTATCCTGGGAGCTCCATTTGATACAGCGACAACGGCCAGGCCAGGAGCACGGTTTGGTCCTCACGGGATCCGAGATGGGTCAAGACGCATTACTGGTCTAATGGGATGGAACATCTATACAGATCGAAACTCTTTCCTTGACTGGGCCAGGGTCGTGGATTGTGGTGATGCACCTCTTACTTTCCTTGATAACACTGTGGCTCTGAAGCAACTCGAGCACGCACACAAAACCATTTCAGGTCGTCCGGCAAATGCTACAGATGTTTCGAAGACTCCAAGGATCATTACTCTTGGTGGTGATCACACCACCACGCTTGCAGCGCTGCGTTCTACCTATGATCACTGGGGAGCGGTGAGTGTGATTCATTTCGACAGTCATATCGATACCTGGGATCCGAAGATCCTTGGTGGCGGTATCTCGCAATACGCAGGTGTCAACCATGGTACTTTCTTGCATCTGGCACACGAAGAGGGTTTGCTGCTGAATGGCTCGATCCATGCGGGTATTCGAGCTCCGTTGGTACGCCGGAAGGGCGACATCAGGAACGACAAAAGGTGTGGATTCGAAATCGTGACAGCAAGAGACATAGATCGCATTGGGATTGATGGCATTGTCAGGCGGCTGAAGGAACGAGTTGGCAATACGAAGGTCTATATCTCGGTTGACATTGATGTTCTCGATCCTGCTTATGCTCCCGCTACTGGAACGGCTGAGGTTGGCGGATGGTCAACTCGAGAACTTCTTAGCATCCTAGACGGCCTCGAAGGGATGAAAGTCATCGGTGCTGACGTCGTTGAGGTTGCACCCGTCTATGACAACGTGGGAGAGACAACAAAGCTCGCGGCAGCCGAGGTCGTCAACTCATTGATGAGCTTGATGGTAGAGACGCCAGTGAAATCCTGATGGCCCGTTAACAGCCTGCTACCGCGTACTATTGGTCCATCAACACCAAGTGATGGTTTAATTACCCTCGGCATGCGGGGACTCTGTAAGCGTACAATTGCTGACTGAGCATGAGCTGGAAAAATGGACTACTAAGTAGTACTATGTCAGCTTGCTTGTTAGAGATTGTCTTATCAGCCACACATGCATGGTACTAGTTGAGCGATGGCTCGAGCAAGCTTGCAGGACCTTGAAGTTCTTTTCCCGCCACCCCGAATCAGAGTCCGCCAAGGCCGAATTCAACGCCCGTCCAACACTGACAGCTTCCACTTGGCTGTGGAGTCGTTGTGGATTATGCCTTGGGGTCCCACGTCTAGATCCAATGATGCCATACCCGAGGATTCTTGTGCTCCGTTATTCTTAGGCTGTACAATCAAAACCATGTTCTGTCCCTGTCATCTTACAGGCTTCTCTCTGTTGTGCGCGCCCTTCAAATCATAAAGGGCATGCAGTATTTGCTACAACCTCGCATCCATTTTCTCGTCCCTCACGACCATGGCCTCCACAGGATCAGAGTACATGGAGAAGCCTCGGCCAACCTCCATGGATTCCACGCCAATCGCTCGAGGCATCCAGTCACACGACAACTACGATATCGAGAGGCCCAAAGAACGTAAGCAATCGGTCGTTGGAAAGCTCAAAAGTGCCTACGACCTTTCAAATACCAATAGACGTCCAAGCCGAGACGGCTCGATCAAACAATATGACGAAACACACAGAAAATTAAAGCCCAGGCATATCCAATTAATCGGCATTGGGGGGACAATCGGTACTGCACTTTATGTGCAAATCGGGCAGGGGCTGCTGAGAGGTGGACCAGCCAGTCTGTTCCTTGCGTTCACTATTTGGTAAGTCACCATTCCGAATCTCTTTCGAATTCAACCGCGCGCAAAGACGATTCAGGTAAGCTGGCTAGACGAGACACGAGTTCTACCGACATACTTGGTGATTGAGACAGGTGGTGGAGAGCGACAGGCTCTTCGGTTGATGGCTGTGAAGTTGTATGACCAGCTGCTTATGTGTCCTGTCGTGTAGGTGTACATTCATCTTGGCAGTTACCAATTGTAAGAAGCTTCTCTCCTCTCTTCCCTTACATTCAAGTTGTGACTTCAACCGTCTCTCTGCCGGAAGCCAAAGCAGCAATGTCCGAAGCACAGGATACACGTCTCCTGCCGGACGTGCTGCTGTTGCCCAATGCGCTGTTCTGCTTACACACCTGCAGGCATGAATGAAATGGTCACATATCTTCCAATTTCGTCACCTTTCATCCGTTTCGCTGGTCGATATGTTGACGAAGCGTTCGGCTTTGCTGCTGGTTACAACTTCTTCGTCTTCGAAGCTGCTCTTGTACCATTCGAAATTGTCGCTTGCAATGTGATCATTCAGTATTGGAGCGCCGCCGTCCCAGTCGGAGTGATTATCGCTATCGTGATTGTTATGTATGCGTAGGTCACTTCGTTGTTCTGACATGCTTCGGAATCTGCTGAAGATTGTTCAGTATCCTCAACATTTTCGCAGTCAAATGGTACGGAGAATCCGAATTCTGGTTAGCCCTGGGAAAAGTTCTCCTTATTATTGGACTTCTCGCGTTCACCTTCGTCACTATGCTTGGAGGCAACCCGCTCGGCGATCGCTTCGGATTCCGATACTGGCGTAACCCTGGAGCTTTCAATGAGCTGTACTATGGCGGCAATCTGGGTCGATTCTTAGGTTTCTTGCAATGTCTTATTCAAGCCTCGTTCACCATTGCTGGACCGGACTATGTGTCGATGGCTGCTGGCGAGGCCGAAAACCCTCGCTGGGTGATGCCACGAGCTTTCAAGGCTGTTTTCTACCGCTTGACCACATTCTTCGTCCTTGGGTCCCTTGCTGTCGGGATACTGGTGCCACACGATGATGCTGAACTCACTGCAGCATTCGACAACGGTGAACCCGGTGCTGCTGCATCTCCCTATGTCGTCGCAATGAACAGACTGAGAATTGGCGTCCTTCCCGACATTGTAAACGCTCTGGTATTGACTAGTGCGTTTTCTGCTGGAAACAGCTACTGCTATTGCGCCAGCCGATCACTGTTCGGTCTTGCGCTTGAAGGGAAAGCGCCCAAGATCTTGACTAGATGCACCAGGAATGGAGTGCCGATTTACTGCGTGGCTGTTGTCCTCTTGATTGCACTACTGAGCTTCTTGCAAGTCAGCAACAGCGCAGCCGTGGTACTGAGCTGGTTTGTTAGCTTGGTGGGTTTCTCGTTCTAAGCGATGAGTGGTGCTAATCGTTTAAGGTAACTGCCTCCCAGCTGATCAACTTTGCGGTCATGGCTTTCACTTTCATTAAGTTCAAGAAAGCCTGTGAAGCTCAGGGACTTTCTCGTGACTCGCTTCCGTACAAATCGTGGTGGCAGCCATTTTGCGCGTGGTACGCATTTACTGGCTGCTTTATCATGGCTTTTGTTGGGGGTTATCCTGTCTTCATTCTCGATCGTTGGAACGTTCCGACCTTCTTGTTCAGCTACATGATGATCTTCGTATTCCCAATCCTGTTTGTTGGCTGGAAGTTGATTAAGAAGTCGAAATGGTACAAACCAGGGGAGGCCGACCTGTACAAGGATGTGGATGAGATTGAGGAATACCAGCGCACTTATGTTCCAACTCCCCCAAGGTAATAAACCCTATCCAAGATAGTGGTGCAGCAGCTGCTAACTCCCCGTTCAGGAACAAGTTCATGTACTGGTTTGACAGAGTCTTCAGCTGAGCAGCTTTTCCAATGCTTATGCCATAGATCGCAACAGGACAATAAAGGAGGCGGTTTTCCGAATATGGCGCGGATTCTGTGCAAAAGCTGCGTCATAGCAGTTTCTATCATACCTTCACCTTTTGTGCTTGATTTTTTCGCTAAGTCGGGCAATATGCTGCGGCCTGGTTTTGCAGCAGCCACCAACAACGATGCCAGCCCACTTGTCCCTCTCTTGCACCTCATGCACAATGTCGAACATTTCATCCTCCCATTTTCCAACTCCGGCGGCATCTTTTGCAGGACCCCACAGTTGAGACGTTGTATCATAAGTCATGTTATTCGCACCGTCTGGATAAAGCACCAAATGCGGTAAATGTACCTGCATGGAAGCTGCGGCCTCCTCAAACTTTTGAATGAGACTGCGTAACTTCGAAACCTTTGTACAATTGATGCCAATTCCCACTGGTGTGGGAGGATGACCGATAAGCTTTGATTCGGAAGGCGTCTGAGCAACCATAGCTTCCAGGACATCCATGACCTCCGATCCATCTGGTAGCTTTTCATCGTCGTTTGGAAATACAGAAGAGATCCAAAAAGGCTTCTGCATGGAAAGTACTTGCATTGCGTTCCTCACAGCCTGGATCTCATCTACCCGGGGTAGCGTCTCAAACGCCACCAGATCGACCTCGTTCCAGGTCTTCTGATCCGCTTCAAATACATTGATTCGTTGTGCATGCCACCGCTCTAGATTTACACAGTCACCCATTTCGGGTGGGTATTTACCTGTGTATTCCGTGCTGGGGATCATAGTTGCTCCATATGCACCAAGACTGAGTGCTAGAAGCCCCTTTTTCGAGCCGAAAGCAGATCTTGCAAGAGGTATAGCCGAACGCATGAGATGTCCCGCTTCTTCTTGAGAGTAGAACCCACCTCGCTCGGCGGAAGTAACATTGAGGTCATACCGGCGAGTGCTAGTAAAACCATTAAAGCTAGCTTGGTACGTGGCCGTCAGTATGATGTCTGCGCCAGCTTGCACAAAAGATCTATGCACTTCCAACAATGTCTCAAGAGAGGACGCTAAGAGGTGTGATGACCAGGTGGGGGTGTCCCTCGAAGAGAACGTAACTTGATATTCATCCTCGAGCGTGGTGCCGAGACCACCATCTAGGATCAGGATCGGTTTGTGACGGCCTCGATCTGGGATCTCGATCTTGTCTAGCAATCTCTCAAAGCTAGGTCGACCTGCATCTGTAGCGTTGTGCACGCTCTGCAACGCGTGCTGTCTGACATGGGTAGAATCCTCATACATTGTTGCATTGGCGACGGATTTTATTGGCAAGGTGGCAATAAGTACTTGAGGTAACCGGCGTTACGAAACCTTACATCGCATACCGGCACTTCACCCGCGAGAGCGAGAGCACACTTCTGCGATCTGGTCTGATATTCTCATGATCACAATATCCACACCTGAGATGGAACATTCGAGCTCTATCAGCCAGGTTGACTGCCATGTGTATCTTTGTGTAAAGGCAGGTTAAGTGATATGTATATTCTTGCTATAGATTGGCTGATGCTGTCTGTCAAAAACCCAAAATCAAGTGCATTTTCTAGCTTGTGCTCCGTAGAAATGCTGCAGATCAGTCAGCCACTTTTCACGCCAAAATCAGCCACTCTCTAGAGAGAGGTCCCTGTACACCCCTATTTTCACATAGCTGAGATCGAAGCTTCCCTTCAAGAAACCCCCTTTACAACACACTTTCCCAATTCCTTCTTCAACTTGTTCCCCTCCATAATCCCATGCCTTCTCACAACATCAACAAACATACACCTAACCTAGATGAAAGGGCCGTAGATAAGGACTGCAGGACAGAAGACGACGAGGTAGCGACGGAGAGCGTCTGCGCAGAGGTCTTGATTGGTTGGTGGGTGGTATGGTGCTTAGGGTTACGAAGAGGCATGTGATGGTATAGAAGAAGGCGAGGGTGAGGCGTTGGAGGATTGTCTGTTCTTGGGGTGGGGTGGGTTAGTGGATTGAGGATTGGCTCTGCGGACGGGAAGGGAAGGGGAGAGGTGAGAAGGAACTGACTTTTACGAGGTTCCCGGACGAGAAGGTAGGAATACGCGATCCTGCTTCGAGGTCCTTGTTTGGTGCTGGAATGGTCTATGTGGTGTTGGTATTGTTTTGAGCTGGGGTGGCGGCGGCGGCCTTGAGGTCCTCACTTGAAATATTATTGTTGTTTGAGAGTGGCGGTCCTCTTGAGTGGACTTCGGAGGAGCGGTTGTATCGGTGTACTCGTTCGGGATGTCCTCTGTATTGGAGTGGTTGACAGGAATCCAGGATATACCGGCTTTAGGTCGTCCACGAGTGCTTCTGGTACATCTTCATTGATCTTCTCTGCCACGACAGCGTCTCCAATCTCACCAGCTTTCCCAAAGTCTTCGGCTCCATCTGTCGCCAACTTCTTGTTCTTCCACTCACCTGCACTCCCCTCGTCGACCGAGGTTGCCAGATAATCCACACCATCAGATTTACCTGTGCTCACTGGCTTGTAAACCTGCAGAGATTGATGCATGATTCCTGACTGAGAAACGGTATGGAACGTCCTGACACTGTAGAAGATATGTGTAACGCCCCAAGGACGGAGGAATTGTACCAGAAAAATGTACTAGATGGATGGATGGGAATGAATCTGGTACTTTACAGGTGAAACATGAGAAGACAACTCATAGCCTTAATTTTAGTGAAGAATCACAAGATCACCATTATCTGAGCCTCCAGAGCATGACTTGGCCTTAGCCTTCTGGGAGAGAAAGTGAATCCGACAGTATGGTAAATAACGCTTAGTGAGATATCTAAGGACAAACTTCTCCACTGACTTTGCACATGGCTTCATGAACAGTGCGAACTTTTAATACGGGCTCTGAAGTGACCCAAAGACCCGACTATCATGGCACAGCATTCAAGGTGATAACTGGGGTAGCAGCAAGCAGGTGAATGTATCTTGTGTCCAAGCTGCTGGTTGTCTCGGAAATCTGATCTTCGGAAGATCCGAATGCGGATATAGATTCCGGAAAGGGGCTGCATGGCTCAAAGGTTGGTCAGTGAGATGGAATAGATAGGCACACCCCGGTAGAGGGAGCATGAGTAGATCGCCATGTCAATATGAGACAAGCAGCCATCATTAGCCACAGGGCCTCCAAGTTCTGAAGACGAGATAGATGTAGGTAAGCTGAATGTGTACACGCCTGGGAGAATATCATATTGTATTATACCGAGTAAATAGAGATGCACCAGGAAAGACATAAAGGGAGGGGCAATTTCGTCGAACAACACACGCTTGATCGAACAATTTGTGCAGTGACACTATCATGTCTCTTTCAGGCCTGTTAGTATCTTGTAACTTGACTGCGCCTGACTTCGAGGTCCAGTTGCTGAACGAAGTACTTAATTCAAGATTTCCAGTCTCCATGATCAAAGACTTGGATAAGTGGAGACCTTCCTATCGGTAGAAGAGCACCATTTTTGAGAATTTGAGCCTTGAACCTCAATCATGACACATTTGGTACAATCAGATGAGCTCCCAATGATTAAAAGATGTATACTGGCCGGAACAATCGGATGTTATTCGGTAAAGCATAGTGTGGACATCCAAGGAGTCGGGTGATTGCGGACGGCATGCGCCTTTTCACTAGATCAATGCGTAGAGTTTACCTATCCTTCAACACCGTGACTTTCCCTCTCAATCTGGGCTTCGATCGAAACCTGGTTTCATAATGCGGCGTTGTGGAGAGCAGATGAAAAGGTCCAGAGAAAGTCGTTGCCGACTGCCCAGCCTCCGACCCCGCGCAGGCCACGACCTGTTGGCTTTGCCTCTGTCCCACAGCGAGCGCTTGCCTCATAGGTCTATTCGTCGCCCTGAATCATGCATCGACTCCGGCCGCGACCCATGGCCCCTAAACTGAGAATATCTCCAAAGCAGTCTTGCAATCTGTGGAGCAAGATGTCCCGCCCCACGACGGCAGTGGTGAAGCAGGACCATGGTAGCAGCAGAGCAAGAGGCCGATGAAGTTGCAAACTCCTATCGTTACGGTTCTGTACCGACAAGGGGAATACGCCTTCTGGAAATTCCCGAAATTTCCATCGACAAGCCATGGCCGTTGAATGCTTATGATCTCCAGGATTGCCCAACCTATTTCGCGCTTTCCTACACCTGGGGACCCCCACTTGATACTGCGAAAAGCAGAGCAGAGTATGGAGGAGTGAAACGCCCTCTGACACTAAGAACTGGAAACCATTCGGGACGATTGAGCATCGAGCTGAACCTATTTGAGGCCTTGGAACAGCTGATCGCAGCTGGTTATACTGGCCGTCTCTGGATTGATGCAATCTGTATCAATCAGCAAGATAAGCTGGAGCGGTCGTCCCAGGTGGCACTTATGGGTCACATATACAGCGGCTGCACAAGAGCATTGGTATGGCTTGGAAGGGATACATCCAATCTGGGCCACTTCTCCTGGTTCCACGAGACTCTTCTGCCTGCTTTGGAGAAGCATTTAGATGAAGGAGGCCTAGTTTCTGATTTCTTTCAGGTCGTGAAGATGGCCAACTCAGGGGAAGACACCACAGCTAGGTGGCGTGGTTACGTCTTATTCTACGAGCAACGTCGATGGTTTCATAGGTGCTGGGTAATGCAAGAAGTAGCGCTCCCACCCCATGTTTCTATGCTCTGCGGATCTGCATACCTTGATTTGGAAGAAATCTGCGACTTGGCCATGTTCTTGAACGATGTGGCTTCGGCCGTCGTGCCAGCTGACTGGCAGCTGGATCATCCTGGTACGGAATTGCTTACAAGCCACAAAGTTTATGCAATTGGTCTTCGGCGTGTCGTGTGCCGGCTGAAAGATCTGCGAAGCATAGAATGGATACCTTCAGTTACTGGAGCTAGGAACCCCTGTGAAATGTGTGTCGCTTTGTTTTTGTCTTTGCTTTCTGGCATGCGTGGATATCAAGCTACTGATCCGAGAGACAAAGTATATGCCGCCCTTGGTATGGCGACAAAGTTTCTACCTGAAGGCGAAGATGCGTTGATGACTCCAGATTACTCACTATCCGTCAGTGAAGTTTACAGAAGGTTCGCTGCTTTCGAGATAGTGAAGCTGCCGTATGTGGCAGTACTTTCGTATGTCGAAGACAAAAGCATACGTTTACTCTCAGATCTTCCTTCGTGGGTACCTGATTTCAGTCCGGATATTGTTGGATCAGCATATGCCTCGAGATTCCATGATTATCCGTTCAATGCCTGTGTATCAGAAAGCGTGGGAAGATATCCAAGGTCTATCACAGGGCACACATTGCAATTGTATGGAGGCTATTTCGACACTGTGACTACTGTTGTTCAAGGCACGGATAGCTATCGACAGCGTACTCAGCCCAGCCTGTTAGCTATGGAAATACGCTGCCTTGAAATCTGCTCACAGCTGTTAGAATTCTGTTCTTCTCTGGAGTCACGATATGTCAATGGACAACGTCGGCTGGAAGCTCTGTCGAGCACACTAATACTCCAGCAAATCGATGGGCGGCCTCACTCTACTGAAACAAGTCAGATGTTCCGGTATTGGTTACTCGCAATGCTATCCGTTTCATGGGCGTCATTAAGGCTCGCCCCTGAGGCGGAGCCGCTGTTTCAAAAATGCTGCAAGGCCCTACAGAATCTCGAGGAAGCACAAGATGGTACTCTGCCAAGTGAAGGTGGCATCGTGGACTATTCACGGATGCATCTGACGCGGGAAGTCAACGTTCTGGAACGGGTGCCATCTGATGCTCTGCCAGAAGACATCCCTCCCAGGACCGTTAAAAATAACGTGTGGGATAATTATCGCTTATATGATCGTGGGCTGCACAAAGGACTTTTCCTTGGGCAGCGGTTGTGCAAAACTTCAACGGGCTGTATTGGGCTGGGTCCTCCTTCGATGCGTCCTGGGGATCAAGTTCATTTTATATGTGATGCAACAGTGCCGTTTGTGTTACGTCCAGAACCGGTTGTGTCCCGTTTTACGCTAATGGGCGAAACCTATCTGCATGGTTTCATGAACGGTGAGGTTCTTCGAACCGATTTCAAGGACAGGATCGAGCCTGTACACTTGGTGTGAGACTCTTTTTTCCCCCGCTAGGTTGACACCAGGTGTGTCAAACGGTTTCCCGCAATGGGCTGGTATCATTTGTTCAGCGTGCTGACCACCAAGGTGTGTTGATCTATGAGAAAGGCCGGTCAGTGGGGATATATCAACTAAATGTGGTTCGAAACCTATAAGCGCTGTCCTTATGGTGGAGTGGTTGACGTGTCCCTTTCTAGGCCTACTGGTTAGAGAGGACTGGTTGCCAAAATAATCACCCCATAACAGCAAACCCATAACGCTATGCCCCGCTAACTTGCAGGCCGTGTGAAGGCCCCCCAATATCATCAGTGGAAGCTTTGGTGCACAAAGGAAAGAGGAAGCAGATCGGAAAGCAAGCATGAGTGTCTTGGAAGTTTTGTGCTGAATTTTAGTTATTTCTATCGTGTTTTCTTCGCAAATCCGTTCTCCAACGAAATATTGCTGGACTTACCAGCCTTAGACTGGACGACCTCTGGCAGGCTATAAAGTCGTGGCCATACAAACTCATACTCATCTTGTCTGTCATTCAAGCAGTGCCGCAACCATATGCCCCAAACGATATAGCAGTATGCTCCCAATGCCGTCATGAGGTGCCTAATATGGCGTTAGCAATGGAGGGATGCCGAGGAGCATGATACACACCACCAGCCATGCCCTTCTAACAGCACACCCCAGGGTAAGCCAATTCTCCTGCGCATACTCCGGAGTTTCGAACAGTACACATTATCTAATGACCAGATCCCAAACGCACCCAAGAACATGGTTAATCCAAACGCCACCAATATCCACATATCTTTCAAGATTGCCTTATCTCTAACATTCAACCGGGCCTGCACCTGCTTCTCATGAAGAGCACGTGACTTCTCTTTTCGCTCCTGTCGATGCTTTTCCTCGGAGTGTCGTAGAGATGGTCGTAGGGTCCGTTCCATAGTAAAAATTGTTCGGAAGACGATGATTGTGGTGAGCAAAGCATACACGTTTTGATGAAATGCCGGATCTTGGAGATAGTGGTAGTACAGGGTGATAAACAATGAAAGTCCAACCAGGGAAACAGCTAGAACGATTCGAAACGCTCTGCTTCGCGAGTAGGAGAAGCTGGCATAAGCCATGAGGCACGTGGTGTAGATCATAGAGAGTTCATCGACAAGTTGCATGGGATCTGGGTGGATGTCAAGTAGGCTCAGGATTATCTCAGTAGGGTCAAGCGTACATTTCAACGTGGCGTGAAACGACAGGCTACCGAATCCCACGGCGAGATAGCCTGCATAAGCAACGGCAAAGACGCTGTCATGTCCATGTTTGTAACAGCTGATAAGTCCTTTGTATGCAAGCCAGATAAAAAGTAGGTTGGTCAAGGTGTTGACTATTTCAGCGGCATAAACTGTGGCGTAGTAGTCCTGAATGGCATAAGATAGACACCGTGAGCAGATGCAAGATTAATACCTCTTCGCACCAATTGATGGTACTCGTGACAGGCTCCCAAAACCCTTTCTGGTCCGGAGGTGGGTAGGGAAGGGAGGGAAGCCAGGAAGACATATTTGGCAAACTCCTTCTCTGCTCAAGGTCTTATCATGATCGGTGATACAGAGATGAAAGACACCTGTCTAGCACGCTGTATATGTACGCGAGACTCCCAAGTCACAATGTCTATCGTGATTGGAAGAGTGGAGTCTTGTATTGAAGCTGGGCAGGCTGACGTAGGGCGTCAACAACACTTGATCAGCACTGCTGTGCAGGCGGCGCTAGGAAGCGTCCGAGTCCCCGATACTACGTAAATTCTTCATGCTAACTAACCTCTTTGAGCTCTCTGACATTTTCCGTCCACAGTTCCCCTACTTAAACCACACCTCTTCTCGTAACAATATCCAATCAGCAGAAGGAGCAGGAGGTAGACTTGACGCTGTCTGGAGCCGAAGTGTGCAGCCATTATGGCGATTCCTAATGCCGCACTTCAAAAGGTAGGCTACCAGCCTTAGCATCCTAGTTGATAACTAAGAATGCACGCAATACAGCTGCTTCAAGAAGTAGAATCACAGGCAATTCAATCACAGCAGCAGATCAATATCGTCAGATCGCAGATCAATGTGAAGCAGCGTGACGCCAGACTCAATCAGCTCACTTCCACAGAATTGAGCCAACTCCCCAGAACAACTAAAGTGTACGAAGGACTGGGCAAAATGTCAGTCACAGAGAGAATGTGGGAGTATGACTCGTCTACTGTTACTGACCCGAGCCAGGTTTGTTGCAACACCAATCTCAACCGTAGATGCACGGCTATCGAAAGAGTCACAAACTCTGAAGTCGGAAATTGCAGCGCTGGAGAAGAGGCTTCATTACTTGGAAACGACCCACAAGAACAGCCGCGAACACATCGAGAAGATTTTGCAGACAGGTGGACGCGGTTGAGAAGAACATAATTAAACCTCAGAGACTTACTCCATCCATAGCCAACAGTGGCTCCCAACGGCTCCAGTCGCGCCATGCTCATGCGCATGCAATCCTTCGAGGGTGCGTGCGAGTGATATAATGTCCTCACTATCTTGATGTCACTTGTAAGTGCTATCCTGGAGCCTAGGGAAAAGACGCTGCTATGCAGCTTGTCCTAGGCAGCATCGTGGCTCCACATATCAATTTCAACCGCCACGCACGTTATTGGGTTCAAAATGACTCTCACTTGAAATTGCACACAATAGACTCGATTTATTGCTGCTTACATGAACTGTCCACCGAAATCATGGTAGCATATTCATCAGGAGGGTGTCTATCATGGTGGTGCAACCCGTGCTTTCCAGTGGGAAGTCCTCGCGTGATTACTCATAACTAGGCATGCAGCCAAGTAACCCGAGGGTCATCATCTTTCTTCTTGCCGCACTAGCGGCGGTGACTGGATTACTACGTATCCAGCAAATTCAGCGCGAGTCAGTCGGAGCTGCGCCGCACTACGAAACTCTTTTTCGCCTGCAGATCCTGTTTGCTGAAGGTCAGGCCCCCCAGTGTAACCAGTTTCGGTAATTTTGCCTTCTATCTGCAAAATGATTATGAATAACAATATTCTGGCATCCCTGAACTACTACGTAGTACTCGGCCGTCGGAATGCAAAGATGAAACTGAGCGATAAGTTTGATAACAAAAATATACTGCAACCGACAGGCTGTATCTTGAAGATCAATCAGCATCTGTATCAGCAATGTAGCAAAAGTCGCGCTTCTAGTGCTTAAACCAATCCGAGGATTTGCTCAAGCCTAGAACAACCATGGTCACCTGCAGTCGTGCTCCGCATATGCTGGCCCCCAATTTGTCTAATCCACCGCGCTGGCCACTAGGCCACCCAGCGTAGGCCGGGGCTTGAAGAAGTAGATAACCGTACCAGCCCCCTGGGAAGTCAGCGCTTTTTCCTGATACCCTTTCTCGCCACACACACCTACAGATCGCAGTTTGTTTCCTTCAAAAGGACAGTTGACAGCTTCGAAGAACGCTTTGTGAATTTCACTTTCCCCTTCCTGCAGAGAGTGCAGATCAACGATCCACCAATCGCTAGGGCTGAACTGCGCTAATAATCGAGGGGCAGTCCCATCACAGCAATGCCGCCGCATCAATACCGTGTGGCCGAAGTCTGCCCGTACGACTCGAGCAGTTCCGATGAATATTACACCAAAATCCCTGTTAGACGTCACGCTCGCTATGGCTCCGTAGTATCCGCTCACCATCACCATCATGTTCACGAGCCGGTTTATGCCCCATCGCCCAGCCTGGCTGTACCGTTAGTTGATGTTGGTGGCCGGAAACGAGCATCAAGCACAACCGGCTTGCCTCAGCCAAATATCATCATCAATAATGCCGATAGTGGCAGTCGGAGCCGTAGTCGGGAGCGTACTCGTCGACGTAGCCCAAGCCGAGGCCGACGTCTTTATGATGGCGAGTATGAGGAATTCATTCATAGAAGAGGCAGAAGTTCTAGGACCCCCAGTCCATACTATCGATCTGAGTATCGATCTGAGTATCGACCTGAGAAGGTTGAGCAAATCGAGCGAGTCGATTATGAGACGCGCAAAGCATTGGAAAAATTAAAGATCTTTGAGGAGGAGAAGGCGGCCGAGGAGGCGCAGAAGAAGTTCAAAGCAGATATGGAGCTCAGAAAGGCTAAAGAGCAGTTGGAGAAGGCCGAGGCAGAGGAGAAGCGGATAGCGCTTGAAAAGAAAGCGGTTGAGGACTGGCAACGGGAGAAGGCGGAGGCAGAGGAGAAGCGGAAAGCGCTCGAAAAGAAAGTGGTTGAGGAGTGGCAACGAGAACAAGACGCCAAGAAAGCGAGGGAGAAGAAAGAGAAGGAAGAACTGGACAAGAAGGTAGACGAACAGTTCAGAGCAAAACTGGCCGAAGCTGGATACTCTCTGTCAGAAATCGAAGACATCATCAACCACAAAGCTGAACGCGATGAGAAGAAGCACGTTAATGAGATGAGGATAGCTCGTCTTCGCCCGACGTATATCAAAGTACACAAGAAGCATCTGCTCCCAGAAACGCTCGATGTCTATCGGCTGCCGTGGTCATATGACTCAGTAAGTTGGCTTCCAGTTCCGTGTCATCTTGCAAGACTGACCCCCATCGTAGAAAGATAGTGACTACATCCTGATCGAGACGTACGTTGATGACGATCTTCAGGAAGAGCTCTTTGCGCACACCAGGAAAATCAGATCTCGCAAGCTCATCGAACCCTCCCCGATTGAGAAGAAGGTGATCGTGAAAATCAATGATAAGAAAAAGGACAAGATGTACTTGGTTCGCAAGAAGGATACGAGTCCGCTGCGTTTCGGCATTCTGGGATAACTGCATTCTTGTGCTATGTGCATTGCCTTGTTTAATCTTTTCGTTATGAAATGAGGCGAGAATATCTGCGCTTTGCCAATGAGCCTCTTTGGGAATGTTCACGATCTCATCTATCTATAGAACACTCTTTGCGCTTGTCTTTTCTGAGAATCTTTCCGCCCTCCCAATCAGTTCTTCGTACACTGTCCAAGCCAACGCACTGCTCAATGCCTTTCGGCCCATCCTCAATGCCAACCCGTCAAACAAGCTCCTGACCCCATCTTCCTTCAACATCAACTTTGTCGCCCGCACCATGTTACCATACTTTACTGGAAATAGTTGCAGCCGTGTCTTCACGGCGTCAAAGGGATTGGTAATGCTTGTCGCTAACCCGGCCGCAAATACTCCGGATGCAAAATTCACGCTTGCTGCTATTACGCCTCCGTCCTTTCCAACGACTCCATTCAACTTCTTCTTGCTCCCTTCGTAGAACACTACGTACAAACCAGCATATGGCGCATCTCTCACGGCCGTAGCCCCCAAGCCAGCGAAGAACCCACGCAATCCTTCCCTTGATAGTATGTCCCGGCTCGCCCCGAGAATCGATCGATAAGCGTAAAAATCACTCTCATACCGCACCTTGATCACAGTAACGGGCATCATCAAGAACCCAGCAAACACCCTCGCTACCGCTCCCGTAAGCAAATTCTCCGAGTTCGAGAGCCGCGGCAGCACAGAACTCGGCCTTGTGCTCGGCGTAATGCCATCCCCCAAACTCAGACTGACGCCCTCGGTAGAGACGCGTTGCTGTCTCTGAGCTATCCTCTGCCTCAGCGTGTGCAAGCTCGAGAAGTACAGCGCTGATCCAAAGCCGGTCCGGAGCGCAGAGGGTAGGGTTCCGCGCCAGAGAGAGGCGATCGGATGAGGAGAGGCGAGTAGAGAGCGGAGGACGGGCAGGAGAGTGGAGTTGCGGGATTGCTGGACACGGGTTTTGAGGAGGTCGGCCGGTTGCAGGAGGACGGAGGTGCTGAGGCCGGAGAGGAGACCGGCGAGGAAATGGAAGGTCGGGTGAGCCTTTGTTTGTTGTACTGGTTTGAAGTGTGGCGTAGAAGATGGGGAGAGGCCATGCGACATTATAGGGTGGTGGAGGCCATGGATGAGGGGTGAAACATTCCTTGCTTGTGCTGTATAAGTGGGTCGAGATACTACTACAGTATAATTCCTCACGGAAAATATCTCAAATATCTCTCCGGATTCTATAAATGTACTAACGTTAGTTCCAAGACGTAAAACTGCAATGCTTGGCGTCTTCTTGGTACTAGTAGTGGACCATCCATCTCCATCAGGAAAAAAGCACGGTTCATCATCAGAACTTTTGCGGTCTGGCCGCCTTGCATATAGGACTTGATGAAACCATACTCGATAGGTACTGGTTAAAGCGGCAACGCATTTCCTCCAGTAGCATGAAGGGCTATACCTATGCATTCTAGTCGAGTCACTCCTCTTCCTATGAAACATGCAATTCAAAAGATGTTCATCCGAAGATAGGTCAAAGCAGGAGGCTGCTTCGAATCGCATCCTGACTTACGCAATGGCGCTCAAAATATCCACTTTTCGTTTCTGCGCTCTCTCCCTTGAGCCTGATCATAGGTTCTGTTGCGCCTCCTGCTTCTCCATTCCATTCTGTCAATTTGTATTACCCAACTTGGCATGCTTGAGAATGCGTTGCCTACACTGCATCTATGCATAACTATTTTAGCACTCATTGCAAGTACGTCGATTCTCCAAGCACGGCCCTTTTTCCACCCTCCTGCGCAACATCATTCCGGTTTCCCGGTGAGACCTACAGGTACTCCTCTGTTTTGGTGGTTTTCACTATTTTCTGCGCTCGTTCAGTGATGGACAGCCCAATTTGTCTGCGAAGTAATGATGAAGAGATGTTCGAGTGCGATAATCTGGCCTGGATTGATTATAGCAGCATCATATCTGTCAGAATGTCTTGCGATGGCTGTCCAACCTACTATTCATGGTTACTCGACGACGATCGACGTGTGCAGTGTGATCGAAAGCGTGACAAAAGTCTACATCATTGAGCCAATTTATATCAACACATATGTTCAACATAACACCACATTTGCCGTTAACGACTATCTCACCATCACAGTAGAGGATGCGCCGACAAGTTTTGATGGGGTTGTGAAAGGTACAACAACAACGCAGATGACTTCGTCGTATATGGTGTATGGCGCTTCTTCTTTGGAGTGGACAAAGCTGACAGGATGCAGCAATCCTGCTTCATTTGAAGCTGTCGATAGCTACTCGTTCGTGCTTTCTGTTTTTGTCCCCAAAGCAGACAACATTCAACGACGGCAATCCGGTAGCAACGGTTTCATTACCAATCAGGGTAGTTTCAACAATAGCTGTGCCGATGCGGTTGTATATACACTGGTCAACGGCCAACTTTTTGCAAACACCACAAGTGGTGCAACGCAGTTCGGCGCAGATTCTGGCGTCCCATATTCAAATTTTACACCAAGCGCAAGTCCTGGCAGCATCACCACCACCTTTGCCGTTGACTCTCAAAACAACTTGATTTGGAACAACGTTGCTTTTTACAACAACTACGTACAATGGTGTGTTCGCTCCGATAACATGATACTTGCAGTCTTCGTTTCCTCAGACCAGGCCCCTTCTGATTGTCTATTTGTTCAGCTGAGCATGGTTCGTCTATCGACATGTGCACAGCCAATAAGAGGTCCTACGGGTCCGACTGGCCCAACAGGTCCTCAAGGGGAAACCGGCAGCGTTGGACCATCAGGGCCGTCCGGGCCCAGTGGCCTTAGCGGAGCAAGTGGACAGGTTGGAGCAACAGGAGCAACCGGCCCCTCAGGACCGGCAGGACCGGCAGGCCCTTCGGGTCCCTCGGGCCCTAGCGGTGCAAGTGGTTTCAGTGGCCAGGTCGGCGCTACTGGCCTTCCAGGCCCAGCTGGAGCTAGTGGGGCCAGCGGTCTTAGCGGTCAGATTGGCGCAACCGGCCCAGTAGGACCGTCAGGGCCCTCAGGACCCAGTGGCCTTAGCGGAGCAAGTGGGCAGGTGGGAGCAACAGGAGCAACAGGCCCCGTAGGACCTTCAGGGCCGTCAGGACCATCCGGGCCTACTGGCGTGAGCGGATTGAGTGGACTCTCCGGTCAAGTTGGCGCAATTGGGCCTACCGGCCTGACAGGTCCTTCCGGCCCATCAGGGCCCGAGGGACCCATCGGGCCCACTGGCGCCAGTGGCTTATCAGGAGTATCTGGATTAAGTGGCCAGCCAGGCCCTACAGGCCCGCGTGGGCCAAGCGGTCCATCAGGGCCCTCGGGGCCTTCGGGACAAACCGGACCGACGGGTGCTACAGGCATAGCATTTGCATATCTTGGATGCTTTGCACAATCGTGCAACGGGCCACCACCATGTCAGCTCCTTGCATCCTATGCATTGGTAGGTTACTCCACTTGCTTATAGACGTATGGTGGTCCGCTAACGCAGCCGGCAGGACAGCTCCGTAACCGGCAACGCCGGCGGCTACCTAACGACCTACACAGGCAGCAGCAGCGCAAACATCGACGCCCAATGCTCCGCAGCCTGCATCCTCCGCGCTGGCGCCAACTACTTCGGCACCGTCAACAGCGGCACAACGCAGGGGGATTGCTATTGCGGGAACGTGGTGAGTGCGGCGTCGGCGCTGTTGACAAATTGCGTCAACTGTAATGGACAGAGCATTGGGCAGTGTGGGAGACCGGCTAACTCGATCGCCATCTATGCGAGGAGCTTTTAGACACGGATTCGTGCTGGAATGGAAGGGAAAGGAAAGGACTGCAATAGCGAGTGCGAACATCTAATACTAAGATATAATGCTCGATCAATTTCGTCTTGGTTGCGTCTTGTATCTGAATGTTTGCCACTTTCTTGAGACCTGGAAACAATGTAACCCCCACCGTCTTCAGTGCTGGATAGGGCAACTTTCCCTATCGGGCGTGTGCACCATCTTTTCTCGTACCCATGCACATGAAGCCTATCCAAACAGACGGAAGTACCCCTACTTTGCCCTCACGTGCAACCCGTCTTGCTCAATTCTCCCACCCCTTCATATCCTGGTACGGTAATGTCAACATCATAGGAGGTGGATGATGATTTCGTAGTGGTCTCTTGCGAGTCAGCACGGTAAAAAGAGGTCGACCGCTGTAAGCTGTGAATGTTCTTGCAACGAGAGGGCAGGGCTGGGGTTCATTTTGACGGAGTGTGTCTCGTGTTGGCACATAATGACTTGATCTTGTCAATGGGTCATGGTCGTAGAGGTTGAGCTAACATTTCGTTTGAACAATTTGCGAAGCAAGCTCTTCGAGGAGGAGATTCAAGTCACGGCTAGTGAGCCACAACTCGTCCAAGGGGAAGCAGAAGTACTCTGAAGAAAGTAAAATCCTCCCCTTTCCTAGCCCAATTAGTCGTCCGTAACGGTGCCGAGGCACAACGGACACATGGCATCAAGGTTCTCCCATACAGAACATTCCTAAGCTGGGAAACCCATCACATTTAAAGCCCACTCGGCCTCTCTGCTCTATTTTCACCAGGACTCCTCTGTATCCTTTTCATATCCCGAATCTTGCAGCACAGCATTTTCATTCATCAATGAGGTATCTGCTTCTTGAATGCTGACACCTGTATCTCATTCTTTTTTTTGGAGATTAAGAGTATCTGAGTAGAGAGTTCGTGGTAGGGTCTTCATGGAAAAGGGTCTGGATTGAGGACCCCCTCTGACGGAGGGATCTGGTTATTCAGAACATTGACAGGACTGGAATCAAAAAAGGTCATGACCTGCTTGCGCGTGGCTGCAGAGATGAAGGGACCGTGCCGGGAGGGGATCGCGTGAGAGGGAGAGGAGAACACGTCTTCTTCCTTGATTGTGGTAGCCTCTCTGCATGGTGACAAATAGGGGGGTTAGGTGGTTGGTCATCATAGAAGAGAGGAGTGTGGCGTGTTAGTGGTTAAAGGCACCAGGCCTGTCGTGGCAGACTCATGGGTAGCTGTGGATTGTGAGGTTGAGCTGTACATAGCCTAGGTGATGTCTCCATGCAGCTGCATGAAGTAACTCGCAAGTAGGGTTGGTTATGTTGTCAACAGAACTTTGCTGCTCGGGTCGCATTCAAGTGTCCCTATCTGCGATTCGGCGGCTCATAGCGTGTAGTGGGATCTGGAGCCTCTCCGATACGATTCCAAGGACATTCGTCCGCAGGAACACGTTCTAAAAGCTGCTTTGGCGGCGGACATTGCCTGCAAGGCTTCCAAACCCAAAGGCTGTCCCCCCAAAGGCTGTCCCCCCAAAGGCTGTCCCACCAAAGGCCGTCCCACCAAAGGCCGTCCCACCAAAGGCCGTCCCACCAAAAGCTGTCCCCATCATGGTGGAAATCAACATCCCTTTCTGTACAACTATTCTTTAGAGATGTGGAATAGCTGTTCGAGTTACCCGACTTTGGTCCTGACGTTGAAATGGCAGTCTCAGCAACGCCGATGATACACAACAGCCGAAAGTTTTCCAGCCCATGGGTTTCTGTACACTTGCTCCGAACAAAGTCTTCCAACATCGAGTAAAAGGCTACGACTCTATGCTGGGGATTTCGATCCATGGGCCAATAGTCCCTTTTGAGCAAAATTCGAAGGGTCTCGAGCGTTTTCGGCATTAGGTCTCGAAGATCAAGCCATTGTGCACGGATTTGATCATACGACTCTGCTTTGCGCTCCTCCCCTGAAGTGTAATTGCCTAGCGTATCCGTATCGAGAAGAGAGGCATCACTGATAGAGACATGGCGTAGCCTGTCGAAACGGGCTAGAAAGTTATCGAGATTTTTGGAGAGTCAGCCTGAGGTATGCTCATCGACTCGAAGCTCCTCTAGAGAATGCTTTGCATGCTTAAGAAGTGATGCGCACATCAGCGGTTCATGCAGCAACCGGTCGTAGGTGAATGATTGGAGTGCTCTGCAAGCACTGACAAAACTCGCAAGGCTCTTCTCTTTGAGGTCGGGGTTAATTATTTGCAGGTCCTTGACAGAGGACACAGCCTCGTCCCATTCCCACACATAGTCGCCACTTTCACGATATCCAATAAGAGTTAGCCGCAATTCGCGAATCTCCGGCAGCAGGAAAAGAGGAGCGACTGTGGCGGAGTCAGATGAGAAGCTTTCGTGTGAATGCCGATACCGGCAAGGCTCGGATACAATAATGCTGCGGAGTGCTTTGAACCCAACTGGCCACTGGCAAGACTGCGGCGAACCCAGAAGATATATGCTGCGGATCGATGTGGAGAGCATACCCAGTGGATCTTCTTCTGCTTCATGACCACTTGTGTCATAAGTGATATATGAAAGTTCACGAAGTCCCTCACATAAAGCAATCAGGATGACTTTGAGTGGCTCGTCATAGCCCGATTCCAAAAGATCCATCCACTTCTTCGTCATCCCCTCGCTCAAACGCAGCTCGCGTAGCATGATTTGACGATACCGGTCAAGTTCTGCCTTGCTGAAAAAAGCGCTATCGAGATAGGTGTGATTGCGCCATCCATCCACCCAAGCCAGAAACCTGTCATTGGCGTCCCAAGCCACAGCAAAATAGACATCGTCGTTATCGCCTCCATCCAAGGGATAAGTCTTCCATTTTGACCATCCTTCACGTGAGCCCTACGCCTCCAGTTTACGAATATGCCACCGTGTGTGAGGTTGATTCATGACACGTCTCAATACGGTCGGCACTGTCAGTGGATCTCGATCGTGTACAAACCTAAGTTCCGAGTGCAGCTGATGGTGTCTCGCAAGAGAGGCTTTGGAGGATTCTAATAATTGCTTGCACGAGCAGGCGAAATTGAGAATATCAGCTGGTGAGATTGCTGCAGAAATGCTGTAAAGTAGCTCCAAAGGCAGATCGAGTAAGCTAGACATAGCTACCCACGGAGTTGTACGCATAAGTGATGTAGAGAGTGGGAGCTGATAGTAGTCAGTATGTATGGGATGCTATCAGGCGGCACCTAAATATTATGGTGAAAGATTACGGGCAGTGAGCTGACAGTTGCCTAATACCTAACTTAATTGTGCTTAATTAGCGAGTAGAAGAGTATCCACTCAACAATACTGCTCCACTGGAAGGACCGGAGCTAGGTGTCAAAATTCTTGACAGTTCTCACCTGTCACAGAGTTGACATGGAGGCCTCCTGGGGCCTAGATGGAGTCGTGGTCCGACTCTCTCTAGGGCATCTGGATAAGGATTAATATACTATTCCAACTGCATTCAAGTAACTTTGGTTACTTGGGCGTAACTCTTTTGTGAAGTTGGATCACTATCTCAGATCCTAATTGGATACTTTTGGAGGATAATACAGTAATAACGCCCATGGCACTCATAGCAATGCTGATAACAAATGCAAACAAACAAAGAAGCGTTTGGGTATCAAATGGGAATCTAATCCTCCGCAGTCGCCTGATCTTAATCCAATTGAGTCGATTTAAAGGATAATAAAGCAGAGGTTGAAGAATAGAGGCCCTATCTTTGATGTTGATGAATTACGCAGGGCTATTGGGGAGGAATGGGATAAAATTACTCTCAAGGAAATCAATAAGGCAATTTCTACAATGCCAGAACGAGTAATTGCCATTAATGAGCGAAATGGGCTCCCTATCCCCTATTGAATAGATGTAGAAATAGTGGTGTTGGCGAGAACTGTCAAGAATTTTGACACCTAGCTCCGGACCTGCGCAACGGGCCGGAGGGCCTTCCGGCCTTTAACGCCCAGACTTTCAAGGGCTACCTGGGCCTGTAGGCTACACGTACGGTGACCGTGTGTTATTGATTGAGACAACGGAAATCCATGCTAGCAGACTCGTAGGCGTGGTGTCTGCCTGTGTAGAAGAACACCAGTGGAATTATTGGCTAAACACTAACTAGTGACTCCGATAGAAAATTCTGGCCAACTTACAATATCACAGTCGTAGCCAACGCGAAAAGCTTTGATCCAAAAAGCAGTCCCTTCACCCTCTAGCTTTCCTGTCCTACTGTTGCGTCCCGGTAATCAATACTATTCTTCCTCAAGCACGACTTCTCCTAGCCCTCCTTACGCTCCTTGCCACCTTTCTAACTTCCCCCAAACTCTCTCTCTTCCACGCTCTTAACTCGCTCTTCTCCTGGAAACTCATGGCCCTGTAGCGTTTCTCCCCTCTGTTTCTAGCTTCTTCTCTCCGCTCAGTTCTGACTTGCCGGGCTGCTGCTCTGATCTCATGCTTTAGAGCCTTGAGGTCGGACTTCAGAGCGCGACGTTCAGGTCTATTAAGAAGTAGAGGAGGATTTGAGAAGGTGGGCGGAGATGCTACCATGGCTTTGCTGTCCGGAGACGATATCCTCGTGTCAGCATGGCTGGAAGTTGTGGCGCCGGTACCTCTGTGTCGTTTTGTGAGGTTCATGTCTGCCATTGATTTCGAGAGCTTGGAGAGGTTGGTGGAGTCGGAGTTCTCCGCTGAGTGTGCGCTCATGGAGCATTCACTTGCTGGAGACGGGAGTGGAACTGTTGAATGTATCGTACCATTTTCCTCAGCTTCTGCAGCATGGTCGGTCGTATAAGCGGGCCCGAATTTCTTGCGCGAACAACGTGGTCGATGTGAGGGTGAACCCCGGTACTGGCGACGTCCAGCGCAGCTTATATCACCTGTTCGCTGCTCTACACGACGGGCTACAGCTTGTACAGCAAGGCTGGCGACAAGGCTTGCTGAAAGTAGCCCGGAAGGTACTGGGTGCTTCGTTGGTATGTCAGCGATTTCTTCTCCTCCGAGGTAGTGCATGTTCTGTGAATCTGGCTGCATCTTGCTACCTCTTTGTGGGCTGGGTAAGGAGGTTTGCTGCTGAGACACCCGATGCTCAATGCAGTGCCGAGTACTCACTGTAACCGCGAGAGCCCCAGCTTCTCCAACAGCATGGCCATAAAATGGAAAGGCTCTATGGTCAGTGTTCGCACTAGGTGTCAGAGTGCCATCAACAAGCTTCCGCTGCGCAGAAGTGGACTCTCCCAAGGGATCGTCTGGACTGTAGGGTGGAGGGACAGGTTCAGAGTCGTCAGTCATTGTCCTGTGAGTCTTTTCTGATGAAGACTAGGCAGTAGGCAGCCTGCTGTTCAACGTTCGCATGCAGAGAAGCAGCAATAGTTCGCAAAGCACAAGCTACGGGCAACTGGGAGAACACAAACGGAAAGAAATCAGGCATCAACTTGGATTAAGTAGTCAGAACAGCTACACTATACCTGGGGTCGGGTATCGAGTGGCTGTAGCCTAACGCATCCGGAGGATTATTGGATGCACCTGCGGAGGAACTGAAGTTCCGCGTGTCGAGCTCCTACGGACGAAGCCAAGAAGGATAGAGGTGAGCGAGCTAGGCCAAAAGATATATATCATGCGACTCGGACGCGACAAAGTCTCCAGCTGCTAATCATGACATATTTGACCAGAGAGTTTTGGAATATCGATCGGATCAGCCTATTTCATTTAGGGTATACCTTCTCGAATATCGAGTAGAAAGCAATCCAAATGCCCCTAGCCTCGCGCAAGCTCTTGGAATTCGAGAACGGACTTGATATGCTATGTTAAAGCACGGGTCAGGCAGTAAACCTACAGAACAATCTATGTATCTTGCGCTAAGCAGTATTGGCAAAACTGCCTGTTTGGCCAGTCAGCTCGAACACTTAGATAGGAAGGACCTTAAGCTGCATTGCCAATAAAAAGGCCGCTCCTAGAGATCTAAAGTGAGAGTAAAGCCATTGCTCCACGTTTGAGGTAGACTGTCTTCCTTCTCATAGCTTAGAAGAAAGATCCAGCACTTAAAAGATCTGTCTCGCAAGTGCCTGCGGTGTGGGTCCTTTTATCTTGTCCTCCAGGTACTAGAAATGGCTAGCAACCAGGAATAGGCTGCGAATAACACAGTGTTAGCCGCCTGGAGAAGCATGCAGCAAAGGTATTGACTGCTCTCGAATACATACCACCACCTCTGAGTGCTCGGAGGACTCGATAGATGTCTTCCCTGGCGTCGCGCTGGAAATGCATGTGCCGTAAAGCCGCCTAGATGTGGCAGATGCTTTGTGCACACAAACAACCTCACGACTTTGTACTTTCATTCCTTTCCACTAGATCTCCAACTCCTAGCCCTCTTCCTACTTTAACCTTGATCATCTTTTCCTTTCCCTCCTTGTTCTCCTTGCCCCCTTTACCATCATCACCCTTTTTGCCCATGCTGCCAACTTCTCCACCCTCGTCTGCATCTTCGCCATCTACTTCAGGCACATTTTTTATTTGCATATCAGTGAGATCCATCTTCATAGCATACGCATCTTCACCATCTGCGTAGTACTTCGACTCGACCTTCTCGACCTCGAAGCCAAGTGTATCGCGATAGAGGTGCAAAGCGGCAACGTTCGACTGTCGGACGTGAAGTGATACATACGAAGCATTAAAAACTTCGGCCATGGCTCGCTCTGTGTAGACGATGTCAGCGATGAAGCTGAGCTCCTGCGGATTGAAAGCCCTTACGGCTCAGTCGCATGAGTCGCTCGGCGATACCCAACCGCCTGTGAGTCCTCATCACGCTTAGACTAGTAATATGTCCATGCTGGATGCCATCGGTCGGTTCCTCCTCCATCTTTGCCAGTACATAACCTACTACCTTTGGATACTTTTCTGGCTTATTGCCTCGAACTATGGCGACAAAGGACAGTTGCGGCCATGTGAGTGCATGGTACAGGTAGTATTTCAGGAAGTAGTTTTCTGGGAGATTCGTTATGTTGCAGGTCTGTATGCTTGGGAGAAGATGAATGTTCGAGGGATAGGATGAGAGGGGTACAATGTCGACCATCTTCCGATTAGAGACAGGCACTCAATTGAGACGCAACCTTCAAGAAAGAAGAGCTCTTGGTGGCCAAATACATACAAGCGGCCGGCGTTGCTGGTATCTATGTAACACAACTCTTGAGCGACTTAGGGTCTTGGTCCCCGGAAGCGTGCTTAGGGCTAAAATATCATGCCGCAGTCGCTACAGTTGAGGCAGAAGTAAATAAATAGTCACTCGATGAGCTATATTATTGTTCCCATAGAATAGTTCGATTATTAAGTAGACATCACCATTCCACCGTTACCTGAGATGACACTTCCCGTGGTCCACCCGCTTTCCTGTGAGCACAGCATCCCAACAACCCCTGCAATCTCCCTGGGAAATCCTGGTCTTCTACCGCCCATTCCTTCCTTGACAGTCTTGTCGAATTTCTCTTCCTGGCCTTCACCAGCTTCAGCCTTGACCTGAATTTCACCGTGGTACGCTGTCAACGGTGCGGCATCAACGAACGGCTGATTGCCAGCCCAGAACTTCGGGCCTGCATTTTCATACATGTCTCCCCAGACAGGTCCAGGATTTACACAGTTGACCGTACATCTTTCTGCAAGTTCACGGCTCCAGCTCCGAGTCATTGCTTCAAGGGCAGCTTTTGTTCCCGCGTATATAGATTGACCAGAATAGCCGATGGCAGACGAAACGCTTGAAATGTTGACGATGCGCCCAGATCGATCTGTGGGTAGATAGGGTTCACATGCCTGCGTGAGCAAGAGTGGCGCAAGCACGTTAACATCGTACATCTTGTGAAATTGTTCCTCCTCTATCGGACCTTTCTCTTGGTCATTCAACATCTTGTTGCCTGCAATGCCGGCATTGTTGATCAGGATGTCGATCTGGAATCGGCCAGTCTTGGGATGGGAAAAATTGTTCCGAGCAGTTGAGACGATGTGGGCGACACTGCGAGAAAGTCCAGACAGGTCGGCTTGAACAGCTACGCAGCGAACGGAATGCTGCTCTGCCAGTGACTTGCAAAGTGCTTCGATTGGCTCTCTCGATGTATCCGACGTATACACCAGTAGGAGTGAACAGCCTTTGGCAGCAAGGTTCTCGGCAATCGCAGCACCAATACCTATTACCTTGTCAGCGGCAGCGCTGTTCTGAGTAGTGATTCGGTGCTTGGTGACCTCTGGATCCACCTGTCACAATGCCGAACTTGCCGTCGTGCTGTCGGTACGAAAGCGACCCGCTGCTGAGGTTGGTAGATGACGTGCACTGATACCCAGGATGAGGCATATCAGTTGTTGAGGCTTCGTAACTCTGCCGAGATGGGGGTGTGTTGAAAGCGATGAATGCGAAGTAGTACCCTAGGGGTGCGGAGAAGCCGAAGCCGCCCGGCGGTTCCCCACATCCGCTGTTTTGGATAGTTCAGGTAGCGTCAAGGATGAAATATGGTAGTTCGGGCAGCGACAGCGTCGATAAATGAGCTGTCCAATGGGTGTAAAAATTAATACTGTCTCAGTCCCAATCGTCGCCCCATCCATCATCTGTTGATTCGGTTTCTTGTGGTTTGGTATCTATCTTCTTGACGGGTACCGTCACTTTAGGCTTTGATGTAGTATTGAGCAGCTTCTTTGTACCAACTCCAGGTCTGATTGTGTGGGTTGACGTGGGACGGTCTATGTTACTGGGCCTTGCATTGGCCACCTTGGTTAGGCCCTTGGGTAAAGGCTTCTTTGATTTCGCCTGTGATTGCGCAGCAAGCCAGCCGGCGAAGTCAGGCTCGCCTTCGTCATCATACTTCGTATTATTTCGAGGCTCTGGAGACCGTTTCCTGCTTGTTGGCGCATCAAAGAAGCTGTCATCCTCTTCTCCCATGTCGCCCCAAGCTTTGAAGGCATCATCCGGTTGTTGACCATCTAGTAATGCAGAATCCGTGAATGTAGCAACCCGCTCAGTTACAACGGCAACAGCTTTGCCTGAGGATGGTAGCGTCGCCGGCGTCGTTCTGCCAGAAGCTGGAAGTGAAGCAGAGCGCGACTCGTTAGGTGCATTCGATGTCAGTCCATCAACAGGTGGCTGCATCTCGCCACGAGCCGTTGTCATCTTATTCGTGAAAGAAGATATTGCCCAACCTGCCCACGAAGTATCACCCGAGTTGCCCATTCGTGTCGACGTTGAACTCGCCGTGTTGACACTATCTGCGGCTGGCAAAGCAGTATCGGCCAAGCTAGCGCCATGCTTTCGAACACGAGCAAGGTAGAGATCCAAGGTCTTGTTTGCCTGGTCTCGAACTATTCTGCATGTACATCAGCTTCTGAAGGGTGAAATGAGTGGTGTGGACCCCATACCTCTCCTTGTCGACCAGGCAGGGGCAAAGAGAAGGCAAAATTTTGTATGCGCAGTCATCTTCGCTGAAAAAGTCAATTGTAGCGCTCATTGCCATCAAGGCAGCATTTCGGGCATGAACAAATGGATCCCGGAGTGAACGAGTAAAAGCAGCCACCAAAACTTTAGACCGCGAGCTGGCTCCCAGATTTTTGGCTATCTTGCCCAAACAAATCGTCGTGTTGGTACGTATCCCTGGCTGCTCATCATTTGCAGTCTTCGCCAAGTATCGCAAGAGCTCTCCATTGACGACGCGATCCGTAAGCTTACCCACAATGGTAAGTACTGCCTTGACGGTCTGCTCTCGGACAATGGGCGCAACATCTGTGAAACCGGTGACCATGCACGGGAAGATTTTATTGCTTACATCCTTCTGTGAAAGGCGATGTATCATCAATGGTAGATTGTCCAAGAGACAGACTCGCATGGCCCGATCTGGATTGTTGAAAAGCCGAATGATGACTGGGACCAGCTTCGCTTCATACTCATCGTCTGATAGCTTTGAACCTATTTTCAACACAGCGGCAAAGACTTTGGGACCACCACCACCAAACTCGACTGATTTAAGCAGCTCCGGAAGTACTTTCATCTTAAAGAAGTCTTCCGGAACATCGTTGGAAACTGCATCCAGCTCACTAAAGGGGTCTGTAAGCAATATTGCAGGTAACTAACGTCGTGATCCTACCTCAAAAATTGGTCTCTTTCTGTTTCACTCTTCAGTCCTAAATTGTCCACATCGGTCGTCAAGCGAATCAGTGGCGTTTCAAAGAAGCCCCCTACCTTTGTTCCCTGTTCGAGGAAATGGCCAGCACTTAGTCTGATTTTTGGATTGCTGTTGATAAGCCTGCGATAACTCGGAACCATAGTCGATGGAATTGCCTTGGTCTGGCTGAGCTGATCTGTACCACGGAAGCTGCCACTGAAAACCTCGAAAACCAATATTCCAAGCCCAAAAGAGTCTACTGCTGCTATTGGATTCCTCTTAATAGCCGCCCAGCCGCCATTCGTAACTTCAGGGGGTTGAGAACGGCCTGAACCTGGCACGAGACTGCCATAATTGTAGATAACGGCATCATCATCCTTCATAGAACTCAATGCTTCAAAGCCCCCTATCTTCCACTCCCCGCTCTCCGATGTATAAATAGACGATGACTTGATGTTCCCGTGCACAGAAGCAGCATCCTCGTTTATGAATTTCACTGTTGATGCCACCGTGTAGAGGCCCCATTTTGCAGTCTCCTCGCTAATGCTTTTGCGCTTGATATGCCAGCTGAGAGGTGCAAGCTTTTCAGCAACAATGTAGATGTTCGTCTCCGTCTCCAAGGTATCGAGCACTTTGATGATGCCAGGATGTCTAAGAGTTCGTAATTTGCGTAAAGCATTCCTTGCCAGTGGCAGGCGAGATTTGTCCTTCTGCAGGTCAAAAGTGAATATTGAGCAGGACGAACCATCATCCTGGTACCACGATTAGCATAAAACTCCCGTCTCAAACTGGATTCCGCTGACCCTTTTCGTAGCACTGTGCAACGCCCAAATCGACTCTTCGTTGTCAAGTCGATCGCCCAGGGCATATGGAAAGGAGCTTCCTTTCGCGATCGCAGAAGCGACAGCAGACTTCAGAAAGTCCATAGAACATCAAAGGGATGTTACAGATATAAACAAGAGTCTTAAAGAACCAACGAACCAAAATTATTTCAACGCACTGCAATGGAAGGCTCAGGTTTCGCAACCATTTGGAAATCTGGATGACAGGCCTGTGATCACGCGGCTTTAAGTACAAGTAAAGACGGACTTTAGTTTATCTTGAGGGACAAATATTTCTCCATTCGCTAAGAACGCGCTCTAAGGAGACGCGATGAATCTTACACTTTCCGTCTGGTCTTGGTCTCTGGCTTTGACGCTGACTTTCTGCTCGAAACGCTACTATGGCCACACCGCATTACAAATCGATGTTCCGTCAACCAATTGCCAGCTCCTTGTGGTCCAGTCGAGATATCTTGCTTATGCTCTACCATCGCTGTCCAATTTTCAAAGCTAACCACTCTCGAGCATGCACCATGTAAGTAGACCTATACTGGAATGATCGGGTAAGTGCTCAGCATGTCCTTCTCCCCTATGTGATTAGTTGTCCATTTTATCAATCTGCTATGATGACCAATTGGTAAAAGGTCATATATGGACAGCGCCAGTGGGGATCGATCTCGTCCAAAAACTCCCTTAGCTTTGAGGACTCATTTGCTTCTGCACTGCTGCTATGGTACGGATCGCTGTGAAACCTCTGTTTATGTTCCGAATTCTTGTCGGCAGGTACACTACCAAAAAAGACCAGATCTCTCCGAGTGATTGGAATGATTTCAGGCAAAGGGTGATACGCAAAAAGAAGTCAATGCTGCTCTACTGGGGCTCACCTTCTTCCTCGAATGAAGAGGACTGGGCCAATGGCTGCGGCATACAATCCTTACTTTATATGCAAAGACAAGGTCGCGTCCTCATGCAGATGGTATCTGGCGCTGCCGTGCACTGTGCAGCTGCTTATGACGAAAGGCAAGGAAAGTTCTGGGTGTCGATAACCCTGGATATCGCACCATGATGACGACTTCATATGAACTGAAAAGACCTGAGCAGACTTGTATCCAAATGAAGGCTCTCGCGCACCCCTCTTACTACTCTTATCTGCCTATATTGCAAAGACTATGAAGATTCTTATGGCTGACGAAGGCGACAGGCCGGCCATCTTAATGCCCTACGGGTTTATCCAGCGATGGGAGTCTTTCACCTAAGCATATCGAAATCTAGGCTCCAGCACACCGAGACTACAAAGTCCTAGGGAACATGCTGTTCCCTGGGCATGAAAGAAGCCGGCTTTTGCTAGAAGACTCAGCCAACAGTGGTACCAGGTTGAAGGTTCAAGAGTGTGCCACCGTCGACAAGGATAATACTGCGACAGAGTCTCTGAAATTCGACTTGTTGTCAGACTTCAAGCAGATTGAAGCACCTACAAAGCCCTCGGTAGAAGAACAAAATCACGATCCGAAGATTGCTACTGCCCAGGCTAAAACCAAGCTTGATGACCAATGGCCGAATGGAATCCCACCGACTGGGCCACGGAAATCTTTAAAGTGGGCTGGTCAGTATACCCCAAGACGTCCGTCCACTACAGTTGAGCGCGTTCAGAAGCGTGTTGTTGATGATGGCACCGCTCTCAAGGGTACAGTGCCAAGACCCTTACTCTCTCAGACCTTCGAAAAAGGCATTCACAGTCTCGCAACGACAAAATCTGTTGATAAAGCTGTTTGCGGCACAAGCACGGCATTGGAAAGTCTTCAGAGAACGAAATCCTCTATGCATGATTCCGGTCATGTAACTACACTAGCTGGATATGAGACAGTTAAGACGATATCTCAAAATACGACAAAGCTAGAGTCGATTGAACAGAATGATGGGCAGTGTGATAAGCAATTGCAAATCAATGTGGAGGTATCAGAGTACTCGCCGCCAGAGTTTGTCGCTCTACTCAGCCCAACGAATGTTCCATCAATGCCCTCTTCGGACCCCCAAACATTCCTCGGAAATGGTATAGGCCACGCAACAAAAAGTCCGACATATTCTGTGAACAAGACACACGCGCCATACACAAACTCTCCATCAGGCGTCCAGCACAAGGACACTGCGTTAGTCATAAAGCAGCTTTTAAGATCTAGCAGTGAAACAGCATCAGTAATTTCTGCAACTTCAAGCACCGCCGGAAAATCCTCTCCGTCATCAGTTTCGTCCACTATGCGACTAAGCACCTGCCACATTTGCAAAAAACCTCCGTTTAGAGAGAAACTGAAAGGATGTTCTGAGTGTTCTCGCCATTACCACAAGGGATGTGCTAAACCCAAGGACAGGTGAACACTTTTCCCAAAAAAAACTCTTTACTTAGACTTCCGCCTAACCCGCTTGTAGAATTACTGAAGATAATTGGGTCTGCCGACGCTGCTTGAACAAGCTTGCGAAGAAGGCCGAACCACAGCTACCCTCGATCTGTCAGCTTCCCATCACGACTCAGTCTGAAAGCATCGGAGGAACCCATGGTGTGCCAGCCGCTGCTCATATCCCTGTTTCGCTGCATGATAGTAGACTCCCTGAAGAGTCATCAATTGCAGACGCATACTCCCAGTCTGCTATTCGCTTCGGGGACTCTCACATCATGCAAAAAGAATCTGCTCACAAGCCTCATGCGGGAGATGATCGACGGGTTCGTGGACATGGCACCATTGGTGATGCTCCGACAGCCGCACCACATAGCAGGGCACCGTCAGATTTGAATACCATGTTAATGACTGAGAACACAATTAATTTGACCTTAGTGACAGCAAAGAAACCTGACGATATTTCACCCGCTAACCTTCCCTCCTACTCTCGTGGTTGGGAAGCAAGAACTTATGGAAAGGCTACGAAAGCAGATTCTGTAAATGGCTCCAGAGACTTTGCACCTTCTTCGCCAGCAGCTGCACCTTCCGTTCTTCATCGAGCGACTCATACCACGACTGGACCCCCGCTGTCTCCTAATGAAACGCCACCTAGCATGGAAATTCTGCGAGGTGATACCAGTATCTTGCCTCCCAGTGCTGATCTCCTACAAGGCCACAGTAGGGATTGTCGCCCACCACGCCCGTTAGACCCGGAGGAGACTCAGGCCGCATCTCAATTGTTGGCAGATGATGCTGTAACAGCTCCCTGGGGAAGGACGAAATCGTCTTCATGTGATAACAAATTCTCGAGGAACGCAAGCGAGCTACCTAATGGTGATCGCTCTGTAAGTAAACATCAAGCTCGGAAAGCTGAAGGTCTGGTCTCAATTGGTGAGTTGAATATACCGGAAACCCCTTCTGATGTAATGGCAACCGCCCAATCCGCCGACCACTGTGCGGCAAAGCGAGAAAAGATATCTCGCTTGTCTACATCGCCACCTCGAGAAGCGAGCCAGGGGAAAAGCAGCAATATCGTTCGGCCTTTCAAGAAGCTGTGTAGCCTGTGTCAGAGACCGATCCTTGGATCAACTTCATTGTGCACGAAATGCAAGCAGACGACGGACGACGAAATGCCTTGTCGCCCTAATGAGAGCCTTGGTAATGGGTCTCTGGAAGTGGTGGATTTACCCACAATGACAATGACTGGTCTGACCACTAAGAAGACCCAGGTGGCCTGTGGGAACATGATCGGCCAATGGAAACTAGCCAAGGAATCGCGAAGCCAAGAGGACGTCACTGGTGCTCTTCGCATGTGTTACGAGAGTCCTGTTCCTGGTTCACCAGTTATCCCTGAAACTCCAGACCTTGGGTCGGAAAAGACAAGCAATAGCCGTGACCTCCTGCGTACAGAGCATGGGAGAACAGAACCAAATCAAATAAGAGCAACAATACCGATAGTACCTCAAAAGAGACGAAATATAGCTCCCTTGGCGTCTGACAGTGATCATTGCTTCAGCAAGAAGAGGCCTCGGTTTTTCAAGCCTACCACAAAATCTATCGCAGTCACTGTACCTCTTGTAAAGTCCAATCAGCCACCGCTAACTCCGAAAAGCGGGTCGCCACATGTCGAGCTTATTTCACGAGATGCGTCTGTCCAAGCGAGTGTCGAAACAGCACATAGAGGAACGTCCCCATGTTCAGCGTCCTTTCCAGGGCCTAACAAGAATGATGGACAACCAAAATGTTCAGCTTTGCCGGATGTTGGAAGGGACAAGGCCATATCTGAGGATGGGAATATCTCTATTTTCAATGGCACCCCACGCGAAGCTACATGCCGCAGCCCATGCTCAAGTCGAATGACGGAGCAGTGGCAGAGTGTAAAGGAAAATGTTGTGAGGCTTGAGCATCAAGCTAAGGAATTTACCGAAAGAAATCAAGCTTTCGAGCAAGCTAAGATGGCAATCGATCGGCTGCAGAGACCAGATCAAGCAAAGGGGCAACTGCCAACACAAAAATCAAGCGTTCCAGGTGCAGAACTGTGCAAGTTAGAGGATGACGGAAAGGTCGTAAACAACCACAGCACCAGCATGAATGACAGTGTAACGGGAAATGCAGGCAAGTGGACTTTAAAGGATGAAAAGGCGTTGCTGGAAAAGCTAAAGCACAGAGGAGTCATATTCGAAGATGATTCATCCTCCGATTCGGAAGTTGGCATACCTCCTCCCACAACCAAGTCTGCTCCAAGAGATCCATTATGGCGCCGCCCACGGTCCTCATCAGATCTGTTCATGATAGCTCCAGACCTAAATGGCAATCATAACTCCACTGATCCCACGCGAAGGAGAAGGGAGATAGCAGCTCGCCCGTTCAGGAAAGAACGGCGGCTGAACATATCGTACCTGCGTCAAGAGCGAGGCGATAATATTCATGAAGAGATCGACAGAATCTGTCCATCTCGAATGGTCAAAGTATCTTCCACCCTCGCATCCACTTTCCCTGATCCAATGGAGAAGAGTGAGCAACGAACACAAGCGGAGATGACCTTCAGCGAGTTTATTGGCGTTCCTGCTTCACCAATGGCGCTGCTAACCAAGGATAAACAGTTGGCCTTCCGGGACGGGACGAGAGATGCAAAAGGCAGCTTGCCCAGGGCAAGGGAAAAGTTTATCGTTACAAACAGAAACATTTTCTGTATGGAGAAATGACCTCCCACAGCACGGTCGCTCCCTTCCTTATTTGCTTTTCAGCAGCAAGATACCCCTGCCTGCGAGTCTATTCTCAGCTTCCAGTTTTGGCGTGTCCTTGCTTTATCCCGAAGCTGGCAGGATAGGGTAGAGGCAACGGTTGTCGTAGTCATGACTGCTTTAACGCCTTTAAGAGTAATGCTGGACCCTTGAAGTTTTGAGTACATCGGGTATGTCTCTAGCACAGCGGCCTCTTTTCAGACCCGGCCTGTAATTCGTCTCCACTTAGGACCTGACCACGCTCGATCAATACCCCATAAACAGTGAGAACTAACGTATTAGCAACGCTCTCCACACCTGACACATCTGAAGCTTACCGCCATAAAAATACAACATATGCTTATGTAAGGACTCAGCCTTTCCCCTATTCGCGCGCACTTCCAAAATATTCCCAGAAAACTAGACCTGAAGTGAGTCGAAGGATGACAACCAGCGAGGCAGAGAGCAGTACCCATCTTTGTTCCTGTCCATGATTCCAGGCATGATTGAGTGTGCATATGTGCTGGTGCAAATGAACAGAAGAAGGACGAGTAAGAGCGACTGGAAATTGAAGATGGCAGTCTGGAAGGGTTAGTGCCCTATCTGTTATCTGGTGCGATTGATTCCCACCATAGCGGCGAACAGTTCACCGATAGTCACTCAACCTGCGCCCGCTTTCAAAATAGATTTCAAAGTAGACGTAAATTCCTGACACAGTCTCAATACCTGGTGGACAGATCTTGAAATCCCGTTGATTGCCAAGCCACCATCTATGCCAAGAAATTTGCCGCCGTGAAGCGCTCCAAACGCAGCATATGTAAGCCACTGCCCAGACCAATCAGCAGACCAATCAGCAGACCAATCAGCCATCACTTGCGCGCTCGACTCTCAGTTTCATACAATTACTCTTCTCATAGAATCATCACAAGCACAATAAGCAGATCACAGTCTTGAGACCCGCTGATACGCTATAAGGATTCCAGACTGCTCTTCAGAAGCTCGGGACCGCGGAGAAACTAATCTGAGAGACACGAAGTCCGCGGTTTACATCCGTACGCTTCCTGCTTGAAAACCTCCCAATAACACCCACGATCATGGAACCTCGAGCCCGAGCTGCCCGATTAAAAGGTCAGCTCAATTTTCCTGAAGACTGTAAGATCCAACCCTCCTTCCCCAAGCCTTACCTAATCATACCATCCTCAACCTAGTAAAGCAACTCCTCCACGCATTCGGCGCTCCCTCCCCCCCCGGCTCCCCTCCGGACCAAGTACCAGAACCCTACCCGGAAACTCTCCGCGTCCTCGACGAGATCCTCACCGACTTCATCATCGAAATTTGCCATACCGCCGTCGCGGTGGCGTCCTACTCCGGCCGACAGAAATTGAAAGTCGATGATTTCCGATTCGTGATGAGGAAGGACCCGATCAAGTTGGGTAGGATGCAGCAGATGTATATGACGGGAAAGGATATCAGTAAGGATCGAAAGGCGTTTGATGCGATTGGGATGGGTGGGGCGGGCGCTGCGGGAGGCAAGGTGGCGGTCGGGGCTTTGGTGGTTTTTGCTGAGATGGGGGGTGAGGAGGGGACGGGTAGAGGGAAGGGCAGGGGCAGAGGCAGGAAGAGGAAGGTTGTCGATCAGCCTGATGGTGCGGGGGATGGTGATGGAGCTGGGGAGGAGGGGACGGCGGGCAAGAGGGCGAGGAGTGATGCGGGATGACTGAAGGGATATCGTGTATCAGAGGGATTTTACTATTGGAGCACACTACGCTCAGTCATTGGGCCCGGCTACGAATGAAGCCACCTACTGGCGACACAAAAGGGGTCATCAGGGCGGAACAGAGTCTTGCAGCGGCAGAATTACCAGGGCGTCACCACCTCTTTCTGGAGGTCGAAGGCAATAACCTCCAGCATGCAGCGTCGGACGGAAGGGTAATGACTCGACTGAGACGAAGCTTGCCGACTTGTCCAGGAGCACAAGATCGGGTTGCAGCATGGCATTAATATCATTGGCAGCACATCGCTATGTCAGTGTCTAAGAACTGGAGGACTGCAATATCTATCCGATTCCTTATGCAGGGTGATCCATCTGAGACAAGCTCCACAACGCCATACTTTTTCTTTGCTCGCAATGCAGACAGATGCCGTGCTGCGCAACGAAGTGTCATATGGCGGAGACAGGCTCTCTCTGATCCCTCTGTTCTCTCTGCTGACCCCCTCTGCCTCTTCCGCCTCTTTGCCCACCGCCGCGCTGGCTCTGCTGTCCGCCCTCTTCTTTTGTCGCGAGACTCGTGCTTTCTGGTCCGCCCATTGTCAGCTGTGCCGTTGCTAATCGATTGGAGAGGTCCATCTGGGTGCGGATTGTGTTGGCAAGGTAGGAGACTGCGAGGACGTCTTGAATGTGGTTGTTGCTGGTGAACATGTTAGTGCTGCATTGCATCAATAAACGGAGGGAAAACGCACAAATCCTTTTCAATATCTGCTGGATCCACCTTGGGAGCCAACGCCAGAGCGTTAAGCAGGTATTGACCCAGCGAAGTGTTTGGCAGCGTGTCATCTTCTTCCTCTATCACGCCCTCAACGTACTTGCCCACTCGGTCCAGCATGCCCAGGATATCTTCTAGGGCGTGCTCCAAACTCTCAATATCTGTGATAGTTGCCACAGTCCTATCTTCTCTGTCTTTCGCCGCAGCCAGCATCTCCAGCCCACTTCTATCCGCCTCCCCATACCGAATCTCATACGGCACCGGAATAAAGGCTGCTGAATCCGCCGCTCTCTCAGGAGTCACTCCCACAGGCGCGCTGATGTATGTCCTAACCTCAACACCCTTCCCGGCCTCGGTCGAGACCGTCATATGCACCGCCGGATACGGCCAAGTCCCGTCTCCCTGTCCTCCGTAGAAGTTCTGAATTAACGCGCTGAACGTATTCAGCTCGCTACTCGTCGCATACCAGCCCACCAATACCTCCTTCGGATTTCCTTTCTTGTGTAAATCGAGCATCGTCTTCTGGTACTCCATGTCGACTTCGACTTGGTCGGTGGTTTCCGTATGCCCTACAGCGAAGGAGGAATGAATTGTTATGGTCGAATCGTCGGCATCGGAGCGAGTGCCCAGGAGTGTGCCAATTACCCGGGTTTGATCTGGCGGTCGGCGTGTGGAGTGATCGAGAACGGAGAGGAGGGCTTGCGGCTGGATTATTACCGTGAGAGGGTGGGTAGAGGGCTGGGTGCCGACTGGAGCGGGACCGAGAGGGCGGGCGAGGTGAAGGAAGGTATCTTCGTTGGCTGCCATGGTGGGCGTGCTATGGACGGGATTGAAGGTGCGGATGCCCACTAGGAGAGTGTGAGCTTCGAAGCTTCCTCACCGTCACTCGACGAAATAAAAACTAGCTGAAGCTGAAGGTCAGCTGTGAACTGCTTGCTCCTCATTGCAAAGGTGGTAGCCAATATCGGCGCATAAATTGTGCGGGAAATTTTTGCGCTAAGATTAGATAAGATCTTTCAAACCTGAACTATTTCACCATACAGCGCACTGAAAAGATATTTCCAAGTCACCGCAGAGTGCGTTGACGCTTCAAAAAATACGAACAATGGGTACACCTAGGGCCCTGTACCGTGGCAGGTCTAGAGGTCGAGGTGGCAGAGATCGAGGACGTCGGGGAAGGCAGATTCAACATACGAAGTCTGATTTCAGGACGTCGCGTCTAGAAGAGAAAAGGTGTGTTCCAAGGTATTGTGGGTTACATCAGTCTAGCTGATGCTTACAGAGATGCTGCAGCTTCCAGCGAGGACGAGAACGGCGAGCTGTCCGAGAAAGACCATGAGAGTACTACTGCGATCTTTGACAATGATGCCAACAGCGATGAGGATACGAACGATATAGCGTATTCGTACAGTCGACTCCTTCAGTCACTCAAGCCACTGCCATCAAGCAATGAACCAGTCACTAAGAGGCGCAAACTCCTCAGCGGTTCTTCTCAGCCTGCCGTTGCCTCAACGAAGATTGAACGTGCCAGGGAATCAGTGCCATGTGACAATATATCAACGAACCAATTGCGTAGTACCGCAGAGGCTGATAGGCTAGAGCCCCAAATTGAAGTTGGCGGGGTTGATGGACCCATTACTGCAGGGGAGGAAGAGGATGAGGAGAACGAAAACGCAGGAGGAGAAGAAGGCGACGAAGTTGACGAAGTTGACGAAGTTGACGAAGTTGACGAAGTTGACGAAGACTTGACTGACCCCTTCCAGTCTCATTTTGCCAATCCAGATCTAGTATTTCTGTCCGAGAGAGTGAAGGCAGTTAAGGACCACAAATGGACAACACAAACTACAAGCATGTTGCAAGGTCTCAAGCAACAGTACGCAGTCCCATCTCCTGATGGAAGGACAGTGCAAAATACCTCCCCAATACGATCTTTTGAGAGCCTGAAGCTCAAACGGAGACTTGTCGCACCTGGTCAGAAGGTTTGGAGCAGACTTAATATTGCAGAACAAGAAATTGCTTCTGCCGTCATTATGTATAAGGATGTGCTCTTCGGGTCGAGGACGATCGAAAATGCACGTCATCTACGAGACGTTGTAGTGCTCCATGCTCTGAACCATGTTTTCAAAACTCGAGATCACGTAATAAAGAACAATGCAAGACTGGCGCAAGATGAAGATGGCAGTGCCTCTGAGATTCGCGATCAGGGGTTCACACGCCCAAAAGCTCTTTTCATCCTTCCCACAAGGCAAAGTTGTGTGAAATTCATTAACAGTATGGTAGAACTGTGCCAGCCGGAACAACAAGAAAACAAATCACGATTTGTGGAAGGCTTTGCCCAAGAGGAAGATAGCTCCTGGGAAGACAAGCCGCGCGATTTCCAAGAGTTGTTTGGAGGCAACGATGACGATATGTTTCGAATCGGTCTGAAGTTCACTCGAAAGACTCTGAAGTTCTTCTCTGCTTTCTACAGTTCTGATATTATACTTGCCTCGCCGTTAGGGCTACGAACAGCCATTGAGAGTGGTGGTTCGAAGGATGGCAAAAAGGGTGCCGATGCGGACTTCCTTTCATCAATCGAGATTGTGATTGTGGATCATGCAAATGCTCTACTCATGCAGAATTGGCAGCACGTCGAATACATCATCTCTCAACTAAATTTGCTGCCGAAGGAGTCTCATGGCTGTGACTTCTCACGTGTACGGCACTGGTACCTGGATGGAGAGGCGAAGTACCTTCGGCAGACCATTGTTTTAACCGATTTCCTTACCCCCGAGATCAACTCAATCTACACCAACGTCATGCTCAACGTCGCTGGCAAACTCAAATATGCACCTGTTCATGAAGGGGCCATGATTGATGTGTCAGCTTCATTTCCAGTCAGAGTGCCGCAAACCTTCGTCCGACTGAACGCAACAAGTCCTGCATCCGATGCAGATGTCCGATTTTCATATTTCACTTCCGCTATCCTCCCTCTACTCCGGAAATCTAAACAAGAAACAGGGACGTTGATGTTCATGTCGTCTTACCTCGATTTTATCCGCCTACGGAACTACTTCTCAACCTCAGCTACCACAGATTCATTCTCCTTTGGTGCAATATCAGAATACACCTCGGTCCGCGATGTTGCGCGTGCAAGGTCCTATTTTCTTACTGGAAGACAATCCATCCTGCTCTATTCTGAACGAGCGCACCATTTTCGACGGTACAAGCTAAGGGGTGTGAAGAGAGTAGTCTTCTACAGCTTGCCAGATAATCCGATATTTTGGAGCGAGGTGGTGGGATTCCTCAGCACGGAATTTGCAGACGAAACACATAAAGGCAAACCTACTGTCAGAGCACTCTTTTCAAAGTGGGACGTCTTGAAGTTAGAGCGGATCGTGGGGACATCAAGGGTAGGTAGGATGGTCAACGACAAAGCTGGTGATACATTTGAATTCACCTGACGTCACAGACTCTTAACAAATCGGGTAATTGCCTTCTTCATCTGTTGCAATCATGTCGATTCTCATTCATAGTTTTCCCGGTCTGGAGTGAATTTATTCTGGTACCATTGAATTCCGCTTTTACATCTTGCAATGCCTTCAAACCTCATGCAATGGTCTTGATTCAATGATGGTGGACACTGTGCACTGTTCAGAGACTACCTATAGATACATGTCATTTCGCCCCCTTTACTTTACCGAGAACCGAAAGAATTCGAAGATTGACATCGTTTATGAACCAAATCATTTTTGTGCATCACACTTTCTATATATATGTATACATATATGTACATGATGCTAGTGCACATCTTGTGCATACAGTACATTCGTCTCATACATATCATGGCAACGTTGACAGAGGCTTGGGATGCCGCCGAGACGCGTTTGCAGAAGGAGGGAGCTACTCTCAACCACTGGGTCGACGTAAACTCCATTGCCCACTACGGATGGACACCCGTTGACGCGTATCACGGATTTGACCTGAACAAATCGAGGCCATTCCTGGCAACCACGCCTCCAAAACCTTTAGCTATCCCTTCACAACCCTTCAAATGTCTATGTCCATATCATTCTTATGAGAGAAAAAGGCCTGTCGAAGGACGAATCCACCAAGCGGCTTTGGACAGTGGGTGTGAATGTAGGAGGAGCAGAGTTGTATTGTGCCATCGCCCAATCAGCCTACGATTCGGACATGAAAGAAGTGCCAGATCTGACACCATACCTCTATGGTTGTATTCCCAATTTTCGCCATTCACATTGAGGTAAGCAAGCTGCTATGCCAACGCAGCCCATGACAGTCGGCGTTCATTTTGCAGGTCTCTACCCTTCGACACCCGCCCTTGATCAGCATGCCAGGCTTATCGAGGCGAGAGATCTTCGATGCCGTCTGGATGAGTGTAGCAACAAGAACGAACCTTTCGGTCATAAACCCGCTTCCTGCGCCATGTCAGCGACCATTTCAAGCACACAAACCCAAGATAGGCGTGCTTCCACTCCACTCGTCATAACGCTTTCAGTCGTCCTGATCCTCTCGCCTATCACGTGAAACCCGTCCGTGCTACATCTCGCCTTCATCGTAAGGCTTATCTCAAGAGCTCAATCAATTCTTTTGCAACGCATTTGAATGTGGAAGCTACTGACGCCGGACCGGAGACCAGGAAAAGAGCAGGAAGGAATTTCAAATGGCTATGTACATATGTGGAGGATGTACGTCTTGACTGTGACATTGTTCGTTGATCTTCCTTTTTCGTCAGGTACATACTATAGCATGAAATAAGGAAAACTAAATTGCCTACGCAGAAATTAGTGTAAGACGACATACAGTACAATGTTCACGTCATAAGCTACTTGCATGATCTGGGGCGGAGAGCAGAGGCTGTCGTAGAGGTCCCAGAATGCAGGTCTGAGCCCCTGTACAAAGTCTATAGCTCATCCATTGCATATGGAATACACGATACCAGTCGCTTCGACCACCCTCTCATACTAAGCCAACCCGCTGAATGCTGAGGTCAATTCTCAACGTTATACCTCAACCACTCCCCCACCGCCCTCAAACTCTCCCACCTGACCGCCTCGTCCGGATCACTCATCAACTCCATAACCCTCCTTTTCAAGCCCAACTTCTCCAGCTGGCCTCTTTGATCCGGCACCTCCTTAACTAGCCGGCCCACGTCGTTACAGCCCACAGCCAGCACCTTCTTATCGTTCTCCCACGGCTTCGCCATAATCTCCGCCAATTTCTTCGGCAATTCACCTCTATTGAACTCGAGGATCTTACGGGCATTTTCGCGCCAGAAGGTGGCGTTGCGATGTGGTGGTGACCAGCGGAGATGGCCGGATTCGACCTCGGCTGCGTATTCGTCGAATGTGGTTTGGGTTTTGGTGTATTCGTCGAGCATTTCGTCGAGGTTTTTGAGGTCGTCTAGGAGATCTGGGTCTGTGAGGTGGCGGCCGCTGAGGTTGGCTAGCAGGGCTGGGAGGCGGACTAATGTGGCTGCTGGGATCAAGGTGGATTGGTTTGCGGATAGCAGATTATAGAGGGTTGAGAGCAGGAGGCGGGTTGTTTTCTCCTTGGGAGATATGCGGAGGAGTTGGGTGTAAAGTGGGACGATTTCATGTTCGCTAAGAGATGGTCAGCGGAGAATCCTGGGACTTATCAAGGGTTCCTTCTTACCGTTCTAGCTCCTCTCCTATCAATTTACCCTCGAAGCTCAGCTGCCATATGACTAAGAGGACATGGTAGAGTAGCTGCAAGCCGACTCCTCCGCCTATTGCGGCATCTGTTCCTCGGATGCTTGTTGCGCCGCTCCACAGTGTAGAGTCGGTGTCCTTGGCAGCTCCAGCTGCGGAATGAAGTATGTTCATTAGAGGGGTAATTGTATCTTTTCGTTGTTTCCAGAACAACTCCCGGGACTTCTTTGTGCGGAGAAGCGCGGAATAACCTTGGACACCTATGTCCTGTAACCCGCTATCCTGGCTATTGGCTAGTTTGCTGAGGTATGAGTACAGCTTGGGCAGGGCTTCTTCATCCCTAGGTAATGACTTGGAGGAAGAGGTCAACGACCTGGAGGCGAGATTGTTAAGTAATGACGAAGCAAGGAGTGGAATTGGATCCTCGGGGTTCGAAGATTGTGACAATAGTGGTAAGAATGGCTTGTATGGTTCTGGTTCGTCGAGAAGCTTGGATGCTAAGGAAGGCGAGTCTGTGAGCTGTCAATACTGTTGGCCTCTGATCCTGGAGTTTAACTAGCATCTACTATACCATTGACCAGATCTGCTGCCAGGACCAATACATATTGTATTATATCTGTCCGCTTGGCTGCCTTCTCCAGTACGCTGGTACCATTCTTCCCTCCAATCAATAATGTGGTGTAACCTTGCAGATCACTCTCGATGTTCTGTTTCCTCTGCTCCTTTCTGACTTTGTCGACAGACTTGATCTTCTTCAATTGCTCGTCAGCAAGGTTCCCTGCTCTTACAGCCCCATCCCATGGAATTGGCCTGGCCCGAATGTTGTTCTGCAGACTGGCCAAATACGGAGGCGGCTCAACCAGGGACATCGTTGAAAAGCGGATTAATTCCCCGAGTGCGCCAGCTTAACAGATGGGAGCAGGAGTACTGGAAACGTCCGATGATGATGACGCTGTACTGTATGACAAGCTTGATGGAGCTCCATCACCAACGGCTTAACGCCAAGCCTGTCGCAGCACCTTCCGAAACAGATTCCCTGAAGACAGCTCGTTAGGTACTACAGTGCTATGTACTGTACTGTACGTACGGTTCTCATCTGCTTGCCTGCGGCCCATTCTTAGAGATATGATGACAAGGAATTTCCAACTACACGAGTGGGTAATAGCGCTCCTAGGACTTTCACCGGTCAGCTAGCAAGCTCTTCGAGGTATTCGCAATACTTCCGCTTTGGACCTACCCGGAGTCCCGTTACGACACCCTCCACTTGCGATGTCATGAAATGAGCCAGCCGAGCTCCCCGCAAATTCGGCAACTATGGCCTCTCCTCGCAAACCTGCAAAGCAGTCATCTGGCTGGGGAGGCTTTTTGCAGCAGGCAGTACTCTCCGTTGAATCGAGACTTGACAACATTCTTGCGGATGAGGATCAGCCTTCCGGGAAGACTAATGCGTCGGAAAAAGCCCAGGAACATACAGGACGAGGTAATTGACATTCAGCCATAGGGTACCTAGACATCACTGACCCTACATACTCCACAGCTTCAACTGATGTCTCGAGAAGCTCATCAACCACCAGGACCAGTGACCGTTTGCAGGAGCGGCTAGCAAGAGCACTGGCAAAGAAGACGAGTGAAGCACGCAACGAGAGTCCTGTGTCTACTGTGGATCCAGTCTCAGGGACAGCTACACCAGTCGACAAATTCCCGCATGAGAACGCGCAAAACACGTCGAGCAGAACATCAACTGATGGTATGCGCAATGTTCGGATCCCAAGCATTACAGCCGATGATATGCACATCATCAATCCTGCTATCGACAATATAGAACAGCTGGAACAGAAGAGTTTGACATGCGGTTCTGGTGTGTTCGAGAAAGAAAGGCAGCCCCAAGTCTTGTCACAAGCTGCTACCCCCACTCGACTGTCCATGGAAGAGGAATCCCGTATTCAGACGCAAGATATTGTTGTCAATGGAATCAGAACACCAGATGAAGGCGCTTCCGCCGAAGAAATGTATACTTATATCGAGAAAATCGATGCCTTGCAGGCTAAATTACAATACCTTACAAGAGAAGTTGCAGTATCCGCTCATGATGCAGCCGCTGCAGCCAAAGCTGGGTCGCCGGAGAAGAGGCTGCTGGAGAAGGACGAGAAAATTGCCCTCCTGATGGAGGAGGGTGAGAAGCTATCAAAAGCTGAAATGAAGCATCTGATGACAATCAAGAAGTTGCGGTCACAAGCAGCCGAAACTGCCAAAAGTCAATCGAGCATTAGAGCTCGTGCTGAGAAGGCAGAAGCAAGCCTCTCCAATGCCGAACAGCGCCGAAATCGTGCTGAGGCAGCCATGCGAAAAGCCGAAGAGAAGCTAGCACTTAGTCTGAATGCTGATCGTGATGCCGAAGCTCTCAGAAGCGAGAGAGACGCTCTTACCAACACAGTGGCTGATATTAGGGCCCAACTTGCGCATGCAAACAGGAGAGCTGAGATTGCTGAGAGCAAAGCGCAAAGCGATGCCCTTGGCAAAGAAAAGAAGCAGATTGCAGAGCTGCAGGACGATCTGACGAGCTTGAAAGTCGAGCGGGAGATCAGCGAGGAAAAGCTGCAACGCGAAATTAGAGATCTTAAAGCATTACTAGAACGAGAAAAGGAACGTTCGACGTCACTCGAAGGTGAGCTTCGCGCCGAGCAGTCTTTGCTGGAAAGTAAGATGGAGTCTCTGCGCAATCGTGCGGAAGAGGCTTCATCCAGCAGTGTAGGCGACAGCCAGGCGAAACTCCTGCGACAGATCGAAACGCTGCAGAATCAGTACGCGGTGGCAAGCGACAACTGGAAGGGCATAGAAGGCTCCTTCTTGGCACGAATCGCCAATGTCGAAAAGGAAAGAGACGGCTTGGAGCATCGAGAGGGCGACCTGCGGAAGAAGATCCGAGAAGCGACGCAGAAAGCCAAGAATGCAGAGAAGGAAAACGAGGCATCCAAAGATGTGATTTATCAATTAGAACAATCCCTCTCAGAACAGAAGAGTGAAGTAAAGCACCTAAAGCAGAAGCTAAGGGAAACAGAAGACTCTTTAGCGAGTGTGAGAAAAGATCTCGAAGCACAAAAACAGCGCTATGAGAGCGATTTGTCGCGGCGGGTCGAGGAAGAAAGACACAGATGGAAAGAGCATATCCTGATACAGTCACCCAATGTACACCGGAATGAATCTCCTATAGGTTCGTTGCGCAAAGGTTCAGGTCTTGGATTGGGTCTCGAACATGTGAATGGCTCTTTTGCTAGTGCCGAACGCAGCCAGAGCCGTCGCCCATCAGCCTTTCCACCCTCCTTCCGAAATTCAAATACACCTCCACGACAGAACTCCTCAACGTCGTTTCAGCCTTCACTCAATGGGACTGTCCCAGAGACCCCCGCTTCACAGGCAATTGACCAAGATGAGTATTTTCCCGAGCCTTCCACACCTGCTTCTCCAGGCACACATCGTGGCGTAAATGATCTGATCTCCGTCTCCACCGTCGGTGCAGGCCCTTCGGTCCAGCTCGTGGAGCGAATGTCTGCCTCTGTCCGCCGGCTGGAATCAGAAAAAGCGGCATCTAAGGATGAAATCGCTCGTTTGACAGCACAGCGAGACGAGTCGAGAAAGGAGGTTGTGGCTTTGATGCGTGAACTGGAGCTAAAGAGGGCTGGTGACGAGAGGATTAAAGTTCTTGAGGAGGAGCTGAGGCTCGTCAATGAACGACATCAGACCACTCTGGAAATGCTTGGCGAGAAGAGTGAGTTGGTTGAGGAGCTCAGAGCCGATGTTGCCGACGTGAAGCAGATGTATCGGGATTTGGTCGACCGTACGATGAAATAATTGTGCATGGGACTGTGGTTAGAAGCTCGTCGCTTTGCGAGTCCTTTGTGAGCCACATTCTGGTTTTTGAGCTATTAGCGAGCATTGCGGACGGCGAATGGTAAGCTTTATGATCAGCTCGTAACAATCTCGATGCCTTCTCGCTCCGCGGATTGAAGAATAAACTTCCGGACCTGTGCAGAATATCAATGTCTTACAAACTGTAAAAAGAACCATAAAGGTTTACCTTTGCATCCGGCGCGGTATCAATTGCTAATCTCCCATCCATATCCCTCTTGTCCGTTTCCGCTCCTGCCTTCAACAAAGCTACCGCAGCGTCCCCATGCCCCTCTGAAGTCGCATGATGCAGCGCCGTCATCCCATCAACATCCGACGCATTCAACGGGCTCTTGTTCTCTAACAGCAGTTTCACGATCGGCATAGACCCCACCGCAGCAGCGCGATGTAGCGGCAACTGGCCCCTCTTGTCCTTGAGTCGGGTCGAGGCTTTATGCTCGATGAGTTTGCGCGCGATATCGAGATTATCCTTCGAAGATGCAAAATGTAAAGCGGTCTGGCCATTGAAGCTTTGCGCGTTCACCTCGACATCTTTCTGGAGAAGCAGATCCACCGTCTGCTCGCCTTGGTTGTCTTTCAGACTACTGGCGATCATGAGCGGGGTCCAGCCCGAGCCGTCTGGTGTGTCCGGGTCGAAGTTACGGGTGTTGATTAAGGTAGATGTGATGTCGAGGTGGTTGTTGGCGATCGCCCAGTGGATGGGGAGGCGGTCATCGTCGTCTTTTTGTGTGGCGAGCTTGGGGTTTGCCTGTAGGTGTGATGTCAGGTGTTGGACTGGAAGGGTTTCGGGGAAGAGTTGAGTACATTTAGTAGGGAGTCAACGACGCCGGCTGTGCGGGCTGGTCAGGAGGCAAGATATTTCGACGGTCATTGGGTACTAACCTTTGCCCTCACGAGCAGCTTCATGTATTGCGAATTCCGACCTTGACGGATCCATGATCGTCGTACAATATTAGAACTAGAGAAAAGGTTCGAAGATTGGTTCCAATATTTTGGAAAGGCTTGGCGGACAACTGAATTACACAGGTTTGCTTTTTGCTGCCTTCGTTGTCTTACAGCCACCACCATTGAGTTATATGTAGCCTGCAAAAACAATAGCAGTGATCCCTGCAGTACGGAGCATTATTCATTCAACAGCCACGGGCTTCAGCTTGCCAGGCTATATCCAGCTGCAAGAATACTATTATTGGTTATCAAACGCGAACCCGGGTGTTCTTCAAAAGGATTTCTGCAGTTTACGAGGAATTAACATCTCCCCTCTCTTAATCGTTTCAGAGCCATATGTTTCATTGGAATAGCAGTCAATGCACTAACTGACAAGAAACTCACCATCGTACTCTTTCGATGATCATCTCAGCTTCCATAATATACCACTAAAGATGCTCCTATAGGGTTTTGAGAGCAGTGGGTTCTCAATGATCGACTGCACTATCCCTACCTGCACCAACGTTGATGCCCCAGATTTCCTGCACGCATGCTTATCAATGATGCTCGGAGAGCTAAAGACGTGTTCACTGGATTGGTTGAAAATGACTACAGGAAGGTGTGGTAGTGTTGCACTCGTACCGTAGCTTAGTTGGCAGCAAAGCCATTTCTGAAAAGGCATGGACAGCAGTATTCCATGCCTTTCATTGTCCTACATTCACATTGCCCATGGGCACCTCACTCAATATCAGACCCTTTTTTCAACCTCAGAACAGCGGCGTTACATTCCACACTATTGCCCTCCGCAGCTGGTAGGTATAATGATATTGATATATCCAGTAGTCAGATGCTGCTTCGCCATCCGTAGTGCAGGCAAACGATCTACGAGGAGCTGGCCCGACATTGAGGCAGCATTATGGAAGTCCCGCGAAGCTATCGTGCAATCAGAACAAGGTCTAGCTCATAGAACTTACTAGTACCCACGAAGCCTTTGGTTGTATCCCATCAACGTAAAATTTGATCTTTTGATATCTATACAGAACAATGTAGATACATATGATTATATGATTATAAAGTAGTTGAATATGTTTAAGTAGCGTTTGAATAACATCAATACTAACTTGAACTAACTACTAGTAGTATTAATCTGACATTGAACAACTAGCATAGGGCATAATAGTATCCACAGCTTCGCTGTAAATTGCTTAGTACGGTATGGAAGACTTTCCTGGTTGGGCTTAATAGCCAAGCTGTCGCCGCTCTAAGCTGTGTGCTTGCTGCTTTAAGCAGTCCACCACCACCGCCATGGCATGACAAAATAATACGGATAGATATAACACCCGTTCCGCAGGGTTGACAAAGACGTAGCTTAATGCTTGTGCAAGTCTCTGTGTTCAACCCAACCATCAGCGTGCCATCTAGAGCATCGCAAAGATGGACGCCCTCCCTCCATCTCACGCTGTCCAACTCTCTACCAAGCACACACGAGACCTTTTCGGGTCAGATTTCGGCCAGCTCGCATCACCAGAGTCAGATGTTGGAACGTCCTACAGAAGGAAAGCAGAGTACGGCGATGTACGAGAGCTTCCTAAAGCATTGGCAGAGAAGCAGGCGAAAGCAACGGCTGCAGGTCGGATAAAGCGACCAAAGGTACAGAGCGCGGCGCAAGGAAACCAGATGGCTTTAGTCAAGAGCAATGGCGACCCGAACACCGCTTCGCAGAACGGCCTACCACACTCTACCAGTCTGGTCCGAAGGCCGAATATGCAGCAGCCTCGACCCGACTGGCATCCTCCATGGAAGCTAATGCGCGTCATATCTGGTCATTTGGGGTGGGTACGAAGCCTGGCCGTCGAGCCAGGAAACGAATGGTTCGTCAGCGGAGCAGGAGACAGAACAATCAAGATCTGGGACCTGGCAAGCGGCAATTTGAAACTCACCCTCACTGGCCACATCTCCACGGTGCGCGGCCTCGCCGTCTCCCCGCGCCATCCCTACCTTTTTTCCTGCGGTGAAGACAAAATGGTCAAATGCTGGGACCTCGAAACCAACAAAGTGATCCGCCACTACCACGGCCACCTCAGCGGCGTCTATACCCTCTCACTACACCCAACCCTCGACGTCCTCGTCACTGGTGGCCGCGACGGCGTGGCGCGCGTCTGGGATATGCGCACGCGAAGCAACATCCACGTCCTCTCCGGCCACAAGGGCACAGTCTCCGACCTCAAATGCCAAGAAGCCGACCCGCAAGTCATCACCTCCTCCCTCGACTCCACCGTCCGGCTCTGGGACCTTGCCGCAGGCAAGACCATGGGCGTCCTCACGCACCACAAGAAGGGCGTGAGAGCGCTAGCCGTGCACCCGAAAGAATTCACCTTCGCCTCCGGCTCGGCAGGATCCATCAAACAGTGGAAATGTCCCGAAGGCGCCTTCATGCAGAATTTCGAAGGCCACAACGCCATCATCAACACGCTCGCCGTCAACGAAGACAACGTCCTCTTCTCGGGAGGAGACAACGGGAGTATAAGCTTCTGGGACTGGAAGACGGGCCATCGGTTTCAGAACCTGGACACGACCGCCCAGCCGGGCAGTTTGGATGCCGAGGCCGGGATCATGAGTTCGACTTTCGATCGCACGGGGTTGAGGCTGATCTGTGGAGAGGCGGATAAGACGATCAAGGTCTGGAAGCAGGATGAGAATGCGACGGAGGAGAGCTATCCGTTGGAGTGGAAGCCGACGCTGGGGAGGACCAAGTATTGATCTGTCTTCTTGCTTTCCATTAGGGTTTGGCACTCAGCATTGATATTGGACTATGGCATTAGCGAAGGCGCAGGACGAACAGCAAGATATCCAATCTCATACCTATTCTACCCTGCACATCCACACCTAATCTAGGGTTCGTGAGTGAGTATGATCATCACCCCGAGAAACCCAACCCTCTAACTTCCTCATCCCCCCTCAGCGCGCCCCGAACCTCCTCCTCCCCAACCCTCAGTCTAATCTTCCCACTCCTCTCCCCCCTCGCCCTCGCCTCCATAGCCAGCACGCCGGAAGCCAACAACTCCATCGCCGCCGCCCCCATCGCCAACACCCTCGGCACCTGCTTCACCTGCACCGCCTTCCCTGCCTTGCCAGCCCCGGTCGAAACCTGCTCCTGCAGGTGTCGTCTCTGATCCACCAACAGAAAATCATGAATAGCCTGGTTCTCCGCCACGTCGGCGATGCGCTTCGCCTCGACCAAGACATCTCCTAGCGTTGTGTCCGGCACGCCGGTGCGGCGGGGGCAACTTGCTTTCTACATCTCCTCCTGCAGATTGTTACACAACATTCAATTGTGCGCATAGGTACACTTTAATTGATCTATGAGACTTATCTATTCTATCTTAAACTGGCGGCCCTTTCCTCCTGGGGAGGAGGGTGGGGGGGTTGGTTTTTGGGTTTGCTTTGGGGCTTCTTGCTGGGCGTGTCGAGGGCTCCAGCTTCTGCGGCGGATTCCGGGTTTGCAGAGTGCTCGTTCTGAGATTGTTCTTGTTCTTGTTCGGCGATCTCGACGGCTCGACGGCAGATGTCGAGGGCGCGGCGCGCGTCGCCCGTCACGACGGCCACTTTGCGCGCAGCGAATTGGATGGCGTCGGCGTCGACGATGTTTCCCGGCACGCCCTGCAGCCGGGAGGTGATGATCGACATCAACTGTTTGTGGTCGTACCCGGGGAAGGTGATTGTGGTCAGGCCGAGACGGCTGCTTATCTTATTGCTTAGTGTTCGCTCCGGCAGGTCCATGGTGTTGGCTACCGCTAGCACGTTGAGGCGGCTGTGCCGGAGCTGGGGCCAGTTGAAGAAATTGTACATGACGGATTGGTTTTTGGTGACGAGCTGGTCGAGCTCGTCCATGAGGACGACGCACGGGATGCGGCGGGGGCTTGCGGCGGGGGCTGGGGTGCGAGAACTCGTGTTCCAGGAGGTCGAGGGCGTGGGAGGGGGAGACACGGTCCCCTTTTAGTGCTTCCCAGAGGAGGGAGTAGGATTGATGGGGGTCGGTGACTTTCATGCCGTTGATTTCGACGAAGTTGAAGTCGTCTAATTCTTCGGATAGGACGGCGTTGTTCAGTTGCGCGACGACTTCGCGGACTGTGGCGGTTTTGCCGGTGCCGGGTGTGCCTGCAATGTAGATGCAGGCTCCTGTACCGTCGGTGATGGCGTCGTGGAGGTACTTGTAAACAGTGGAGAATTCTTTTTCTCGACCAGGTAAGGAGGCCGGGACCGAAGCGACGTGGAGGTTGGTGCGAGCATGTTGATATGGCGAGGAGAGAATCTGGGATGGAGAGAGGAGACGGGTTCCTAGAGGGGTGATCTCAAGCGGCTTCTTGATCACAATGCGCTTGTGGGTTGGGGTGGTGAACTTGGAGGATTTGGTTGATGACTTGGGCGTGCTCATTGCAGATGCTGTTTTCCGCCGCTTCTTTGGAGTTTCAGGCTCTGCGTCTTCTTCTCCATGCTTGTTGGGAGCAAACTCTTTGTCTTGGGCCTCGTCACCCTTCTCCGTTGGCTTTCGACGGCCCTTGGTCTGCTCGTTGATCCAGTTTACGAGTCCATAGAGATCTCCAATGTCCTGATACATTTCTTCCCAGACAAACTCGTCTGTATATTTGCCGGTCCTCTGTTTAAGCCCCCGGCGGCAGAGAAGAGTCTTTCCATAGAGAGCAATGGCAGCCTTGCTTCGTGGAGGCCTACCACCTGGGTACTTCTTGTAGAAAGCTTCCTTTGATAAGACTATCGCCTTGCCTGAGATTGACTCCAGTGGATTCAGGTTGAAGTCGGCTGTGATGAAGGACTCGTTCGGCAGAAGGTCAGTCCTCAGTCTGGACTTCTTGCCCCTTGAGAGCTCTTCAGGAGAACAAAACCACATAATGCTGGCGCTCATCTCTTCCTCATCATCGTCGTTGGTCTCTGAGAAATGAGAGATGATGCCAGCCCAGTCCTTGCCCTGCTCTGGCGACTTAAGCAGTACGGTGTCTCCAACATAGCAAGTAAAGGAGCCCATCTGGGCGCCTTTGATCTTCCGGGTGGACTCGGTGAGGGTCTTAGCTTTGCGCTTTCGTGTCGGAGTCTTGTCCAGATCGTAGAGGTCTGTACCTTCATCATAGATCCACCTCCAAGGGACGTCTTCTATACCAAGCTCGTCATCTGAATCTTCTCTTGCAAGGCCGCCTTTTGTAAGCCATTCCTGCTTCTTGTGGGACTTCTGTGGTGTTGCTGCCATCACGAGTTGGTGAGTGTCAATGTTATAAAATCGGAGATTACTCTATCCAAGTCGTGCTATGGGTAGCATGAAAGAGCTCTGCTCGTTATTAAGGGTGCTCAAGGAGACGCGTTTTGGACGCGTCGCGTGCTTATTCGATATATCCTAATCGGGCTTGGTCATAGCTGTTCTCAGAAAGTGGGAGTACCAAGAAGCATCTCAAGCACTGCATCTCAAGCATCTCAAGCGGACAATGTATTGTGCAGATACAGAAACATTCAGTGTTCAGTGTTGTCTAAACCAGGAGGAAACACTTTACCGCATCTGCTTGTCATGCTTGTCATGCTTTGTTGGACAGTGAAGTTGCTTGTCCTTTTTCCGTCCTGATCAAGAGACGACTTGGCCAGGAGTAAAAAGGAATCAATTCCCTTCTGCTCGCCACGTTGACTCCCAACTTACATTAAACTGATCAACAGTAGTCTCTGGAGAAATCTCCATGTCTTGACAAGGTCTTCATTTTACACCGCTCAGACTACTGGCTAAATTCCTGGTGCATACCGCGCAATATTCATTCTCCTAACTAGCATCGCCTTCACAGTCAAGTACTTTACTACCGCGTACCATCCATTCTTGTTATCTCCTGCGGACCAAGCATAACATCACATCTGGCCTACAGCAGAGCAGACCACGTCTCCTCAGTGGTAGCTGACCATTTTTTTTCCCAATCGTGGTGACCTGATTGATTGAATGCTATCACGCATCCCTCCACCCCGCAAGCCTAATTCACCTTAACCAGCTCGTCATGAGCGAGTAAGTCGCAGCTTCTCTACTTCTTGAAATCTTACTGATAGTGTTCTTCAGCTACGAAATTCCTAATGCGAGAGGTAGGCTAGACTAACACGTCCCTAAGTTTCGTCTCATCTGGCACTGTTTACTTTGATATACTATTTGCTCCACAAAAAGTCCTTCTTGTACTCACTTCTTGCTAGAGTGGGATGCCGCAAGCAGTGCTCGATTTTCTACATCCCGTCTTTCTCTTTCAGACGAACTCGATGACGGCTTCACCAAAGTTCACGGATCGAAGACGAAACGTCAGAACCAAGTGAATACGGCCCAATCTACGAAAATCCCCGTTCATAATACAACTGGCAAAGGCCACCATCTCAATGGATATGACGGCGCTAACAACCAAAATCCTATTCTTACAAATGGTCACATCTATGGACGGGGCCGTCCTGAAGCCAGCCGTCCTGAGCGTGGCCGCCCTGATCGTGGCCGAGGTCGTGGTGCTGGAAGAGGCAATGAGAATAGCAACCACTTCACAAAAAGAAGCACCAACCCGGCTCCACTACCAGATAGATCAAGCACTCAACGAAGCAAGCCAATAAGCGCCGCTGAACTTGCCTGCCAACGAGGCGAGCCTGCCGCCGGTGAGAGGGTCAACCTGTTCATCCGCCCTGACTCTTGTCTAACGGGTCGTGCCAGGCGAATTCAGCTTCACAATTCCAAGAAGAGCTTGCTACCGACAGTAGGCCTTTAGTTTCTGGTGTGCTTCCGAAGTTTTCTGACACAGTGTAGCCTCCGGGACAAAGCCCAGAGTTTCAAGGGGCAACTGGCGGCTATAAGTCGGACATCATCCACGCATATTGAGGAATCACCTGCTGATGTTTTTAAGGTATGTCTTTTACGCTGACCTAATAGTGCCCATAATGACTGGTGTCAGGTACTCATTTGGGGTGATGAGGTCAATTTGCGGCAAGCCGTCCTGCAGCTTGAGGACCTTGACAAAAGTGTTCAACCACAAAAATGGGCGAAGAATCCTGCTTTCGACGGAAGAAGGGAGAACCGTCGTGAGAGGAAGGCACATGAAGAAGAGCAGGCGACACGTCTACAACTGTTCGCTGACTCTCAGCAATACCCATTTGAGGTTTGTATCCTTCCTCCTAGATCAAGTCCGACAAAGTGCTCACACCCTTCAGTATTCTTTTATATGGCCAGACAGCGAATTGAGCTTGGAGCAGGTAATTGATCGCCACGACAGGCCCAAGGGCGCCCTCGAGTCGCTCCGAAGCACATATCAATGTAGTATCCGGTGTGATGTGGCTAGTTCGACTATCATCATTCAAGGAATGCAAGAGCGCGATGTGATCGCAGCAGGGCGGACCTTTGAGCGAATAGCGAGGCAGATGATTACGGACATGTCACAGTTCATCAAGATTTCGCTTCTAAGCGCGCCGACCACTCCACTCCATCAACCTTTCGTGTCAATGAATCAGCAAGTCAAGCTCAACACTGCTCTATACTACCTCCCATTTTCGCAAGAACGGAAGACCGATAGCTTCATGGTCAGTGTGCCAAAATTGTGGACGCATATCCTTCCTCCCAGCGACGAGGCCAGATTGAAATCAGAGAAGATGGTCCGACGCTTGGATCAGTACAATCGGAATGCTATTCTTGCAGGTCTGGAGAAGAGTTTGACGAACCTCCACTTTGTCGAGAAAGCCGTCCGAATGCAAGTAGATTTTGGCGAGCTGGCCTTTCTGAGATACTTGGCTCCCCGGTCCGGATCCCAAAGTCACAGCCTGGAAGAGTTTAGGAGAACGATGTCAAAAGAACGGACACACCTTTTGCTTCAAGCGTAAGCAGCGTACCAGTCACCTTGTTTTCCAGTATACCTGCTAATCCGAGATAGCATGCCGCCTAATGTGCAGATTCACAAGCTTATAGATCATCTTCTCAAACATCCAGCTCTCAAAGATGAAGGCGAGGACTCTGCGTCTGTCACTGAAAGATATGTGGTTGCTTTCGACTTCCGCCGTCCCGACAGGAAAATCCTTCGTCACGAGCAAGAATTTGGCACTTCGTACAGAAACGAGGAAATGGAAATGAGACGTAAAAGTTGGGTCTTGATGGGGGCTGATTCGGATAGAGAAAGTCCCCTCGTGCTATCTGTGCTGGATTTCGAAAGGTAAATGAAAACTTGCTTCATCCAAGGTTTTGAATGAGGCGTTAACTTTTTGACAGCCTTGACTGGCAATTAAGGATCCAGGCCTACGACATCCTAGATGCCAGGTCTATGGCGAAGGAATACGCTGATTTCGAGGCTGCTGTTGGCCTAGGTGCTGCTCCTTCGCCAGCAGGGATTACTGGACCACCCGCGCAAAGAGCATCCTTTCCTCGCGGCCACCATGACCTCGTCCGTGTTACCAATAAGCCTCTGATTCAATTTACTCTCGGAAAGACCGACCACATCCTGGAGATCGCAAGAGAGGACGTATACGAGACCCATCTGTACCAGTCGTATCCGCCGAAACCAGAATCAAAGTGGACTGCATCGTTCTACTATTCCCAATGGGTCAACGATCTGGGAGAGTTTGCATACAAAAAGCATGGTGAAACGCCTTCTTGGCAGGCATCACTATCGACATTCTTCCCCGAAGGAGAAGATGCTGCTGGCCAACCCCAAAAGAAACTCAAGGGACCACGGATGTTCTTGAAGGAGGTCGAGGAAGTGAAAAATATCCTATGGGAAGCGACAAGAGTTTGTACAGATGGAAACAATGGGGACAGGCTAGCAACGTCTGGACGCATTGGTACGGTTGAGAAGGGGGAAGATGATGACCTAGCGATGGCAAATTAGTATGGCCGTGCCAGAGACTCATTTTTCTATCCCAGTATGTCATCCAGCATTCACATTCTGGACACACAACCTGCTGCTTAAGCTTGTCATAAACTCGCATCCGATATTCATCTCTCTCACCTTCACCAAACTGCTTCGAGCATCATTCAGATTCGCGAAATTGTTTGCGTATGGATCAATCGGCACGAGAGGGCTGGCACAAACAGGTTGCTCACATCTTAGGTTAGGGGTCTTTTTCATCAAAAGCGGCAGATAGAAAAACAAGGCAGCTTGGAGCGAATAGACCATAGCTTCACTGTCATCTTCTGCAGCTATAACACGTTCCTACCCTGGCCCCCCTGCGCCAGTGGCCGATTCTCCCTGCATCACTTTTTGCCGCAACACTACAGTAGACAGAGTCAGCGAGTCCCTTTGAGATAATCAAGCCTTCGGATTGGGAAACCGCAAGCTCACCATCTTCTACAATCCTCACATTCTCACTCTTGCCGCCAATGACCTTTTCCAGCTCGCCTAGGTTCTTGCCCAAATCCTCCACTTTGCCGTTGTAGAATTTGATCGCGTCTTTGGTGGTCTGTCCGTACGCGTATCAGCTCCACAGGATAGGCCATAGCTACGCTGATTCTCCGCAAGCCCAAAGAGGGCAGTCGGGATATGCTGGTAGAAGGAAGGGAAGGACGTTACCTTCTCAACATAAAACCCCGTCCCGATATCCACAATCACTTTCTCTCGGTCTGCCAGTTTGCCAGGCACGTAGAGGGAGGTCGTCAGCGGGATCAAGATCTCTGCTTCTGTATCCCATTCCCCAAGTCAGCAAGGACCCCCATCGAATGGCATCAGCCTCCCGATTTCGTTCTCTTCTTGCCCCCGTTCCCTCCCTGCTCTAAACCATCATCCCCCACCATCAACCAGTTCTCACTCAGACCCTCCCTCCATGCTTCAACTTTACCTCGCCCCCTCCCCCCCTCCTTTCCCCATCCCAAACTCCTCCCCGGGATGCAAAGACAGGGTGACCGGGGTAAGCAGTAAAATTACCATTCTTCTGCGCGCGTACACCGCCCTCGATGCTCTGGATGCATTCGCGGAACCGCTGCTGCGCGGAGCGGAGCCGCGTGTGCGACGTGCTGAGGTGTTCGATCTCCTGGGACAGGCGCGCTTGCAGGCTCGAGAGCTGCGGCGCGGCGAGGGTGGTGATGTCGACTGTGCACGGTTGGGAAGAAGTGGCGTTAGTGCGTAAAATCGAAGAGGGGGTGGGAGGGATTGATGGGAGGACGGACCTGCTCCTGGTGGGAGTTGGGAGGAGGTTGTCATTCTGTAAGACGGAGCGGCATGGGGTGGTGCCGACGGGGAGGAGGATGAGGGTGAACGGTGGGGGAGGGCGAGCTGGGATGGTTGAAGATGCTAGATTTGGGAATCTCCGACCGTTTACTTGGTCGTCTTGTAGTGGGATGAACGTGTCTAGTGGCCCAGACTCCAGACTGGCATCTGCTTCTTTACGAAGCGTTACATACCCTTGGTAAGAGTATCAATCCTGGGTGACAGCTTTCAGCGTAGCTATTGAAATGCCCAGTAAATTTTATTACAAGAGCTATGTTTGTATTGTACATAGTAAATTACAACTGTTCGAGGAGCCCCCTAACAAAGCCTGAAAGCTCCACGCCTGGCACCGTCTGCTTGACTTTCAACCGACGACATTGCACCTCATACACACCACGCTCCTTCCATGCTTTTCCAAGAAACACGATGACTGGATAGCCGATGATGTCTGCTTCTCTTAACTTGGACAACCAGTCTTTCTCTCTATCGTCGACGATCGCATCGTTGCATGCCGGTTCACCCTGTAGCATCTGATCGTACACGGCAACGCATGCTTCCACGTCGCGCAGCTGATGAGGGATAACGATGACCTCGAACGGCGCAATCACACGTGGCCAATTAAGGCCCACTGTGTCTGATAAAGCTGAAGCAGTTGCTGCCATCAGCCGTGACACCCCAATACCGTGACAACCCATCTGCATGAAAACTTCGTGCTGAGACTTTGATCCAGGACCAACTGCCACTTTGGCGTTCAATACTTCACTATATCGAGTGCCGAGATGGAAAGTGTGGCCAATCTCGATAGCCTTTTGGACCTGGATTCTTCCCTCTGAACAAGCGGGACACCGGTCGCCAGTTTGCGGCTTGACCAGGTCTGGTATGCGCAACGAGCCAGAAGGGCTCTCCACGATTAACATAGGTGCGTTTGCTGGGCTACTGGGGCCTCGTTCTGTGGCAAGTTGGGCTTGAGCGTCCGACCAGGTGATTTGATCGTCGAACATGTACAGAGTACGGCCGCGAGTGGAATTTGAAGAGAAAAATTGCTCAGAAGGATTTTCGATTCCAAGAGCGACCTCGGGAATCGCAGCTTTGACTGCATATGGGTTGATCTCGTTCTCAGAAGTGGCATTCGATGCAACTGCATCCCAACGTTTGCAGTAAGCTTTCACCAAGCTCCCCTTGTCATTGGTGATGAATACGGCCTCTTTCAGTTTGGGGAGCTCTTCGAGAGCGCTTGAAATGTCGAAGTCACAAGACTCAAGTAGGCGGATGCTTACTTGTCTGCTCGTTACGAGCTCCTCGTTTTTCACGTAGTCGCAATGGGAGCATGACAGAATAGAGTCTTCACCTTTAGAGCTTGGTAGGTGATATTCGTGGCTGAGCTCTCCTCCCATGTTTCCAGAAGTTGCCCTTGCCACGATGTAGGGTATTTTCAACTCATCAAAGAATTTGTTGTATGCCGCCCTCACGCCATCATAAGTTCGCAGTGCAGCGGGAACATCGACATCGAATGTGTACAAGTCTTTCATCAGGAACTCTCGACCACGTAGTAGTCCTTGACGAGGCCGTGGCTCGTCTCTGTACTTCCTGGATATTTGGTATAGCTTAACAGGGAGGTCTCGGTAGGACTGAACCAGGCTACCGACAAGTTCCGTAATTTCTTCCTCGTGGGTTGGAGACAACAGCCATTTTGCGTCCTTGCGGTCTGAGAATGTGAAGACGTCTGTCCCTGCTCCCAGACGTCCTGATTTCACCCACAGGTCCTGTGACGAGAGCGACGATAGTGAAACTTTTGAAGCTTGTAAACTGTGCATATGCTTGTCCAAAAGGCGTTCGATTTTATCCTGAACCCGAAGACCTAGAGGAAGTAGGTGAAAGATACCCGAGTATGCTTGTCGAATGAAGCCAGCTTGCGCTAACAAGATATTCGAGTCTTCCTTCCCATTCTTCGTTTTCTTCTCTTCATGGGTCTTGGACGAAGGTTTCCAAAACGCCGAGCAACGATACCTGGCATCTTCACAATAGCATCGTCTCCGCTGGAAGAGCGAGCCGATTCCAGCACCTGTACATGAAGCATATTTCCGATACTGCTGATCTAGGTTCCTGGCCCCATTGAGAACGCGTACACAAGCTCCAAATTTCATTAAGAGTAGAGCATGAATGCTTCCAGGTAGTTCTGGTATCTGCAGCCACCAACACGACCAATTCGTGAGGATAATATCTTCAAGGGCGCATCAATACGCTCTTAGGGAAGCTTACTCTTGTGACACTCATGATCTAAGAACAACGTGAAGTTGTGTTGTTGATCTTCCCCCATCTACTACTTCGGAGGTGTAGAGCGCCAAGGGTGAAATCTTAGCACTATAAAAACTTTATTTATTTCCGAACCATCTTTTGTAGAGAAAGACACCACCTGGAAGGTGCCGTGCACAGCGCTTCAGGTACAGCGTCATTGACAATGACAAAGGCAGGTAAAAAGAGTGGCGACAATGTGGTGACCTCTGTGCCCAGAACTGAGGATGGTTTGGTGGATCTCGAGCGGTCAAAGACACTGAACAATCAGGCATTTTCAGGCCTTTCTCAGAAAATTCAGGCACAATTTACTAAGCTGAAAGCCGATAACCCAAATGTGAATGCCAAGCAGGCAAAGGACCATAAAAAAAATGCTAGGAGAAAGGCAGCTCCGCAAACAACACTGGAGAGCAACACTATCAAATCTCAAAACCGTGGGCAGAAGCGCGATAGTCGAGGTAAGGTGAAAGAGGCAGGCAAATCAAAGTCCTCTCTAAACACAGCTGAGGCAAGCTCGGCAACCAAAGATATCCTTAAGGAAGAGGTGTACAGCCTTGGGGGAACTGCTGAAGATCTTGCCTTAGTAGCAGGTCTCGATTCTGACTCTGAACTGGATCATGATCGTGGACAAGACAAGTCCTCTCAAGAAACGAAATTTGAGAAGGGACTGAAGAAGGGTATTGCAGAAATATTGAAGCAAATAGACGAGAGTGGCCGGCCCACGACCGTTGAATCAGATGAAGGAGTAGAGGATGTCACCGAAGATGGTGACGCCCAGGACGAAGAGAAACAAGGGCAGCGTCACGGATCCTTTCACGCAGCAGAATCACCAGGTAGTGCAACGGCTTCTACATCTCGCTTGGGTAGATCCAACCTACTCATAGAACCCCGCCCTGACTGGTTCAACACTCAGTTACCACCAATCAACGACAGCGAAGTTCCGAAGGTCAAGATTCCGGCAAGCCTGATACAGCAAGTGCACGACCACGCAAAGTCACTTCTAGATGCAGAAAACGAAAGCTTCAATGCGACCCAGCAATCTTCGTCGTCGCAGAAGTTTTACTCAACTGTCATCACGTCTGGCACTCTTTCGGACAAGATTTCGGCCTTGACCCTAGCTGTTCAAGAATCACCCCTTCACAATATCAGAGCTCTTACCACTCTAATCAACCTGGGCAAGAAACGCAGCCGCGCCCAGGCGGTCGATGTTCTGAGAGCTCTCAAGGACTTATTTGCTCAAGGGTCTTTGCTACCTAGCGATCGAAAACTGCATGCATTCCTTGGGCACCCCAATCTGCTGGGTGCACTTGCCAATTCGAAGGGCTGGAAAGTTGGTGAAACTCTGCCAGGGTTCTTGCAACCACAACATCTAGTTCTCTGGGCTTATGAGAGCTGGCTCAAAGAGAAGTATTTCGAAGTGCTTCAGACTCTTGAAATCTGGTGCAATGACGAGATCGAGTTTTCCAAGTCTAAAGCCGTCAACTTTGTTTACGAGCTCTTAAGGGAGAAACCCGAGCAAGAGTCTAATCTGCTTCGGCTGCTAACAAACAAGCTTGGAGATCCGTCGAAGAAGATTGCATCCCAAACATCCTATTTATTGATGCAATTGATGGCGGCCCATCCGCTTATGAAAATGACTATCATCTCTAGCATTGACTCAGACCTTCTGTTTCGGCCGGGTCAAAGCCTTCACGCTAAATACTATGCGGCAATCACCTTGAATCAAACACCTCTGAGCAGCAAGGAGGAGGAAGTGGCGTCAAAGCTGCTCTCAACCTATTTCAGTGTCTTTGTTGGACTGCTCAAACCTGCTGACCCAGACAGGCGTGTTCAGAACGATGAATCTAAGGCCAGAACTGCAAGCAATGAGAAAAGGAAGTCGACGAGGAAGCACTCTCACGATACTGAATATGCTCAAGCCGATGAACTGCGTGAAAAGCTTACCTCTGCTATCTTGACAGGCATCAATCGTGCATATCCCTACACAGACTCGACTAGTGATAGGTAGGATTGCAGTTATCCCCTAAATACTGTTTAAGCTAATACTCTACGTTTAGTCTATCCATGCACTTAGAAACCCTCTTTAGAATCACACACTCCTCCAACTTCAACACAAGCATCCAAGCAATGATGCTCATTCAACAACTTTGTTCTTCCCATCAAGCTTCAGCAGATCGCTTTTACCGGACATTGTATGAGTCTTTGTTAGATGTACGCCTTATCACCTCGTCCAAGCAATCCCTCTACTTGAATCTACTCTACAAAGCCTTGAAAGCCGACACAAATGTGAAAAGGATCAAGGCATTCACAAAGCGCATTATCCAGGTGCTTGCTCTTCATCAACCCTCCTTCATATGTGGTTGTTTCTTCTTGCTACAGGAATTGAGGCAGACGTTCCCAGGGTTGAGCGCATTGATCGACCAACCTGAAGAGCATGATCTGGACGAGGAGGCTTACAAAGATGTTACAGAACCGCAAGACAAAGGTCCGATGCCGCCCGAGTCACGGAATTTTCCCGGAAAGGGCAAGGCCTATGACGGCAGGAAACGCGACCCAGAACATAGCAGTGCTGAGAGCAGCTGTCTGTGGGAAGTGATTCCGTTTCTGGCGCATTTCCATCCTTCTGTCTCGGTGAATGCAGAGCACATCATACGCCATGCCAAACTCCCTGGAAAGCCAAATCTCGAGCTTCACACCCTCATTCATTTCTTGGATCGATTTGCGTATCGAAACGCAAAGATTGGATCATCCAACTTGCGCGGGTCGTCAATTATGCAGCCCCTTGCAGGTGGCGATACTGCTAGCCTGTTGGTTCGCTCTGCTTCTCATGACCAGCTGCCGGTGAACTCAGAGAAGTTTTGGAACCGGAATAGCATGGATGTGCCGGCCGAAGACGCCTTCTTCCACCAGTACTTCAGCAGCCTTGGCAAGACCAATCCAAATCGAAAGATAAGCAAGAAAATTAGACAGAGTGCCGAGAACGATGATGCCAGTGATACCGAGGAGTCAGAAATATGGAAAGCTATGATGGAGTCCGCTCCGGACTTGGAAGGAGCCGATGAAAGTGATCAAGGTCTCGAAATGGATGATCTCGAGTCGGACTTTGACAGGAGCTCAGAGGAGGCTGCAGAAGATGAAGAAGATGATGAAGATGATGAAGAAATGGAAGAGCAAGAAGTGTCTTCATCATCTGACGAAGTCTCGGTTTCCTCTGATGCTGAGATATCATCAGAGTACGGGATGGCAGCTCCGGCCGCTGACCATGACAGCCTCACTGCAGTCCGTTTCGCAGGAAAGATCAGGGGGCCAAGTGCCCAGCGACGGAAGCTAAAGCATTTGCCGACCTTTGCCTCCGTTGATGACTATGCTGAGATGATTGACGATGAAGGAGGGGAAGACCTTGGATGATTGGAATATGCGGAGGCAGCTGTGGTCTACGTTTTGTCCTCGCCATGGTGTGTCTGAAGGAGCTGGTAATTCGGGACTGCTACGGTCCGAGAGAAGGTGGCTATCCTACCGTGGTAATGGAACCGTGTGGGGCACTTAGCAGATCTTAGTTCAACCAACAGCATGTGCGGCATGAATCTTAGCTGTTGAGGTCATTATTACCTGTTGAAGTCATTGCAGATCGACTGATGCAAGATGGCAAGCAACTGAAATCTTGACAGTTGAGTGAGATCTTGGTGTGTCTGGTGGTTGATGTTGCGACTGATACTAAGTAGTAGTAGTACTTAGTATGCGACCTTCAGCTCTTGGCACGCATAGAGTGTGCGTAACATTGTTCGCCACTGGCTCTGGTTCTGCACGTACCTTTCAAATGCCGCCATGCATGCAACGTCAGTTTAGACCAGATCTCGCTAGGATCCCAGCAAGGCATGTGGGGGCTGCATTTTGATTCTCGAGGCCCGGAATAACCAAATTCCAATCCGTGTCCCCCCATGACAACCAGTCTTGCCTTTCCAGGCTCGACAACGTCGCACAATGCATCGAGTTTGTGTCCAACATGGACGATCAAGTCGGTGTCTCCTCCTCCGAATTCCCTTTTCGTTCCGAGGCTCCTTCCTTTGGGTCAGACAGAGTTAAAGGTGACAGCGCCGATAGTGGAGACGTCAATGCAACTGTACTACGGTAGGTACTACGTACTAGGTACTACGTAGTATCTTCGACAGATAGTAGTACATTGCTGGCTCTGGCTATTTTGTACGCTTGACTTGCTTAGTAGGCAGATCTTTGTGGCTGGTGAAGACTAACACTGGCCACGTTTGTGGCGGTGCGGAAAGGTAGTTACCACCAATTACCGTCGTGATAGAATTGATTCATCCCTTTCCATCCGCCTGAAAGAGGGGTCGTCGGTAATGACTAAGTTAGCGGCACCTGTCCTCAGCCGGAAGCTGGCACATACATACGTAGTAGATCAACCTTGTAGCGATCCGACTGGCTTGAAATAGACGAATTTCTAGGATAATACATAGTTAGTAAAATTAGGTCTTGCAAGGGGTTGACAAGATCTCATCTCATCCTGCATCTGGCCGATCCTGGCCCAGAGATGCACGCATCCTTACATAGCAAGCTCCTTGATCGGACTGGCCCGAGCGATGCAAATTCGAAAATGCTTTTGGAGAACCAACCCCGGCTGCCGACGATGCAGCTTGAGATTTAACTGTTCCTTCTCGAGCTTGAGGTGTACGTAAATCTACGTAGGTAGGTTACTTGCTATCAAACCCTCGTAGGAACATACTACGCGTCCAGCTCTCGCATCTAGGTCTTGTTCGTTGTGATTTGGAAGTTGCGAGTCTCTTGCCCCGCGGAGTCTTCAGCGACTCAATCTGTGCGTGGCAACCCAAGACGCGCGCCTGCGCTTGAAGACACGAAGGGAGTTTTGGACCTCTTCAGGTTCGGGCACTGATCTGAGCCGTGATGGGAACCTCGAAATTCTCCGTTTGGTCAGGGCGATCTCTCAAGACCAGGATATGACAGCTGAACCAGGGATCGATCTCGATCTGATCCTCTGCATCACCTACTACAGCGCGATCCAGAGCCCCGGCACTAGCCTGCCCATGCAGCTGCCATTAAAGCTTATCTTGGATTCTGAGCTGTAAACAGATGCAATCTTGTCCCCAATACGAGATCTATGTGCACGGTATTCCTGATTAGAGCACCATGTCATGAACCCTGGCTGAACTTTCTTTCCTTCTAGAGATGGGATACAAGCAAGGATTGGAGGCTGCCGAGCAATAGTGGCGGCATCATCCTTGGTTCATGTCGCCCAAATCCCAAATATGCAACCTTCGCATCTCGCCGGATGGAGATCTTACCATCTCCCGGTCCCGCTGGACAAGGATCCTATTCAATTGCGAATATATTCCAATATTCCAATATTCTCTCTGCGTCAGGCTTAGCACCTGAAAACGAGGTGGGTCTGCAGGGACTTATGGTGTTGTGTTCTCCGGCCCCAAGCCATTGATCATCCATTCAACGTTCAATGCCTGAACCACCACAATACTCCCCGTCCTCATATCATCAATATTCAAGACACCAGCTTTGGATCTGCGTCTCTCCTTTCGCCAATTGCACATTTCGACCGCAGCTCTACAGCCTTAGCCGAAAGCGGAGCATAAGAATTGACAAGGGATTACCCCTCCAATGGAATTGCCTGTCAATAGCTGACGACAATTGAATCTTGCTGAGACCGCTTGACCACCTTGAACTACCAGTCGGATCTGTTTATCGAGCTGAGCTTCGGGAATCCTCTTCTTCAGCCTCACCAATATTCTAGCACAGTGGCCAAATTCGACACTGAGACAGCTGCTTGTTGACACTGCGCTTCACACCATTGCCCGAACATCACTTCCCTTGAGATCATCATCCGTGATAGATCGCGAGTATTTCAGAATGTTCATGCCCACGTTCAAGGACTGCGACAAAAGTGTATCGCCAGGCAACACTATTCGAAATCATGTCAGAGAGTGGAAGCGAGCAAAGTCGAGCAGACAAGAAGAGGTTCGTGTTGACACCATGGTAGATGGCAATTTACTGCATTATGCAGAATCAACGCTGACCAGGATTCGTTTTCAGGGAGTACAACCGCAATGCTCAACGAGTCTTCAGTCCGCCAACCCATCCAACACATTCCATGAGGTCAAATACTAACCTGTCACAGGGCAACGCCGAAAGGAACATTTGAAGCACCTTGAGGCCACGCAGAAGGAACAAAGCTCCGTTCAGAGCGAGGAGATTGAGAAGTTGCGACAAGAAGTACGCGACCTGTCTCAAGAAAATGAAAGTCTTCGCAAGGCCTACGGGTCCCAGGCCAGCTCTCCCGGGCCCACCACCTCCAGCCCAGGCGATGTGACTATGCCACCATTCTTGCCCTACGGGCACTCAACGTCATATCTAGGATCCCCAACCGGGAGTTCACCATTCATTCCAGGGCAGACTGCCGCGAATCTAGTCGTGGTCGTACCGAACAACATATCTGAGATTCGTCGTTCACTGCACGCGCTCTTCGCTCCACTGCTAGAGATACCCGTCATGGCCAATCCTCAAAATCATCTCGCAACCTTGGCCGCGCTTGCGCCCACTTTGCCGCTTCAGCTGAAGCCGACAGAACTCCAGCTACGCACGCCTCACCACGCTTACATCGACATGATCCCTTCTCCCATGCTGAGAGATCGACTCATTACCATCGGTCCTGCTAATTCCAACACGTTCATGACCCAGGTCTGCACCATCGCCTGTGATATTGAGGATACAGGACAGATGACTGTCTGGGGCGAGGACTGGCTCAACGAATTTTCGTGGGAGTTCTCGGCCGATGTGCTGGAGCGTTGGGGTGGCTGGCTGCTCACCCAGGAGTGGGGTCAAAGAGCCAACTTCTGGCGCAGACAGAGGGGCGCTCCTATACTAGCGGCATGGGATGCATGATCTTCAAGAGAATTCCGTGCGAAGTCTTCGTGTTGAAAAAAATTATACGTGCCTACAAAAGATGGACTGGGGATAGGGTAATGATATACAGGAAGAAGGAACAGCTGAGGCACAGTTTGAGCCACTTCAACTGGAATACTGGGCCGGAACTACAGGCTAGATCTACTAAGCAAAGACTAGCGGGTCAGAAGACTGGTATCGAGCATGTCTTCCTTTTTTGTGTTGTACCTGCGCGCTGGCGCCTACCACTCGTTCCTGTCAATCGAACAATAATGCATGTCAAAATATACTGCTTACTTTTGAAATTTTCTCGAATGTCTTTCATTACGTGCCTGCTTCGCCATCCTGACATCCACCTACCTGCGGCACCCATCTTCGCTTTGGGGGCGTCGGGTTGTGTAGCTCCGACTGATGTTGAGTACAGAAACACCATTGAGTGACACAATCTTTCAAAGAGAACCCTTGGTCGACACAGGAATCTCGACCAATACAGTGTGACCATTTGAACCAGATTGAGTCAAATGAACCAAATCAAATCCGTGCTTTCGTCAAATCAAATCAAGACTTTGGAATTGAGAAATTACTAGTCAAATGGAAGTCTTGGCGGAAAGGTCTTATTTTAAAATATTTAGTGTTACTATTTTTGGTGGCAAAATAGAAGTCTTGGCAGACTATTTTTGTGAGGCGAAAATCCTTGAGAGTCCTCCTGACAAAAAACTGTTTACTAACATTTGAATCCATTGGACAAGTGAGTCAAATCGAATCAAATCGAATCAAACCGACCTCTGGGATTATATAAGCAAAAAATGGGGGTCATGATTTAGTTTATTTGATTTGATGGGTACGCTAGACTACGACGACCTGACTGCACAGTTCAGCTCGATAACCTCCAGCTCGGGGGAATGTAGGTGACCAACTCAACTCCCCCCATCTCTCCGTCCTTCCATCAAGAATCACGCCAAGTAAACCAACCCAACAGTTCTCCCCCGAAGCTATAATCCACCCTCCCCTTGTTTGGGGAACGAACCCGTTCAAAACTCCCAGGCTACTTAGATCCTCCTCATCTTCCCAAGCGCATGAGATTATTTTACCTCCACGTCGAGAGCGAGGCACTTCCATTCTACGCTCGGGAAAGAAGAATGATCGTGGAGTCCCGACGGAGAAACAGTCCACCACACATGCCATGACCATGATTCTGCATCCAATAACAAGGGAGATATTGGCTCTGTATCCCGGAGTACAGAGTACGCATCATCTGTCACTATCGAATCTACAATACATCCTTTTCAACGAACGACTTACCATCCCAATGAGGCCTGTAGTTACTAGTACTTCCCGAAGCCAAAAGCGGGGAGAGGGGGATACGGATGAGAGGGGGTCTGGTCCAACGCCACAGGATATCAAAGGCAAACCTTCCCAGCCAATCCGAATGCACGGAATTTTTTAAATCTCTTCAATTACTAAGTAGTATTACTAGTAATTCTACATCCAAAGTCCCCGCAGATTTCCTCCATTGGATGTTGAAAATAGGTCATATCGCCCTTCTTACGTAGTAATTTGATGAACGTACTCATAGCCTCGCCACTATTGTATCAATATCGAAAGTGATGCTTTTTGTGAATCCCAACTAGAAATCAAAACCGCTAGATCAAAAAATCTCGGTACGATTGCCCGGTTTATTGGGTTTGTGTTTGATGTCCTGTTTCATTAGACCGCACCCTCTGGTACTTGTTTGGAGCTGCTTCTTTGGTTGGCTGGCTAGCTGGCTGGCTATATTTAGCAAATGGCCGAGTGCGTATGGCGCTAGTGCTGTTGGATGGAAGTGCTGTTTTTCATCCTTAGTTTGGCCCAGGTGGGTAGCTCGATTGCCTCTCCTGGCGAGGAGTGCCTAAGCAGTAAACTTAGATATGCGGGGAGCATCGTTCCACACCTCTCTACGTGTCCACTGTACAAGGGCCCGCCCGCGAGCAATCATATCCCACTACCATGCACGATATGGTCGGTCCAGCCCGGTGGACAGGGTGCTTTTTACAGAATGATCAGGTTACTACGTACTTCCTGATGCACGATTTCGATTTAGTGGTCCGAATATTTCCGAGCCAAGAGCCACGGAAGCTCTCCCGTCACTTCCCGGACCAGCCGAATTGGGGAGGGGTTGGCCGGAGGGGACCTCCGGCCTTCCCTGTTGCAACTTTGCCGCGAAATTTGGGTAACACACCTGACACTTTCTTTTGCATCTTTTCACCTCACCCTAAAAAAACATTCTCTCCTTCTGTTCCGTCTGCGGGTCAGCCGCTGCGTTACATGCATCTTCCTGCGCACAGCTGATGGCGATGACGTTGATGGTTCACCAATGGGCGTGGCGAAAGAGTCGCAATGAAATTTCTGTTTCGGGCTCCATCGTCGGAGATAGGTTCTTCCGAACCCGGCCGTGGAGTCATGATGTTGTGGGAGGGTGACGCTGTCTCCTCGGCTTTGACTGGGGCAGGATGGAGATGCGGGTTGCTGGATACCTTTAGGAGTGTGGCGAGAATGATGTGGAAAGAAGTGTCGAGATTACAGGGTGTGTATCTATTTCCGACGGTTCGAGAGGAGGATCGAGGGTTTGTGAGTGAGCCCGGATGCAGAGCAAAAGATAGGCTGTCTGTTACGGTTAAGTGAATACTGGCTTCTTGCGAGGATTTGAGGGAAGACGAGGAAAGGGTTGTAGATTGTGGAGCAGGGATATGATGGCACGGAGAAGAAAGAGATAGGTTTGGCTGGTCACAGGGGAGGAGATATACTGGTGCCAGAAAGTGCATTTGAGAGGACCAAGAAGATGCCCTACAGCTCAGTCAATTCCAAGTATTTGGAGACTTATGCTTCTGAAGGGTTGGATGATAATGCACGGATGCTGTATGAGCTCCGAGATCCTCTCCAGCCAGCCCGAGATGACCCTGCTGTGGCTATCGCTCTTGCTTCGATCTTAACCTCAATCTGCCAGATATTGCGACTTTCGAACCAGCTGCCATAGCGTAGCTATCATCACAAATATGTCATGTAGTCAAATCATCCATCGTTGCCCAAAATTGTTTTGGCACCACTCGGCAAATTCCACTTTCATTCTTTTCTTAAATTGTCCTCCAGCCCTCTTGTCGCATTCTTTACAGACCCGTTCAACGGAGCGGTCACCCATCCAATAAAGCTTATAGCAGCTAATCGCATAGACATTAAATTTCTCCGTGTTTTTGATACTCAGGCAGGCATAACATGGGAGTTCCCCGAACGAACCGAGGTGGTTGAGCTCCGTCTGGTACAGAATGCGCTTCAACTGCTTCTTTGTTGGGGCTACTACTACGTCAGGCTCGACTGCGTCTTTGTAACGGACCAGGTCATGGTAGAAGAGGTATGAGACGATATGGTTGTGGATCTCTACTGGAAGATCGAGCAGTGAAGGCATTGTGAGGAATAGCTGGCACCTGGTCAGTTCTGATTTCTGTGCCAGAGCAAGCAGATATTAGGCTTGCACTCACCTTGAGGCACGAGCTTCGTTGTTTTTATGTCCACCGTGATGAAGGATGACTGCAGGTAATTCAAGCTGCACCGATGTGAGTGACAGTGTTGGTGTATCCTGATGCCTCGTGCGTTGTCAGTACGAGATCAATGCCATAGTAATCTATTGTATAGGGAAGCAGTCTGGTGGCTAGAGCTGGTGGAAGTATCAGCTAGCAGAGAACACCCATTCCCGTTGCTCACTACGATCCAAAGTGGTGTACTCTGTTTCAGTTCGAGTAACTTTATCCGCTCCGCTGTTCAGCAAGAGCTTCATCACCGAGAGCGCAAAATCTGTTTTCAGGGTATTGTGCGTTATCAAAGCCGCAGAGACTTATCGGCGGCCGCAGATCGTCCAGATCCTCGTTTACATTGTTGCAGTGCAAAGTGCTATGAGCTCCTTGCATCCACAGTCTTTGTGTTGAGTCGATATGGTCAAACAGCATCATTGATGGAGCTAGTATCAGGATTTTTGGGAGGAAGACAAAAGTTTCCACGAAAAACACCGTCTGGGCATCTTCATAAATTCCAGGGAGACAGTAGTATTATTCGTAGTTCACGCACTTCCTGGTACCAAGGTTGCTCGGTTTCGTTAAAAAGGGACACCGAGTGGGAGAAGGAGGTGGGCAAGAGGGCCTAACAATGATGGTGTTACAAGTCTTCCATCCGCCAAGATCCCTGTAATTGTATGCTCAATTGACAAGCCATATGTCCCTTTTCGGTGCGGCCACGCTTTGGAATGGTAATTGCATGTTTCTTGGCGGATGTGGTTTGCAGGGTGCCAAGCGAAGGGTGTCGCACATCATTGTATTCTCCATTCAAAGGAGGTTAAGAAAGGGACGAGTACTACTGGATGCACCGCCTCCGAGTCCTGGATGCCACGGATACTTTCACAATGCTTGGCAATGTGTGTCATCACATCAGCTTTGGCATTCCTGGCGGCGAGGTACTGTTACTCGGGTGGAGGACTTACGTAGTATTAAGGGGTTAATCTTGATCGCCAAGATTTTGATCTACAGATTGCTGCAGGGATGTTGAATGGTGTCACCGCCGATCAGAATCTCGGACTGGACACTTAATTATCAAATTACTGCGTAGTAAGTAGGTAGGGACTGGTATTTACTAGGTCACTAAAATAGGTAGTACGTAGTAACCCTTTTTATCAGATGAGTTTTCTCCACAACGTTAATGGATTTGATTGATGCAGCTAACCCTTCCAGGTAACGGGACGGAAGAGCTATTATCCGGTGTGAATTGCTGCGTCCTTGGCGGACGCACTGATATCCTACTTCAGCACTTCCTACGCTGACAGAGGTTTGTTATCAGAAGAACTAGGCTGAACCCTGAGCACCACCCAATAACTTGTAAGCATCAAAACCCGTATTCTATTGGGGTGCCACCGCCCTACGAAAAGGGGCAATGAGTTCAGACGTCTGAGTGGTTCATAGAGAATCGCTCATGATTTTATT